GATGGGAGTCCATGTATGATCGCATGATGCGAACGATATATTGATAAAAAATTAAAAAAGGAAAAATGAATAAGCGCTAAGAGTTATATCTTCTGGGGAAATGTTGCACTATTATTTAACAACTCTTCACCGCGTTGTCCTCGATCACACCGCCCAAGTAACTCAACTCATCCATTAAATCCTGCATCGTAGACGACTTGACAGAGCAGTTTTTTGGCCGCCGCTGTTCGTCGCCGCCACGACTCGAGATTTGCTCACTGTCCTTGTTGTTCAGCTGGTCACGGCGATTTGCAGGGTTTGCGCGGGGAGTGCGGAGCTCGGGGTTATCGTCCATAACGAATGAATTGGTCTTGGGTGTAAAATTGCTATGTTTTAATATTAAGCTCGTCCAGGAAGGGGTTGCGGGGTGTGCATCACTAGCTTTCCGGCCGTGGTTGGTGGTTTTATCGGCTTTGGGGCTCCATCGTTCGACTTCATTGCCGGGAGAATTGGAGATGTAAAGGGCGGATAGGCCAAGGTCTCCAGAGCAAGACCCGGAAGATTTAGACTCGCGATGCTGGTGCGCGCTGTTTATATATACGTTGGGCTGCGGGGATGTATTCGAAGCGATATCAGAGAGGGATGAGGGGGGAGCAGATGGATCGGTCAGTGCGGCTTCGAATGCCACCTCATTGTCTTCGTAGGCGGTAGAGGAGAATGTATTGTCGTTATTAAATGTCGATGCAGATGTCATAGAGCAGGGTGAAGCGTTATCTGTATCTGTACTGTATTCTGAGAAGCGACTGCCACCGGGCTGGAGGAAAGAGTCCGGAGAGTACGAGTTATCGGGAGAATCAGCAGTGAAGTCGGAGAAGTGGCTCTGGAGGTATTCTTCGTCGCCAAGGGAAAGATGCGCCGTTTCTGCTGAGTGAAATTCCGCGTCGATGGCGGAAGTCGGGCTGTGCGGGAGGCTTGGCAAACGTTTCCCATTCAGGCCCAGCGGAGATGACGTTTCTGGACCAAGCATGTCACCTCCCGATTGATGTGGAACAATAACCCTGGGCGTACTTTGTTGAGCCACCGACTCTTGATACGGATCGATGTCAAGGTAGCGGGTTCGTTCGGTCGCTCCAGAGTCAAGTCTATGAGCCAATGGATCCTCAACGGCCCATGTGTTTTTCAAAGGTGATGGCCTCCGGCTTTCTCCAAGGAATTGATTCCGACTGGAATACTCGCAGGGCACATATCCATCGGCAACATAAGAATTTTGGGGGAGGGGCAAAGGTTTGTTGAGACTGTCCGCAATACTCCACGTGGGAGATAGGTTATTGCAGTGCGTGATTGAGTACGATTCTGGTTCGGGTACTCTTATGATATGACTTTTCTCTATTTTATGGTGACGGCGGCCTCTGCTCTCCTCGTTCTCACCGAACCGCGGAGAGGTAAAGTTCAGGATGGCGGATCGCAGAGAATTAGCCTTGGGGGAATGGTTAATTGAGATTTTTAGGTCTAGAGATAATTTGCCTCCAACACGGATTCTTCGTCGTGTTGATAGGTCGCGAGGATGGGAAAATCTTCTTTCGTTAACGGGGGGTAGGGAGGATCCGGAAGAAAGGGGGGATGTTAAACCGTAGCCTGTACGCATGAGCTTTGCTGGTGATGTAGTGAGACGAGGTAAAGCGGGCCTAGGTGGAGCTCTCGGGTTCATATATTTGTCGGCAGGATCCATAGTTTCATGGTTGGATATTCGGGAGCCGGGCCTGGTACCGCGTCCAGGATGTGTTTGTGACGATGGCAAATGGATAGGAACATTGAGAACGTTCAGAGGTTGACCTGGCAAAAGCGCACACGAAGTAGTCACTGGCTCGGCCTCATTGAAGAAATCAACTTCATTGTCAAGTTGGTACTATGATTATTGGTTAGCGGTCTACGTTTCTGGAGTTCCTACATGATAATTTAACTCACATAATACCAATATGTACCACCCATCCTCAGACCGCCATCCCTTCCTGGAGCCGATGGTGTGGTTTCGCCATCACATATGATATTGGTAAAGGTATGGCATCCTTTCCAATGGCCCCTGCCCATCCGACTGTCTTTCTCCATCGGATATGCCCTCGTGAAATTGTCCCATGATCCAAACAGCTTGACAGATCTAGTATTTGGGGGAGTGCGGCTGGTTCTCCGTCAGTAGCAAGCCAAAAAGACAGCAAAGACAAGTCAATCTTACACAAGAAATGTCATCAAAGTCGTGGATGAGCTGTTCATGTTTGCGTCGAGCTATGCAAAAGGAGTGTACATAGAGAAGCGATTGGAATTGCCCGAGAACGAATTGAGCGCTGAAGGAGTGTAATCTGGATCCAGCCAGCCAAAGCTCCCGAAAGAAAAAGAAAAACAGTTCTCCTTCCCCTAACGAAACCCCAAGATCGATCTAGACGAAAAAACGAAGGGCCCGGTCGGTTGGATATCAACATTTATACATCCTAGCAGATATACTATCTTATATATACAAATGCCTCGAATATATTTAAACCGGCCAAGACGCAGCCCACGCCAATTCACGAGCCCTCGAGTCGCGCCAGCACCGATTCTATTTTGGGTATCTGGTTTCAACCCGGTAACGACGTGCCTCTGGATGAAATTCTGGCACGCAAGCAAGGCCGGTGGTCAAGGTTCGAGGGGATCCAATGATCGGGCCGGGCGATGGCGGAAGCGCTCCAGATTTGAATGGGGATTTAATTATGCAAGGGAATTCCTGGCGCTTGCTGAGGGAGCAAATGGGATGGAATACTCAAGTTAGTTCAAAAGATACTCTTGGACATGCCAGGAGATGAGCTTATATTTTGAAAGAAACAAACGCTCCCCAGGGACAGCGTCTGTTGAAACGAAAAGAGCACAGCCATATATGAAAATGTGGAAACTCGGTATTGGCCCAAATATGATGAGAAATAGACCAGCATTTTAGGTGTGGCTTTGGTGCCACTGCTGATGGATAGGTATCGTCACTGGCCAACGAAGTAGACTTTTATTATTTTCGCAAAACTTAACAAGAGGACAAAGCTGACGATCGGGAGGCTGGAGCTGGCCTCATAGAGTCATAATTCCAACCAGTCTATGAACTAGTTAAACACCCAAGGTCTGAGCAGTCGTACTACAGAGCGCGGAGTGGACCAGCGGCCCACCAGGGCTGGCCCTGATCAATGACGACGTGATCACGGATTTCACAGCCGATGCGGACGTTTCTCACCCACCCGGAATCTATAGCATGTCGTTTTCTGCGGGACAATAATAATCGTCGCTATCATCGCAAAGAATCATACCTCTGTACTCCGTACTTCCTGCGAACGGTCCGAATCCATGAAGCGCCGCATCCTGATGAGTAGTCCAGCGCTGACCCCTGTTTAGAGCAATAGTTGGGGCCACGTTTAGTAGGCTGAGAAGCTGTGGTGCGGTGCTAAAGCCAATAAATTACCGGAGCATGGCTAGATAGATGCTCGTACGGTGAAATTCCCAACCCGGGCTCCAAACACATTCCAGCAATTGGGCGCCAGTTTCGGTAAAATGAGGGAGAAAGCGGCGGCGGCGGAGGTCGGTTTGTTTTGTTTCAAGTTTCAAGCAAGGAAACTTACGGCGGTTATTCAAACTGCAGCATGCCCATCAAAAATAGGTACAGTGTAAATATAGATAACTAGTATTTAGTCAACCTTCTCCGTGCCTGCAGGAGAGAGTAATCCGTCCTTCGTACCCTACCCCGCGGAGAGTCTCCTATCTTCTTGTTTGAACCTCAGCCTGGGGACATCAGCAAAGGCCCACTTGGCTGTCCCCAAGCCAGTCAATAATCGCCTGCTGTCGTGAGGCTATGAGAACTGAGATGGCAAAATGACTGGCAAATCAGCAGGCGGCATTCATCCAGGCTCGTTTTGCGTTCAAGTTACCCAAGCCACAACATGGCCGCGGACGACGCTAATGTGGGAGTGTCAATTGGGTGCTTCGGACCCTAGATAGGGGTCGGTTCCCGGATAGCTGTGACAGGAACTTTGGCGCCACGATATTGGCATATTTAAATTGTTAACCTCGTAGCACGGTAGCAGTACTCTGAACGCAGCGTACATCTGTATGTTTGCCTTTATGGTTCTGGGGAGGAGTTCCAACTGAGGGTTTTTGTTTTCCTTTGCGGCGTGTCGCGTGTTGCCGAGGTTCAGCATTTAACGCGATGATGCTCTGATGATTTTGCAGAGTAACTACGTAGTACAGAGTAGACACAGGGAAATTCCCATTAATTGATTGATTGATCGTCAATAATTGCACTAGTTACCTGTTGCTAGCGAGAGAGTTTCATGTCTCTCAATTTAATATACTTCCATTCTGCGCAGTCCGCACAGACTAGGGAGTAATTACTCCGTAACTATTTGATTCCAGAATAGCCAAAATGTTGCCATGGACTATTCATCATCAAAGTCGACTTTGCCAAACTCCCCTTGTCTCTCAGCTCAAGTCAGCAAGTATCTAGTATTTCGCAAATTATTTCGGTTCTCAGCCCCGGATATCCGTACGAAAAGACCCCGGCATGGCATATCCTGCTGCGAATTGCACAGAAAGGTCGTGCCGTACCCTCTGGTCTGAGATATATTTTAAAGTCTTGTACAAAAAATGTTGTGCTGACGATATGCCGTGGTGACATTACCATTGCATATGGGTGGAGAATTAATTCTGTCTCCGATTGATGAGGAGAGCGAGAAAGAAACGCTGCCGAAAATATCAAATTCCATACATATCCTGACCCTTTGAAAGCCAAAAATTCTTGGTGATCTTTTTCTGCTTGGTTCCATGGGGTATCGGGTATATCAAGCTTGAACGCGGCCTCTCCGGCATAACGGGAAGGCGAAAATATTTTCTACGACGAACCTGTCAGCGCAACAGGCGGTACCTGAGCAACAGTACTGCATATCATTAATTACACAAGACAACATCGCTTGTGTCCTGTCATTCCGGAATTGGAAAATGAAACATTTCCATTTTCTACATGTGTGATTGGGCCTGCACATGCACTTTTTCAGAAACTGATTCTGGTTGCATACTTGTTTTCTGATTATTGCTGCTATTTGTCGCCAATTTCTGGTGCATGGATTACGAATTACAAGGCGCTAGTTACTCATTTGGTATTCTTCTTTTTTTCTCTGTTTTTCTGATAGCATTTATATGGAGACTGACTGACGATTGGTTGATAGGCAGTGAACGTCCTCTGGTAGCGATTTAGCTATCTCGAGAGCAGAGACTTGAAAAGTTATAAGGCAAAATTATATGAATATGACGGTATGAGATATCTACAACAGAAGTGATAAGAAAATGACATTGTTTTTAAGTGTTGGAAGTGCTCAGGGCACCATTCGATACGAATACAAGATCCGAATACGAGGGAATCAAAAATCTGAGGGGATCCTTCACCCAATAATAACCGAAATGAAAATAAAGCAAGTTGGGATGAGTAAATAAATACGTGATAAACCTGTTAAGGTATCCCGGAATGGGAACAAAGGAGGAAAAAGGGAAGAAAGAAGGACGGAAGAAAGAAATGGAGGAACCACTATCTGCCCCCCGCTTTGGAAACAGCTTGTCGGTCGTATCTCTTATCAACCCCTCCCAGCATGATCTTCAAAATCGTGTTCGATGTAAGGGCGGCCCCGCTCCACGGTGCTGTATCAACGATGTCCCGAATGTCGTATCGCTTGTGTAGGATATCATCGAGGCTCTGGAGCCACTTCTTCGCGGATGGATCATCGCCAACTTGCACAAATTGGATCCCCACTTGCCACGGTTTCGCGTCGCATTTGTCCAGCCGTCTCGCTGCGTTGACCACCACCGTTTCCACATCGTCAGTGGGGATGCCATCTGTGATCACGATGATGTTAATCGGTTTAACAGGTGACCCGCTAAATCGGCTAGAAGGAGCTGCCTTCGACATATCTTCGACGCGTTTCAGATACGGTTTGAGGATGTCATACAGTCGAGCTCCCACGGGCGTTCGTCCCGATGGATGAACCCGATCAAAGAGCTCGTTAACAGCAGCGGATGTTTTGATTCTCGGGAAGCCTCCGGTTGCTGGCTCCGCCCAGTTATTTTCGTTCAAGAAGTATACATCCACGCCATCGTCGTCAAACTCGGCGCAGATTGGAGCTATAGCTGCGATTGTTTCTCTGGTTTCGTGCCATCTGGAGCCTATCATGCTTCCGCTGTCGTCGACAACGAGGATGGTGTCGAAGTCACGAAGAAAGGCGTATGGCGAGGTATCAGCGGCGCATTCCTGAGCGTATTCTATGGTCTCATGACTTCGTACGCTGTATTGCTGATCTCTTTCCGTGGGCGAGTAAGCTGGTGGCAGATCAAGATGAGGTGATTGGTCTTGCGAAGACGCCGGTTGATTCGCCCAGTCATATATCTTGCTCTTCCCCTTCTCCGCCCGCTTGATCCCTTTCCTCAAGGAGCGCATGAAGCCGGACATTTTCTTTCTTTCTTTCTTCCTTTATTGATATATGGCAGTTAGTTGTTTGAAAGTCGGACAAGCATATACGCGCGAGATATAGAAAAAAAATATATCGAGTTTATCGATTTATCAAGTAGTGTATAATAGGAGTTGACAGTAGACAGAATTTCAAAAGTCCTCTGAAAGTGTTAGCATGAGAACCACAACGGTTGACTACTGATTTAGATGGTAAAGGAGTGAAATTGAATCATAAAGAAACGACAAAAAGTGGGACAAGTTCCTCTATTTTATATACCACTTTTTTCTAATGGCCTGAAGCAGTGAGGTGAGGCAGATTCCGTTGCGGGAGGTCATGCATGTTCTTACATGGACGGTGCAGCCCTAAGCCACTGCGTCTTGCCTGATTGGTGCTGGCATAGCCCTAATTCGTGCTGTCAGGTCGCCTTGTCGTCAACCTCCCTGGACGCGGGGCTATCCAGAGGTGTTATTTAACAAGAATAGTTTATTTGTTAAGGTGGATTCGTAATATTCCTACTTGAAAGCCCGGTACGGCAGAATCTGGGCGTCTACATGTCTCTGGTTCGATGGCAGGACTTCTGAACCTGAACCAGCCCACCTCCATCCATCCAACCGGTCTCTGAAACGTAGCAAGGCCGAGAAGGCATTGTGACCATCGAGGCCTGGAACTTTCCTGGGACAACCTCACGCACTTTCAGTTGATCTATTAACCATTACATCCATGATGGAGAGATTTGCCGAACTCTATTAGTTCTACAAGCGTAGCCAACACACTACTACCCACCGCCCACCCGGCTTGCATGCGTGTATAATTTCGCCTTATCAAGAAAGAATACATGCGAAGGCATACCTATATACACCCCTCGCTGTTATCGGAAATATCCTACCTTTCATTACTCTAGCATCCCCGCCCAGCCAACCACCAACAGCATGGCTATGAACCCACAAGTCCAATTTGGATTTATCAGCGTCCTGCCCCGCGAGATCCGAGACTCGATTTACCTCGAGCTGTGGCACTCCTGCGGACTTCCCCCGCATATCCTATGGCATAGCAACTTTACCGACGCCAACAATTCACATCTCTGCCGTTGGCAATGTACTACAGAGTACCAAGTGGAAGACCAGCTACAGCAGGACATCGAGGCGTTGAGGAATCAGCTTGGTGTTCCCCTTGATCACCATAAGATAAATGTTGAATACAGCCGCCGGCTCAAATCCCCCTATTTGAATCCCTCGGCTTGCGGCGAAATTGCTGCGGAATTACACGGTGATCAAGCAATGTGTACATTTTCGGTTTCGGGAGTGACTTGTTCGAAGAAACGGCAACAAGGAAACAATGATGTCCCGACCCGTAGTGCTTATATACCCATGCTGTTATAGTGCAAAATTATGTGTGTATTCGGGAGAGCATGACTCCTTCAAGTAGTGAGGTATTGTACGTATGCTAACCTGCTATAGCTCCTCGGAATGCCTGTTATCGATATATGGGTCGACAACGTTTGTACTCGCCGACATGCGATCTCTCCAGGCCTTCAGTGGATACTGTGAGAAACCGCCTCTTCTGAAGAAATTCTGGGAAGTTATTTCACCTCCCGCTCTCCTCAGATGCACTAAACACCTGGAGGTGTCATTAACTCCGAACTTCTCCCTGGCGCAGGCCTGCGCAAGATCCGGATCTCCACAACCCTCAGGAACTCTCCACGACGTCTATGACTTTCATTGGCTGTTTCTTGATCGGCTCTAGTGCCTTAGGAGTATCAAAATCCGGATTACTGCCCATGCACATGTGGTCATCGTGGACAAATACCGCTGCTTTACCTCTGTTGCTGAACCCGGCGTTAACGCTTTGAAAAATGCTATCCTATTTTGTAAAGGTTGGCTCTGTCACTATCAGCGCACCCTTAAGCAAAGACATCCTGCCTAAAGATGGGTATGTTGAAGAAGATATAACCCAATCGAACGTTCACCTCTGGAAAAGAGGCGCTGGTGACAAGTTACATCCGCGCCTATGGCCCATGCGTCCTGGCGACCCAGGTGAGGGTCAAATATATTCTGGTACAGTTTGGTATGTTCACGCGCTCGTCCTACCAAGGTGGAAGTTGTTGACTAGTTATGACATTATATAAACGGGTCGCCATAGAGAGGTACGGGCGGGTGGAACGATTATAAACTGAACAAGTGGGAAACGGAGAACGTCAACACACGCCCCTTTATTTAGGAAGATCAACTGTACAATCCGGTTCATAATTGGCGTACGAAGTGTCCTATGAACTTGACAGGCAAGCCAGGTTTTAGATGCAATTGCGAATAGTACCCTATCCTGTAAATGTTCGAGGGATAATCAACATCCTGAATTTCGTCTTGAATTTCGTCAAACGTGACACAAGTTCCCTTAAACACCATCTCAAACGGACTAAAGTCAAGAGATGATCCATCAGGATCGTTGACGTCTAGAGATATATTCCACCTCTGAGGCCAGTCAGTCGATGTTATGCCCACTGCAAGATTATCACTAACATGTCTAGTATAGCTTTCCTTGGAAGAGGATTTGCCTCTGGGTCATCAGACCTCAGGGGTACGGTAATACCCAAGGGGATAACTTCCGCGCGCCCACGGTTGGGCAGTATCACATCTTCACCGTGTCCCACAAGATTTGAGACAAGTTCGGCCCCGGTTTTGACATGCATTTATGGCAGCCCTTTACATCCTCGCTCACATCCACTGCCTTCAGCGAGAGAGCTTTCTCTCAGTAGGAGTGAATAGTAGGCGCAAGAGTAAAAGATTATAACGTACTACTATTCCCATCGCTAAACACAGCCTCGTTTCATCATTGATCAATTCGTTCCTCAGATCAGTGGAGGGAGACTAAGGGTGAGTCCGTAACGAGCCATGCTTCGGTACGGGTGCCATTGAAGTAGGATAGATTCGGGCGGTGCCAACAACACTGCTAACACGCGACACAACACATCGATTATTGCCCGTCTTTCAAACTAGGGAGTGTAAGTTGTGACCTTCCATTTCGGGTGTGATGCGAGTCCAACCAAATTCCCCTCTCCACTTTTGAACATCTGTGCTAGCGCGAGGGTGTTGAACTTGAAGTTGGCGGACCTGATAAATCATAGTAAGCTAAGATAACCCAGTAAACCCTGGTTAAGATGAAAGCTAGCATCCAGAGCCTCTCGCGGATCTATTCGCCTTCAGTATATATCGTTTTGCCATGACAAAAAAGGAGGTCCTCCAAGCATCTGAAACCAGCCTGGGCTTCTTGTGGGGCTGGATTAGATAACGTGGCATTAAGCCCTCTCTTGGCCAAATGTTGGGCTTGACCAGGTTGCAGCATGAACAGTCAAGGTGAGCAGGTGATGGTGGAGGAATCTTCGGCTTTGCTGACGGAAAATAATGGGAGTCTTGCAACGAAACTGAGGTCGGGAAAGCCATGGAGTGGTCACATACATAAGAACCTTGGAATGCAAGAAGCACTCGACCACAGCAGGGAGAAGGGGTTCAAATCGATGACTTTAACGAAAGAATTTGCATCAATGATATATATGAAAAGCTGTTATAAGAGTACAAACTTGAAGTCACAGACTTCAGACTCTACGCATAGTAATAATAATACTCCCTGGAGATCTAGCTTCGGGGATAATATGCTCAGCTTCTTCGTATAAAAAGCAATCATCACTCCCAGGCTGATCTGTCTAGTAGTGAGGGGGTGTGATTATCAAGAGTAACCTAATAAGTAGGGCGTCTGTACGGATAAACTCTCGTTGGCTCTGAGCGGACTTGCCACATGGTTTTTAGAAGCCATGCAGCAACTCGCCCCCACTCTGTAGGGCATGCTCGACAGATCTGCGATGAGGATGCGGAAACTGTTGAAATATCCATTATTTTGAAATAGAGGCTACATCTTGAAGATCCGGACGGAACAGCGAAATGGCAGTTGCACGAGTCAGAGCAAACTACTCCGTAAACAGAAAATGTATCTTGGTTGGAGTTCCAGACCAGTCAGGGACGCATCTTGAATATTCCAAATCTGAGATTTTCCAGCGTTCATCATAATCAGGAAAAGCTTCGGATTTTCCTGAACAGAGAATCAAGGATGCTTCGCTTGTTCTGGCGGAATAGCACCAATCAACGTCGCAACTGTGCGCGCTGTTAAGCGAGGTGACAGTAGACATTAACTCCGATCCCAGGCGGAGTCTGCACAAAAGCATCGGGGAATTGCAAGCCTGTCAGGTTCGGGCTCCAGCCAACAACAGCTGTGGGAAAATCTTTGCGATGCCTTCTGATGACATGGGTCTGGATGCTAGTTACCGCTGGCGCCGCGCTAGTCTAGATTACAACGTAACGGAATCATGAGGACGGCAAGCATCCGGTTGACACTGTCCTGCGGCCCGCGAATCGTTATATAATGAAGACGGAATGCTAGACACTGCTATCTCCATACCAATTAACTCTGTTAGTTGTCTGCTGTCCAGCTGATGTAGTAGCGCTCGCGATGGTTTTCAGACTGCAGTGGCCTTTTTGCGACAGACAGACTCGCAGTTTTACGGAAAACAATTTCGGTTGCATTCAGCAGCGCCCCTGAGACCCACGGGCACAATAGTGCGCTCACTAAGGAAACCTTCTATTCACCGTCTAAACTTGATATGGCAGGTTGCTCCTCTAAAAAGTGTTCGTCAAAGCCCTTCAGGCAACGGAGCAAACTTAAAATAAATCAGTCAATGGCATCGACGCGTTGATCGGAAGAATATCCCCCCTGGCTCCCAAAGCCTCACAAGCCAAGACGGTGACATACATACATATGAGCGCGCGCGGAGAGGTGCGATGATTGGAATTCAATCAGCCCTTTCCGCGCTGCTTACTGCATAACCCCCACACGAAACTTTCTTCGAGTCAACAGATCCCATAACTTGAGGCCATGACATAACGGCGAGAAACCACCTATTCCTAATGCCTTGGGCTTCAAAACACAGCAAGCTAATATGATGCATACCGACTCTAGCCTTGGGGAAGTCGCTGAGGAGTACTCCGTACTGTACTAAGTCAACACGCGATATTTTTGAAGACGCCCCCAAGATCCCAGCAAGACCCCTCGCAGAATCCAGTGTTCGCGTGCTGATAGCAGCCACGATCCCAGGCGGCGGCGCGCTATATGGAGAAGGGAGCCCAAAGCCACCAATGGTAAGCTCTATCCGCGGCCCTGAGGCTTGAGATCGCGTGGAAGTTTCATCATGTTCTTATTAGTGGCTTCGTCCTATTTGCTCTCATGGAAAAGGGAACCAATGCAAACTTCTAGTGCCTTGTCCATCGCCTTTTTATAAAACAAGATAGACCTGCTGCAGATCTGATGCGAGATGTGGACAATTTTCGTTTTTCCGTGGATGAGAGGGGCTTCCTGTCGTGAGTTATTTATCTGCCATTATTATTCTTTATTATATTTGGTTTTGTTCTCCGGCCTTGCTTTCCGCCTCGTTTTCGAGGCTCCTGAGCGTGATGAGCGTGCTTGGTGAGCCTCCTCCCGGTATCGACCTCACGGAAAACCGCAATCGTGAATTCAATGCCTCCGCGGCAACAGTATATGGCCTTGCTGTCATTGCCGTTGCTCTCCGTTTCTATACAAGAACCAAGATACAGAACTTCGCAATTAAAATCGATGATTGGCTAATATTACTTTCCCTCGTGAGTTCTCCAGTAACCGGCCGGACTCTGATGGGTTGTTAACTATTTGTTTGCCAGTTTTCGGTAACATGCAGTTTCGTCCTTGCAATAATAGGTGAGGGTTACCTTGGGCAATTGAATCTGACTCTCAATATCCATTCTAACCGAAGTGGTTGATTTCAGGGGGTAATTATGGCCTTGGGAGGCATGTCTGGGTTATACCTCTGTCTGACGTGATGATTTTAATAAAGGTGAGCTGCAGGATAAAAAGAATTATTGAACAACGCGAAATAGAATCACTGACGACTTTTTGGTTGATGGAAGATCCATTATATATACATGTTCCTGTATATCCTCAACGTCCCACTCATCAAATTCTCAATCCTGTTATTTTATCGACGTATCTTTGGGATGAATTGGACGATGTGGGTCTGCTTTTTCCTTTCTGGCGGCTATTACATCGCATGCACCGTCACTCTCCTCGTTTCTTGCCAGCCTATATCCTATTACTGGACCCAGGTCGAGGACGCGAAGTCTGGACGTTGCCTCTTCCATCCACACGTCTTTTACCTCGGAAATGCAGCAGCAAATGTCGCTACGGACGTATTGATTCTTCTTGTTCCCATACCGCTGATCTGGAGGCTTCAGATGCCCAGAACGAAAAAGATCCTAGTATCCAGTTTGTTCTTGTTAGGCACCTTGTGCGTGATGTCCTGCTCCTGTCTGAGCACTATTCTTCTCACTAGAAGTTCCATAGCTAATAACCATTTGGCTGTTTTACAGTGTCTGCGTCGTAAGTATTGTTAGGATAAAATTTATGGGCGACCTCGCGAGAGCAAAGGACGTTACATTCATTCTCGTCAATATTTTCCTCTGGTCCTTCGTCGAGCCATGCCTTGGCATTGTCTGCGCCTGCCTACCAACCCTACGCCCTCTTCTCCAGCGGGTGAGCCGTTCTGTATTTGGGACGGAATTTGGGAAAAGCAGCAGTACTGGCCCAGGCATTACACCTGCGTTGGTGCGAACACAACAAAGTACTACGGTGGACGGGACCAAGAAGAGCGGGTTTAAACGAATTAAAGGAAATACAGTGGATGAGACGACATCTGGAAACGGTCGAATGCGCTTGCGACCGGCGGATGACGAGACTATGCTAACGACAGTCTCTGCGCAGTTCGAGATGGATGATTTTAGAAGAAATGGGACCAGTGACATTGACTCGGAAAGTCAGACCCAAACCACACCTCCAATGGGTATCAGGGTGAAAACGGATTTCGGCTGGCAGGAGCATGTGCAGTAGTTTATTTGAGTTCCTATATTGTAATGAAATATATGAGGGTAGCGGGTAGCACATTGCTTCTTTTTCCCCGTTCGAGCTTTCACATAGCAGCGTTTTCAAGTTGAGTTCCTGTTCCATTCATTCCGCTTCAAGAAGTTCTAAGTCAATATAACTAGCATCCAAACGTCAAGGTACGAATGAAATAGTTCTGAGATGGGTGTACCTGCACCGGCCCATGGTCGAGAGCGGATGGGAGTAAGTAATTAGCAAATATCGCCAATTTTCCCAACGAGCATTGTCTACAGCGATAAGAACAAGCAGACGTCAGTTTGTCAGTACTTGCAGCTATCTTGCTAATGAAATCCACCACCGACCAGCTATGATTAAGTATCAGAAATTTGGCCGCTAGCAATTGTGATGATCTAATTAATACATTCTAAAAGAACGACCGGGGTAAGCAACTTCGATCCTACCTGGCCGACCCCATAACTTTTTTTCCGATCACCAAAGATTAAGGGGAAAAAATAACTACGATACCCGCTACAAGATACTAAGAACCCGGCTCCAGGTCCTAAGTCATGGTGCATCTAGTTATCACCAAAATCGAAGCCTCAGACTGGGAGGAAATAATCGAAGGCCACTTCCAAGCGTTCCAACATGAACCCTTCCAGTTGCTCATCCATGGCGAGAACACCCCGCGCAACCGGCAGATCTTCATGGAGCGGAGCCTGAACCAGTTCGCCACCCAGAGTAACTCCATCTGGCTCAAGGCCATCGATACGAACAATAGTAATAAAATCGCCGCAGTGGTCAATTACAAGCTGAATCCCGTGTACGTTCCCCTGAAGCGACCAGAGCTGAGTATGGATGATATGATATGGCTTGAGGATCCGGAGGATAAGAGCATTTTGGATACGATGTTTAAAGCCATTGTGGATCGGAAGCTGAGGCTATTGAAGGAGGGCCATATCCGTGAGTCTCCGCTTGTTTCATTTCTCTCGTCGCCGGCGTCTTCTAGGCTTGATATAGATCTACGCCCCTCTCCACCCTGATGTAAAGATCCTGCCCTGGCACAGATCGACTGGACGAGAGCAGATCAACTCAAGAATACCTGCGTGCTTCTTATGATCAGTTATATACATCGGTCCACGTTCGGCGCCTGTCCAGCTATATCCATGTATCAATGTTAACACCAGTTAACATTATTTCCAGAGCTAGATACCCTCTTCGTCCTCCCCGAATATAGGGGCCAAGGATTCGCCAGCCGGCTAATAAACTGGGGACGCGATCTGGCTAACCATCTAATGGTGCCTATTTGGCTCGAGTCTTCCATGATGGCGCACCCCGTGTATCTCAAGCATGGGTTTGTCGATATCGAGCACGGCCACTATTTGATGGGCAAGTGGGACGTTGAGTATTACGTGATGAGGAGGGAACCGAAGACGGCGGAGGACTAAATTTGAGATAAGTTACATATGTATGCCACGGCGAGGTTGACGGGGTTTGTTTCTGTGGTGGGTTTAAATGATAGCTATGAGATCAGGGACGTCAGAGCTTTGATTCTCAGCCAGCCTGTTTAGGGGTATAACACCTGGAAATTTCCCTGCACGACAATTTCCCGGAAAGTAAAGATATCAAATGTTTGGATGGGATTGGGGTTGTTATGTTAGTTATCATAGCAGTAATAGAAGAAGAGTCTGCTATGGCTTTGTGCTCATTGGAGAGAAATGGTAACATTGAGTGTCAGATTCCATGTTTGTTCGAGTGTTAGAAGAAGCAAGCAGGCCCCGTCGGCTTATGAAGCAGGATATTCAACCATGTACCATGATTCAATTATTCTTGGGAATCACTAATATCTACTATACAGGCGGTTTAGCCAGGCCCGAAAATTGAGTCAACTAGTGGTGAGTTCTCAGCTGCAATTTTACCCTTTCATACACCAACTTCTTCCCCCCAATATTGTGCAGCTTCATCAGAGAGCTGCGCATGCCCAAAGCTGAATCAGCAATCCTGTTCGTCAATAGAATGTGTCGAAGCAATTCTTCTCCGAGTTCCCCGTTTTCCACTACCACTTCGTAAAAGTCCTCGTCGGTAATCAATAAATCCACATTGTCCAAGACGAGTGCGAAGATTCCGTCGACGAGTTCGGTGTAGTTTCCAGTCTCGCATCGGTAAACCGCCTGAATCACTTCTATAAATGCTGGCGTTGCGGATATTGACTTTAGCCCATAAAAGGACGATACTTTTTGCTCAAGCTTGGAGCCAAAATATATCGAACCGGTCAAGGAGAGAGTATAAGCGGAGCAGTCGAAGACCTGTGTTTTCCTGGGAGCTGTCCGAAGAGCCTTCAAAATCGATTATTGAAGGTTCGGTCGGTATAGTGTAGTGATTTGTCTGGTCAACACCGTCAAGTAATCCCCTGATATCCTCATAACCTTCCGGCCAGAGCTCTGCAGAATATGTAGATTCGAAGCCGTATATAATTGAAATTAATAATTCCAAAGAATCGGCATCCACCTCCGGGAGATGTATTCTTTTCGTAGTTGCTTCCTAGTAAGAAGTTAGCCAATTCGTTCGCTTGGTGAATTGCCACATAGCTGAAATGGAGAAGCAGGGACCGGAAGTAAAGGGACTCCATATGGGGGAAGAATTAGAGACATACCGCAAATCTCCCCCTTACTGCCCTTTCGAAAAATCGTGACTGGGAGCAAATGACGCTGGAATGAACTTTGTACTCGCAGTCTACACCGGATATTGTGAAATCCAAGCTCTTTGGAGGCTAGTCGAGTTGGGATATCCTTCCAGCAAGTTTGCGACCTCGAGAATTCTTCTCATCAGCATTGTTGTCGTTTTCAGGCTGCGTTTCCGGTGCGACGATTTTGATCCGAGGAGCATTTTCCTTGCTATCCATCATTCTATAGCGTTATGTGGAGTCTTTTCTGTAAAAGCAGTTATCGGAATCTCTTGGATAGGACATCCCACACCGCGCGGTAGAGCACACGATACTTATATTGTTCAAGTCGGAGCCTAGCTTGCGGATAGCCACCAGCACTGGGTCGAGGCAGGCAACACAGTCCGTGAAATGGAGGAACTGATCCACTCAGCAACTCCCGGTTTACCCACTTAATGAAGTTGGAGGCTTGCTTGCTCCCAAAAAAGAGCTGTGTATCCGTTTGGAGGTGCGGCACTTTAATTTAAATAGGCTTCCCTTTTTAAAGCCATAGTTACGTCGACCTTCAAGTACCCAGGAATCACTTTGCTGGCGAAGATAGGAGGATATGATAATAAATGAAAATCGGAATGGAAATTGAGTCAGAATTGCTATCCCCTCTTTGTGATTTCAAACTGGCGGCCCTGAGATCATGGAAATAAACTTCCAATGCTCTGGAAAATGGAGAGTCTATCCGGCCAGAGATTATCCGGCCAGAGTATTGAAAACACAAATCTTGTCATGAGCGCAGTCTGCACAGGAAGAAGGAATGAAGGGCCAAGGCATATTTATTCGCAGGCGGAGCACAGATTTAAGATTGTTCCCGCCTCTTGAGCTACGATATATCTAGCTGTTGCAGATTTGTGAGAGCAGTTGACCCAGCGTTTCGTGATCAAGAATTGAGAAAATAACAATACATGATTGGGGACTATATAATATTTTAGAGATTCGGGTCGCTAGCCAAAGGACCAATTAAATACATTAACGACGGCTATTCCTATTTAGCAGCTTGCGGATTGTTTCAATAACTACAACCGGAAAGCGAGCGGCTTGGAAGTGTACTCGGTGAAGGTAAAATTTTTAATAGCAGGAACGAATATTATATTACCCTTCAGCTCTGGTTAAAGAATCATTCAATACTAGTTAGAAACTTCAGGCCGGCTGTGACTGTGTATCATGGTAGCCATACGGATTTGCCAAAATTACTACAGCTTCGCGGACAGCTCGTCATCCTCAACATCAAATTCTGTAGTGCACAGAAGAAAGGTATCCCTCAAAGCCTAACGGTCCAGCTATATTAGAACCCATTCACATCTTGGTAATCTCTACGCAACATAATCCAAAAAGCGTCTCAGACTTACATTCAGCCGATGCTTGGAATTGATATCCTGATATTCATCTGAAGCCAACATGTCGCAGAAGTGTCGGATGGACGGATAATGAACAATAGCAATCTCGTTCCACCAGTCTCCCTCAGGTCGGTCTGGGTCTCCCCGAGAATCGCGCAGGCCCGCAGCAGGTTTAACGACATTACCAACCAATTTCGCATCACCACCAATTCTACCGGCAACCTTAACGAATCCCTGATTGAAAGAGTCAATGGTCTATTGTCACTAAGGTGCAAACACCATAAACTCATCAATAAAAGTTGCAACACACCTGCCCATATTTATAGTACTCAGGTTTCCCACCACGGTGGAAATGTAGAAGATTAAGCATAGTCACAGGCTTGTCATGCGTCTTCAATAGCTCATCCATGAACCCAAGTAGATCAGGCGAGAGCTCCAGGTTCTGAGACGAAGGTTTACCCCGAGCAGCATCCAGAGAACCCGTAATGGGTACCGAAGTAGCTCCACGTTTCAACTTCTCAGCGCGGCTTGGATATGTTGATATCAACTTTGACGGAATCCCCACGTTGACGGAATACTCACTTATAATATAAGCAGCTCGAAGGGGAGCGGGAATTGAGTTCTGAGGAGATCGTAGGAGGACTAGCAGGTCCCATTTTGTAGTTTGTAGTGGGTTACCGTCTAGGATGTTAGAACGGACGACCACATGCCTTGGGCGGGAGAAGACCACGACTTCGACGCCTGGGGACTTCTTAAGCTCTTTCACAAAGCTTCTTGGGTCGGTGTTGGGGGTAAGAGATAGAAGGTGGAGCGTTAGAAGAGGCATGGTGAGCAGCACTTAGCGTAGATCCATTGAAATATCGTATGTAGATACTAAATGATTGAACAGATATGGCGAGTTTTGGTTTTATATAAATCAAGGCATTTCATCTGCAGCATGATGTATTGCCGGCGTGTCGGTATGCCGAGGTCCAAGAGATGGAGCGGAGAGGAGCGCCGGAAGCTTATTTGTCGGGCCGGACTAGCCCTAGGCGGTTCAAAGAGCCGCAATATCATCAGCGTGTTTGCTCTTTGTTAGTTTGCTCTTGTTTTGTAGGAAAATAAATAAAACTGCGGTTTCTAGAACTATTTTTGTAGTCATCACTTGCTGATTTCGGGTTCGGTGCGAGTCCATCATCTTGTGACAGCATAGGCGATTTTGTCCTTGCAGCAAGGAGCTATGGAGTTGAAAGTAGAAATGTAATAAATTCATCATTGGAACATCGATTACTCGAAATTCAACACCTATTTGATTGAATTATATATATGTGTATATAGTAAAGCTGACAGTAACCCATGGCGCTTTTCAGTCCGCATGTCATGGTTGATTCGCAAATGTCATGGCAGACAGGGAGCTTTCACCTATCAAGTATTCCAACATTGTAAGAGAATATGATATTTCCAATTCTACGAGTTTCTGGTGATTGAAAAGTTTCATCGTCTTTGTAGGTTTGTCGAGGTCCTCTACTTGAGCTGAGATCCCGAGAGCATGGAATAAAGAAATTCTGCGGGTATGAACCATATTAGCCGCTGAAGAAAATTTTGGACTGAGTGAAAACAGCTCTGCAATCTATGCCTGCCCACAATAAAGCTTTTAATCATGAAAAGGAACCATGGTTCTTTCCACTGAGGAACATTTAGCAAGCATCGGATTCAAAAGTCAATTGGGGTCAACCGCGCTAAGTTGTTTTAAGAAATAAATCACATGACCACAATCGGGCGTAAGTTTCAATACCGTATCTTTGTATTTGCTTTACCAGAGACTTCCAAGGTTGACTTCTAGTTCGACGCGTGAAAACAATATCGCGTTTTCCTCCACCACAGCCGCCACATCTCCCCAAACATCAACATGAGATAGAGACGCCCAACTTGACCAATTCGATGTTTAATTTGCTTGTCCCATCTGCTGCTTCTTTCTGCGATGTATTTACCTCGGAATCTTATTTCCCAGCTTTACTTTGATCTCCTCCGATCCCACCATCCTCTCTCCCCACCCGTACTGATACTTGCCGCCCTGGAGCCAGATGCGCTGTGTGCATGTCGAATCTTGACGACATTACTCAAACGAGATTATATTCCTCACAAAATACAGCCAATTAATGGATATGGCGATTTATCCCGCGCTGGAGAAGAGCTGGTTCGTCCCATGCGAACCACGCAGGGCGGGAGCGGGGGAGTGGTCGTCTGTATGGGCGTGGGCGGCCTGGTAGATTTAAGTGATGTATTAGGTCTCGATGTGGACGAGACAGGGAGCATGGGTGGTGTTGAAGTTTGGGTCATTGATGCTAGAAGACCATGGAATCTGGGGAATGTCTTTGGAGGATACCCCGGACACGCTGGACTGGAAGAACAAGATTTACATCAGAGACGCAGTGTTGGGTTGAATAAAGGATGTATCACGCCATCTTATAAGTCACATGAAGGAATAATTGTTTTTGACGATGGCGACATCGAGGAGGAATTAGCGGCTGAAAGGGAGGCTTACTGCGCGCTCCTAGAAATGCCCGAGTTGGACGAGGATGATGTGGACAGCAACGATTCTGACAGTCCTACGGACACAGATGAAGATTCTGGAGTTCATACGAAGAAAAGAAAGTCATGGCCCGGTCGTGATGACGATGATGACCACTCCGATGACGAAGGGCCACCGCGACAAAGGCGCAGGAGCAACACTGTTCGTACCATTACATCACAAACTAATTTTATACTTAGACTAATGGCTATATTGTAGGGATCCTTTATAACATCGCCAACCCGTTATGAACGTCAACCGCGAGATTCCTCCCAGTCATCTCGCTCCCCGTCTCCTTCCTCAGGCTCCGAATCTCCAGCCGCGCCGAAACAGCCCTCGGCGCGTGCTCTACGGCGTCGGTTAGTGCGACTAAAACGAAAACACGAAGGTGTATTGCGAGCGTACTACTCGCTGGGCACATCATATTCTGAGCCAATATCGTCTCTATTATACTCGCTTGCATCAGAACTTGGCCGGGAAGATAATGACCTTCTGTGGCTGGCAATTGTTGGTGTATCCAGCTTAGAGCTATCAGGACGAACCATGACGGGTGTCGGGATATCTAATGCGTCAGAGTCTGGAGGTTCAGCTGGCTGGGGAGGTGAGCGAGGTGAGCGCATTAGGCAGGTGCTTCGAGACGAAGTTCGTCGCTTAAACCCGCCCGAACTCTCCGAGACTGGCCGTGAAGCTCAAAGGAGCGAAGTCAGCGGTGTTATACCCACCACTGGCCGCTCACCCAACGATACTTCGATTCTGCTTTCTCCAGAACCACGATTCCTCCTCGTCCGCCACTGGTCTTTGTACGAAAGCATGCTCCATAGCCCGTACCTGGCTGCCAGACTTCATCTTTGGAGCGAAAATGGGCGTAAGCGTCTACACAAACTTCTCGCCAAAATGGGCGTGAGTCTTAGCCAATGTCAGCAGAATTATACTCACATGGACATGGAACTCAAGCGTGGATTGCGGCAGAAACTACTCAAGTATGCTCCAATGTACGGACTGGAGGGCCTGGTGCCGCAGGCATCCTCGGGAGCTCAATTTGGGACTTATGCTGGCTGGGGATTTGTACGCAGTTGGGGTTGGAAGGCATGTCTGTCTGCCACCGACGTTGGCGTGATCCTTGGCGCTATTCTTGAAGTCGGCAAAATAGATCCCACTTCATCAGATAGCGATCGGCACCGTTTTCAAAAGACCGTCCGGGAAAAAGACGACAGTGCGACCAGTGACGTTTCCGATCCGAGTTCGGACTCTTCCCAGATACTTGCCCGTTTCTGGAGTGCCTATGACGCAATTTCGCTAACCTCATCCGAATCCCCAACAAATCTCCTCAGCTCGTTACCCCTTGCACAACATCTGCACCGTGCGATCTTACGCACGGGCACCTCGCTACTATCCAAACACCAAATCCGGCATTTACGGGCATTTAGAATTGCGGTGGTCAAGGATGGGCCAGATGTAAAACTTTTCACCAACCCCGGCGCATTAACTAAACTCGCGCTATGGGTTGGAGAAGCTGTTCGTGTTCAAGAACAAGAAAAGGGAGACGGAATGAAAGTCGGCGGCAAACGGGCAGTCGGGACCCCACTTGTCCTGGCTGGCTTGGACGAAGATAGGAACGTCTATGTAGTCGTTGGAACCGGTGGTGGGGGAGGGGTGGTGGATTTTGCCGCTCTCGCACAGCGACGCGATGAGAGGCGGAAAAAGAAGGAAGCACAGGAGAAAAGGAGAGCGGAAAGGGACGAGAGGCGGGCTAAACGGGCGGCTGAGAGGGCGGAGCGTGGAGAGGATGAGGATGATGGGACAGAAGAAGAGGAAGAAGAGGATGATGATTCTTCGTCTGGTTCTGATTCGGAGTCGGATGATGATTTTGATGAGCGGAGTAGCATTCACAGCCGAAGCATTGCGCGCAACCGCTTTGGAATTGCGTTCCAAGAGGTTGTTCACGAGACGAATGCCCGGGTGAGAATTGACAGCTTCGAGCATTGTGTTGTGGAAGTGCAGAAGGAAGATCTGGGCGGATTCCTTGAGGCGCTAAGTTTCAGGAGCGTTGTTGGGTAATATGAGTGGCTGGTCATTGCATGATGCCGGACATTGCAATGCTTGCCAATCCTACAACAGACCTCTCATAGCGTCGTTATGGGGTCCGACTACATCTGTTGAACATTCCATCTTTGATGTACAGTTTGCGAGCTCTTATCATCGGGGCGTTGCCCTCCGCTTTTCTTCTATTTCCCATCCCATCGGCCACTTTCCTCACCGTTTACCTCCTCGGCATTTACGATATATCTCAACCATTTCCCCAGTTACCCCTCGTCTGTTATTCGCAATATATCCCCCCCCATCCTTTCCCGACCTGATTCTCCCATTTCTCTCTACTGGCAAACTACTTGCCTCCCCTTATCACGACATTTCCACGTATTTCATGCTTTTGGAGCCCCCTTTTCGCGTTCTTTACAATTAGGTTATTTTTTGGAGTATGGCCCGCGCTTTCCTTTCATCCATTTCGCCCTCCTTTTTTGTCGTCGTGAAGCATAAAGACCTTGTATATAGCGTTGTGCGGGTATGGAGGGTTATTGCTGGATGGCGTTTCCTATAATGACTATTTTGTTGCTATTTGTTCCTTTGCTTTTTTTCACATTTTTTCCTCATCCTCTCCCTACCCTACCCCACCCCTAGTCTAGTTACAAAGATGGAGTAGAATGTTTCATATGAAGGAAAGTAATACATGTGAATACTGGTTGATTTTTCCCTCTTTTTTTCATGTACTTCATCTTTCTTCTGGTTTTTTTTTTTTTTTTTTTTTTTTTTTTTTCTTTTTCCCACGCTTCGTGTTTATGTTGTTCCTTCCCTATTTTCACCCCAATCTGTACCCCCGGATGCGATGAGGTCAGTTTGCTCCCGGCTGACTGCCTCTTGTCTTCCTTCATGGTATATATTCTATGATTACATTTTGACCCGTGTTCTTTTTGACCCATTGATGTGCTTGAAACATTTTGGCTGTTCGGGTTTTCTTTCGGCTACCCGTTTACCATTTTGGGGTTGTACGTGTGCTGAAGTAATAGAGAGGCATAGACTACAATAGAGAGTGATGGGGGGGGGAGGGAGGGAGACTGTGCGTCTGTCTATGAAGTAGTCCAATCCGTAAAGCTTTCAAGAAAGGAAGAATATATATATACAAATTTTCCCTCGCTAGCTAATTTAGAGAGAGAGGAAGAGCAAAAGAAGAGGTATAGATGGTAAAACAGACTTAGAAGTGAAATGGAAACAATGAATCAGAGCGTAAAAAATATCAAAACACAGCTATGGTTTCCCAAGCAAAGAGCCAGCAAACCAGACCGCCCCCAGGCTCGTTAATACAGATAATCCCACAAGCTGATTACTCCAGTTATTCGAGTCGTCCATTTTCATGGCAGCAGGGGAGATCTTGAACGGCGTGCCAGTGTTATCTTGACGCGTTTCGCCCTCGCCGGTGCTGTTCGATGCCGATTCTGGAGTGGACTGTGCATGTATCTGTGGTTCTTGCAGTCTCCATTCCTCAACTAACTTGGCGATGGCCACGAGGTCCTCCCTTAGCGAGTTAGCATCGGCCGTTGCGTTTCCGTGATTCCCTTCGACATCGACATTCTGCACATTGCCGAAAAAATCCATAACTATGCGCTGTCTACCTTCTGCTTCACCGCCAGGGAACAAATCCCACCGCACGCCGGGCTGAGAATGGATCTTCGACTCGTCGTACGAATCAAAGAGGTCGCCTAGAGTACGCTTGGAGTTCTGGTTCGTAACCTGCGTTTCCAGGAACTCGAGAATATAGTATGTCCAGCGATCGATGACGGCGACTCCCACGTCGCTATCGGCATGGTGGGAGTAGGACGACTGAGAGAGGGCGCTGGAACCCGTGGCGATGATGTTGGGGGAGTAGAAGTGGGTGTACATGGTATTGGCTTGGCAGGTATCGATCATGAAGAGCAATTCCCGGTATCGTTTCTTTTCCCACATCTGCCCGAAAGCGTCAGCCAAGTCCCACGCGCCTATTTCCTCTGAGTCCTGGAATTTCAGGAACTGATCTCCGCCGTGCCCGGTCATGTAGACAAGGACGTTGCTTCCTGCATCAGACCCCAGTCGCTTGCTGCGGGGCACGTCGTCACCTAGCCGGTCTGTTAAGAGTCGGATGAAGCTCTCTACAGTCACTTCGTAGCCACGATAGTCTACTTCTATGTTGTCGCCGTATAGGTCTAGAGCGCGGTCGGCGTTGTTATATACCGTTCCTGGAAATGCGTTGCGAGGGTTGCAGGCCATGTCGTCTGGTAACATCAGGATGATCTGGGAATCGGGAATCCCGAGCCTTTTGACCGTACGGTAGAGGGAGAGGACATTGGCGAGATGGCGGTAGTTGAACCAGAACCGGGAGGTAGAGACGAGGACGGCCCAATTAGAGGTGTGTTCTGCGGAGACGAGGTGGGAGAGCAAGGTGAGGAGGGTGGGGAGAATAGAGAGGAGGCGCATGGCGTAGATGGGAGGGAAGAGATATTTAATACAGTTCAGCTCATGGAGACGTAAATACCTACTAAGTAGGTATGTAGATTGGGAGGCAGTGCCGTGAATGTATGTGCAATACAATTCAATATAAAAAGCGCGGTGAAGTCGAGGTTCTGGGCACTTCCGAATTGGGTTGAGGATGCGTTGTCAGCAAGGCAGAATGTTGGAAGTCACGGGCGCTAAAAGTGACCTGGATCCGCATACCATCTAGCGTGGGGCGGGAGGTACCGCTACCCGGCCCAAGCTCTTGTTTGCTGCTTAACATGATTGCTGCATTCCCCATCTTTGTCTTGTCTTGTTTCAACTTCACCAACTTGAGTCATTCCCTTCTGCTTCTTCTTCCTCTCCATCTTCTTCTTCTTCTTCTTCTTCTTCTTCTTCTTCATCTTCTGTTCTCCCCTTCTTGTTGCTCGTCTAGATTCACTCATTGTGCTTCTGTTTATCTAGCTTGTCTTCAAGGCTCTCTGCAGATAGAGGACACTTCAGTTGTTGTCTGGCTATGTATGCCACCCCCCATACAACACTGCCGATTGTTACCTACCCTACCTAGCTTGGTTTGCTTCGAAATAAATATCTACGCCAGCTGTTAGTTGATGCCTGTTTATCTCCACCATACTCATACCTATCTATCAGGAATACAAGAGTCTACAGTAGCCTGTTTTTGACTATTTGAGCTTGCGACTTGCCCTAGAGAGTTTATCAATTTTCTGCTCTACCGTCTTGCTATATGTTACATTTTATTCCGTGCATCACCTTTTTATATTGATGAATGTGAATGTCATTTCAAGTTCAATCATCTCTCTTCTACTACTTTGAATCCCCAGTTCTGTGTTGTCTCCGTGCAAATATCTTGATCCAAGGATCCCCGCAAACGTCGGGATCAGCTCCCTTCTACCGATTATAGAGTTGATAGCTAGCTGGTTAACCCCCTGCCTCGATGTATTCACCCATTAATGGCTTTGGCCCTTCATTTTACGAGAAAAAGCCAAAAAAACCACCAATACTATGTCTTCCCCCGGAGACGCTCAATGCCATATTTTCCTATGTGAGTACTCGCAAACCCCGCAAAATGATAACACTATTCGCTTAGCTTCTCTCATCTTTATTAACACACGCATTTCTCGGCTTTGTTAGGCTTCCTCTTCGGATTTGGTTAACCTTTCCCGCGTTTCAAAACCTTTCCATGACCTCGCTGCAGCCCAGCTCTATCGCTCCTTAAGTCATGTTTTTGATGAGCGTGATCCAACGACAGGACAACTGACTTTGGGTCGTCTAACTGGTGTTCTGGATACCCTGACTATAAGTGACTACAACTACGCCGCATATATCAAGGAAATATCCCTGGATACAGTTCAGGACAATCGTATTGACGCAAGTGTAGCTTCGGAATTCAAATATAGATCTAGCTCTGGGAGGTTTTTGAATACTCTACTACTCGGAACTATAAAAAAGATAGTGGCCCTGGAAAGTTTCCGGTAAGCTACTTCCTATTCGTACTACATCTAGCTTGTGATTTTTTTTTTCTAAAGTTATTTATTTCTGAGCCGATTATTAGGTGGAATGTTCGTGTGGAGCTTAGTCCCGCTATCTTCGCAACATTAGGCAAGCACACAAGCCTCCAAAATGTCCATGTTCGATTGCAAGATGGGCTACCTACTTGCCCATCTTCGCCAATGCCACCTCTCTCCGGCTCATTGTCGTTTGGCGCTCCTACTACTGCCTCTATGCCGCCAACCACGAATCACTATCACTATGATAGTCACCACCACCACCATCACCACCATCATCATCATCATCAGCCACCGCCCCCTTCGGGTTCCGCGCAAGGCTTTTTGGCAAATGCTGATGTAAAACTAGTGAAGCGGTTGAATATTCGAAAGCTTTCTCATACTGCCCGGAATTTCTCTAGGTTTTCAAGTTTGAAGAGCTTGGCAGTTTTAGATGTGGATACCCTTGATTATGTCCCAGAAATTGCGGAATGCATTTCATCGTCGTCAACCACTCTTAAAACCTTAAAACTATCTTTTTCGGATACGCTGGCTCTCAAAGCTCGGAAGAAACCTGTGGATCCATCGGACGCGGATACCGTACAAGAAGACGACGATGGCGGGTTTTTAAACGGTCCTTTGATGGCATCTCCAGCGCCGCCTCCACCACCCGTAGGGTCGCAATCATTATTCGGAAACCCGCCTACAACGAATGATGCTGGTGTGCGCCTTGAACGTGCTGCCCAGGAGAAGGCCCTTGCTCAAATTTTTGGGCTGGAGAAAGGGACTGCTATACAGCAGAACCTTGAGAGAATTGCGGACCGTGCAATTTCTAATGCAGACAAAGAAATCCAAGCGCTCGGGCCATTGCAACATGACGTAGATCGAATGTTTGTGGAAAAGCTGTCCGCAATCGTACATAGGCTAGAACGGAGCAAGGGCGCTTCCAGGGGCTCCAGCATTTATTTGAAGGCTCTTCAAAAGATCGAGAGAGCAGCAGCCATTTATCTGGAGAGAAATGAAGCCACAAATGTCTATCGGAAGGGGAAGAAGAAACCATTCACTAGCCAGAAGCACTCTCACAAAGCACCACTTGCACAAGGCCCAGGTACACAAAAGCAAGGCTCACTATTCGGAACTAGCGCGCCTCAATCCCAAACTACATTTGGCTTTGACCAAGGAACTCATTCTATGAAACATCCTGGTCTGGTATATCCACAGTCATCACAGTTCCCACCATCGAACAAAAGAATATTTTACCCCTCGCAGGGATCTTACCCTCCTGGATCTTCATGGACTACCCCGGGATCTATGCATAAAAACAATGCTGTACACCCGGGAAAGTCGGCCAATGATTGGAAGCCTACCGGTAAGGCCTTTGCGGACTACTCGTCATCTCCATCCGACGCCGGAGAGAGCATTTTCAGTAAGTTCCAACAGGGTATGCATAATGAAGATCCTCAGCAGCCCGCTATGCTTGAGCCGGAAGAGAAAGAATTTGAGGATAAGTTGCAGGATATGGTTGATATGGAGCACCCGGATGAAGTCAACGATGAAGATGGTGAAGATCAGGAGTTTCTTGACTTGAGTGAGAGCTCTGCGGAAGATCAGGACCCAGTTCCATTTTTGCATGACAAGCCGAAATTGTCCCAGCCTAATAATGTATTCTCTTCTGATGCGGATGGGCATGCATCAGGCTCATCATATAAAGGGAAACAGCCTATTCGGGCTTCTGGCAATTCTTGGCATACTGGCTCGCCGACCTCTATATTGCATCAAGAAATCGGAGGCATGGAGGATACTGAAGACGCCATCCAAGCGTATATTCGCCTACACCATGGAATCCCAGTGGAAAGTTTATCTATTCACCTGATCCCTGTGAAACCATCCATACTTTGCCGAGCCGTCAATCTTTCGGCACTGAAGCATCTCTGTCTTCTGAACGTCGGACCACAACGGCCATTCTGGGCCATGCTCACTAAGTTACACCAGACCACTCCACTCCAATTAACGTCAATCCATACAGATAACGTCACACCGAGCTTTCTGGCGTTTTTGAATGGCCTGAACTACTTAGAAGAGCTCTTCATGGTGGAAAGGAGCAATCGGTCAAAAGTCGAGTCCTTCGCACCCAAGACGGAAGTGGTAATTGAAGACATCAAGAAGCAGGTACTTACAAAGCATGTGACACATCTGAAGCGTTTGATGATTCGAAACGACAACGACTCGTCCTGGGTTTTGAATAAAGAAGCCGCCCTGCTTGTTGGTCGACGCGGCTCGGCGATAAAGGAGCTCGTTGTTGCCCTGAACTCGCCTAATTTTGTAAGTTTCCAATGCATCCATACTTTTTGCCTATGTGTGGTCACATCCCCCCTTCCCACGAAAACTGTATGTAGAACATACTGACAAAATCTAAAATCGAAACAGCACGTGCTTATGCTGAACATGCACGGCTTACGCTCTCTTCGGGTTCTGCACATCCTCTTTACCCAAAATGATTCCTGCTCAGGCATGCTCCGTGAGATCAGGCTCTGTGCCATCGACAATGTAATCCAATCCCCCCACATGAAAGTAGAATATATCGCCGTAAGTTATGCGGTGAAAGAACCCGGAACAAATTCCATTTCCCGCCTAGAGTATCACCCGGCTTCCTCCTCCCGCTCAAAAGATGGGAGTAAAAATGTGCATTCACTATACGACGAGGACGCGGATGAGGACAGGAATGGGGTTGGAGACGGTTTCGGCCATCCCCCATCATCTACTGCTCATCATGCTTCTGGGAGCCTCAAAGGCAAGGAGAAAGAAGTGCATTTTCCATGGGGGAGCGAGGTAGAAAACTCCTATGATGAGGATGATGAGGATTATGAGTATGATGATGAGGAGGAGGTAGGGCATGGTGAGGTAACAGTTCATGACGGGTTGAAGTTTCATGATATTACCGGTGTTAAAGTTTGGCAGAAAGAGATCTGGGATTTGAAACTTTGAATGTCGTCGACGTTGATGGTGAGGAAGGTGAGGGAAGGCTGTGACATGATTCCGATAAACAACCGAATCCTTCCTTATTGTCCTGGGTTATGTTCTTCGTTACTGTTGTTTCGCTGCAATTTTCTGTCCCCATCGGTCCCTAATAATTCTGCTCCTTGGCTGCATGTAACCCTGAAGATATTACCTACCTCGTATTATGCCAGATTTTTGCCTGCCTCATGTACTGTCTGTCTGCTTTTAGTTGATTTGGTTTTATTTTCGCTTTTTGATTTCCCAGCTAGCTTGAATTCTTCCTGCGGTTTCTTGCGACAACACTGGCTTTAGCAATTCTGAAGTTACGCAAGCACCTGAGACAGCACGGAGAATAAGTGATAGAGAGGGAAAAGGAATTGCACATATGATGTGGAAGTTCGTGATCTTATGAATCCCCGGGAAAATGGAGATCGGTTGGTGGGGCTGAGTATTGGGATTGGGAGCAAAAGCACCATTTTGTGTGCAGTGAATTTTAGATACTGGGTTCTCCTTTGAGTATTCGATGTTTATGAGGTTTATGATAACGAGCCGTGTTTCCAATAGAAGAGATATGATGATGATTTTACGCTTATTTAGACAATGGAGTTTTGCTTGGAGCTTTGGTTGATTGACTCCATTTCAATATTTGCCCTTTTCGATCGGCCTAACCAACGACTAATTCATGCTTACGTGATCCCGATGTTGTCACTGCCTAAAAAAATTGACCTCGATCAACTTATCACGCCGACTCACTCCGCAAACTCATAGATCGATATACATACTACAGTTGTGACCCTCGTCCTAGCAAAGCCACTTTTTCCCTTTATTTTTTAAAACGTTGTCTGAGATCTTGCATAGTGTATTTATATCGCGCAACTATGGCGGGAAAGAAGGGCGGCGAAAACACGAAGAAGGCGGCGGGCAATGCGAGAGTATGATATCATACCCCTCCCAAATACAGCTATGTCCTCACTTTTGGGAATGTAGCTGAACTAGCGGTACACAACTATAGAAAGCCGAAGCTGCCGCGCAGAAAGAGGCGGCTGCAAACGCTAGAAAAGCCGAGGAGGAAGCTCGCGAATGGTCGAAGGGAGCCAAATCATCTGCGAAGAAGTATGAGAGACCCCCCACACCCGAGCCACTTTCACCCAACTCAACACCAGGAGCCAACAATACCGATATGATCACACTTAATATGCCCAAGAGAAAAAGCACCACTGACAACCCACTCTCCAGAGAGCAAGCCGAAACCAAAAAGGCCGAAGCAGCCCGTAAAAAAGCCGAACGCGAAGCCCAACTAGCCGCCGAAGAAGCCTCCCTCCCCTCCAAACCCAAAGGCGCCGGCGCAAAATCCGCCTCGAAAAAGAACCTTCCCCGCGCCGGCACCCTTGATCTTTCCCAGCTCGACGCCGACGAGAAACCCACAGGGCACAAAAAGGCCACCCCGGCCCTCAACGCCACTGGCATCGACAACGCGCTCGACGCCCTCTCACTCACCACCTCGTCCGAGACGACCAAGATCGACCGCCATCCGGAGCGGAGGTTCAAAGCCGCATACGCCGCCTTTGAGAGGCGCCGGTTGCCGGAGATTGAGCAGGAGCAACCGGGCCTGCGGAGGCAGCAACGCATTGAGGTTGTGCGGAAGGAGTTTGAGAAGAGTGAAGAGAACCCGTTTAATCAGGCTACCGTTGCGTTTGATGCGACGAGGGAGGAGGTGATGGCTGTTAAGGAGGCGGAGAGGAGGAAGATTGAGGGGCGGTTGGTGGGGAAGAGGGATTTGTGATCTTTTTTCTTTCTTTTTTCTTCTGGGTTTGTGTATTTTCTTTCCTGCGGGTTTTTTGGGGACCGGGTTAGCGGGCACACTGTTTCCGCATATAATTATGGCGGGTTTTGCTTTCTCTCGTTTGGAATGAATGGATGAATGGTGATGATTGTTTGATGATCATGGCATGGTTCTATGTATTCATGCAGACGAACATGGGATAAGCAGTACATGATTTTCCTCATTCCATTATTTCAGGATAGATATTTCTCCTCTCAATTTTTTGTATGGCATATATACTGATCTGATGACTCGCAATTATGCCCCAAAACTTGTGTATTGACTTTTTGATTTCTAAGATAGACTAAGTTCGATAAATCAACGGAGAAATTTCTCTGATAGCTTCAAATGAAAAAAGAAAGATTAGTTTGTCTATGTTTATTTATGACAGTGATTAAATAAAGAGATATTATGCTGTGTAAAATCCAGCAGCAGGTATTGGGGGGGAAATATTCAAAAAGAATGGTAGGAAGCATTACAAGGTGAGCTCAAAAATCGAAGCTTTTAAACCAAAGACTCTTAACTCCAGTTTCGAAGACGGAAAATGTGCAATATATAACATGGTAGAGGTCGGGGAAGAGGCAGAGGTGCGTAGATAGGTACAGGTAATAGATCAAAAACGAGAATGAGATATATATAAAAACAATGAGAAAGGAAATCAGTAAGGGGAGGGAAGTAGTAGACGGTGAGTATGAGGCACAAAGAAAGGAAGAAAAAAGCAAACATGTGGGCTAGTGGGGAGAGTGTGTAATGGCACATCAGTCAGTAACTAGATATGAGTAGATATCCGAATCACTGTATGTATACCAGCTGCAGATTAGCCTCGACTCATTAGGACAACATAGATGAAGAATAAAAACAACCACGTACAATTTCCCAAAGCTCTCCCTTCCCATGGCATCCTCACGAACCCAGACGCTCACGTTACGTGACACCACACCAAAAACACCATAACCGCGACTGTCAATCTTCACTCTGGAACGGCAATAACCATAAACCTCCGTCCAGACGCTGCCCGCATGCGCTTTTCCTACATACATGCGCTTCGTGTCGGCAGGGCCGTTGCTGAGGACGCAAGCGAGACCATCTGGATGTGCTGAGTCGCCCAGGCGGACGAATCCTGTACAAGAAGTGTTAATTAATCATGACAGGCACCCGAGATTTGGGGGTGGATACAGGGGTTGCACGAGATTTCGAGCAGATATGTATAAAGCAAAGGGGCAGAAACTAACCAATACAATTCCTTTTATCAAAATAATCGCGCTGTCGACCGTATGCATATAATTTTCTAGCAAGGGCTAGGTCGGCTAGTCGGTCATTGCAGGAGGGTTTGAGGATGCCCTGGCAGCCACCGCACATTCCGTACAGGTCGCCGTAAAAAAGGCAGGGGTGGCCCTCTTTGCGAAGGAGGATTAGGGCATATGCGAGCGGCTTGAAGAAATCTTCTATGGGTTCCTATTTGGTTGTTAGGAGGCCCTAATTTTTTGACGCGTCATTTTAGTGGGCGATTGGCAAGAATAATTTACCTCGAGGGATTGGGACGGTTGCTGGATTGTTGTTAGAAATTTGAAAGTGGCTAGAATTTGTGTAGTGAAACAAAGAAAACAAACTTACAGTATCATGGTTCATGACAAATGTCTAGCCACTCCGACATGTTAGTGAACCCGTTTGTACCTTCTTGTCGATCGGTTGAAGAGGGGTTTCTAGATAAAAACGCACCACAGCATGTTTCTGCTCATATTTAACCAAAGTCCCCTCAAAGACCCTACGCAAATCAGCGCCTGCCGTCCTCGAAATCTGAGAAAACCGGTGGACCAATGGCGCATCAAATAACGAGACCAGGTAGTCCATTCGTCCTAAATATTCCAAAAGTTCTCGGACTTCTACCTTCCAATATTCAGCCACAAGGAACCAGCCAGGCCCAACCGTTCGCTGAACATGGCCGATAAACTCTTTTAGAAACCCAGCTGAATAGTGTTTTACCGCATCCAACCTGAGACCAGCGATCGGTAGTTGGTCACCTATCCATTGAATCCATTTCAGGACGTCCTCACGAACTTCTGGATGGGAGTAGTCCAGATTCGCAAACATCAAATAGTCGTAGTTGCCATTCTCCTTGCTAACATCTCGCGCCCAGTCCTTAGTATCGGGCCCCATGATTTTATATATCCCTGTTTTCTTATTACGGGCATTATAGTCGACTCCTGTAAAATGGTACCAATGATATTTCATTTTGCTGTACCTTGTCCCCCGACCAGGAAATGAAAAACCCAACCAAGCTTCAATTTCCTCGGGCTCACTGATGATTTTTCTGCGGTCTAAAGTTTTGGTTGTGGCATTAGTATCAACACTGGACGTATTTTTGGGTAGTACAGACGTAGAAAACCCCTTCCCCATGGCCCATTAGTGGCATTTAATTTAAAAGGTCAGAAACCCACCTTTCGGATTAACCCTAACCGCCACACACCTCTCCGTATGATCAGCCGCAGCTTTATGATTAAGCACCGTATCCCAAATGACCGCAATCTCCATCTCATGCGCCCTCTTCACAAGAGCAACAAGCTCCTCCTTAGTCCCCCACTTCGTGGCCCTGGACCCTTTCTGATCGAACTCGCCCAAGTCGTAAAGGTCGTAGATGTCATACCCGTTGCCGGACGGGCTCATGGCCTTACAGCCCGGTGGGAGCCAGATACTGGTCACTCCGATCGCCTTAAGACTTGGCAGGGCTGCCAGCAGCCGTCGCCAATGTTTCTGGTCATCAGGCACGTACCACTCGAAGGCCTGGAGCATGAGCTGGTTTTGCTCACCCGACTCATCGGGGTTGAAGTCTGGGAAAATGATTAGTGAAGTGCTACTTGTTTTCTTTCGGGAATTTTGCGAAGGTAGTAAGAGAAACCATAGGTAATGACGGTATTGAGTTTTGAAATGGAAGAGCTTAAAAATTTGCGGAGGACAGTCGAATAAACCGAATAAAGCGTCGCCGGTCAGAAATGAATTACGTATCCAGACAGAAAATGAGACCCAACAACGGAGATCCATAAAAATCCATAAAATTACATATAGGAAGAGGGTCAGCCAAAAAAGACAAAACTTACCGTCAATATCAAGCCATTGCGTCTCCCGCTTCCGAAATATATACTGGTAGGCTGACGATATAAGAGACCCCATTCTTCCGCAACAAGAGGGTCCCGACAGACACCGCCGCAGCCACTTCCCGCCTCAAACACCCTGGACAGGATGCACTTCTCAGAAACTAATGCAGACAGTGTTGGGAAAAAAGGGAAGAAAGATATCACACGTCACGTGCACACGCACGTCTGTCTCACTGTAGTAGTATACTCTGTACGTATACGCAGTTTAGTTCATGCTCCGTTTCTTTCTTTTTCTTTCTCTTCTTCCTTTCTGTGCTTGAGTTATGATCTCGTTGTTCTCAAATAGCAAGAAAGAATAAAATAAACAAAAAAAAAAAAAAAAAAAAAAAAAAAAAAGAATTAGCGTGTGGATAGTTAAATAAAGTTTCAGGGGTAGTTCGGCCTGTGATTTTTTGATACACCGATGCACAGTTCAGGGGACCAGGGGCAATTGATCAAAGAATGGGTCTCCTATATGATGAGCAATGTAACTGGAAAATCGTATAGCAGACAGGGAGTATTAAGGTAAATATGTACTGGGTATATGTATGTACGTATATGGGTTTGGTATGTTCAGAAAGGAGACACGTGGAATGAGTGGTTGGTGGTTTTAAGATGCGGCAATGAGAGATCAGCCGTAGGCGACTATTCTACGTACTAACTGTAATAGGAAAGAACGGTCTTGGCATGGTTGAGGAATCATATCATCACGTTCAGTTTAATTATCGCATGTGGTTAGACTGGTGGCAACATTGTAAATGCACAAAAAGAGTAGGAATATTAACTTTTGTGAGAGAAATGCTATACAATGTCTATCAGAGGGTGAAAAGAAATGGGCTCTATCTAACACACTTCTAGAAACGACAATGAGAAAGCAACTCTATGAACACTATCCATGGCATATAGAAAAGCAAAAAGGTTCTTTTGGAAAAATCAGGGAATATCCATCACCCTCTATCTATACATGCAATAGAAAAAGTTGCTCTAAAAAAAAGACCAGACAGTAGAAACGAACCAGGAAACGCACAGAAATGAAATGAAGAATAGTACATGCCAATTTTTATTTTTTTGAAAAGAGAGGGAACAAATGAATACAAACGAAACAAAAATCGAAGGGGAAGTTATTTGCGGACATGGTTATTTCAAACAAAAAGTAACAGCTTGTCTATCTGGTATTTCATTACTTTTCATCTTTTTTAAAAACAAAAGGAATTCTGATCCAAAAAAAAAAAGAAAGAAAGAAAGAAAGAAAGCAAGAAAATTACATCCCGGATGAATCCGCTAGGGACATAAGGAAGGTCAAATAGTGCGTCGCGACCAGGTGTTCTAGGAGGTAGGTATCGAGAGGGTTAAAGGAACGGGTAGGCGGTAAATTGAGGATAATCAAGGAAGAATTTATTTCAAGTCGATACCCTGAGTGGCGTTGAGGACGCGCTTGATGTCACCTGTAGAGAATAGGAACTCAGTAAAACGATTATACAAGGAAATTCAGAATGAGAAGGAACCGGGGAACATACCGTAGATAGCAAACTGGCCAGCAGTGATAGCACCAACCAGGAAGAGACGAGCACTAAGACCGCTGAAGCTGCCCTTGAGTCCGAGATCCTTGGCAATCTTGATCAAGCGGGACATGTTTCCTTCACCTGGAAGGCCTTCAGTCTTGTTGATTTTGCTAAGCATAGTGTCGGCAGGCTGGGAGATAACGGCGGAAGCAAGACCAGCGACAAGACCAGATCCCAAGTTGATTGAGGTCTTGGCGCCATTAGAGAGGGTATCCTTGTCGAAATGACGGTACAGAGCCTCGGAGACTCTCTCGAAGACGACGAACTTGGCCATAGTGTAGGGAACCCTTTAGAGAAATTAGTACAAATTAAATCAAAGCGATGTATGTATGCGCGGATGCTTTTGGGGTTGGGGAGGAGAAAGCTTACTGTTTCAAGAGGATAGGGCCGAAACCAGAGTAGAAAGCACCGATTCCTTCATTCTTCAAGATCTTTCCGAATCCACCGACAAGACCAGAAGCGAAACCAGGTTGAGAAACGAGACGGATACGAGTGGCCTCGAGAGGGCAGAGAGCGATGGAAGCGAAGAACTCAGCAAGAGCAGAGGAGGAGAGGTAGACAGCAGTTCTGTTCCTGGCGGCAGTCTCATAGCCAAGGAAGTCGATTGACTGCTTCTTGAAGAACTCGTAACCTCCGAACTTGAAGGCACCTTGGAGGAAGTAACCCGCAGCAGTAGGACCGAAACCGGTCAGGAGAGCGGCAGCTCCCTCATTCCGAACGACCTGTCTGAATCCTGCAATCATGCCTCTGTTGTAGGTCTGGGGTTCAAGCTGGATTTTCGTCTTGACACTGCAAGGCGATTGCCATTGTTAGCCTCGGGTAAACAACGGACAGGCGTAGAAAGGGGGTTACAACAAACAAGAAGAAGAGAGACAATGGGACTTACACGTCGACAGGTGTGAGGGCGCCATGGGTAGCTGAACAGCAGACAGCGCCAGCAAAGGCGAATCTTGCGTACAGGTTAATGCCGCTCAACTGAGGGCCCTGGGGGGTAGGCAAGGCTGGCTTTTTGACGCCATCCAGCTGGGCAGAAGGGGCAGCAGCAGCAGCCATTGTGAAAGGAATATACACAAACTAATAAGCGAGAGGTCGCGACAAAGAGGGAGGAGTGGAGGGGGGCCCGAAACGAGAGAACGGGGGAGGGTGGGATTATTATTAGTAGTATAATATGACCACAGAAAAGAAAGTGGAAAAAGTCTTTTATTATAAAAAGAAGATCAAAGTCCGCGATCGAGAGTTTTCCTCCGAAAACTTTTCACGACCAATCACGGAATAGCAAAATGCCGAGAGTTTCTCGTGGAGACACTAGCACCGTTAAGGACTAGCGGAACAGCTGCTTAGTCACCCTCGTTCCAGCACCCTCGCCGTCGATTGGCGGGACAACATGCAGGCTTGTACTGGAACTGGGCTTGGGGATGGACGAAGCATCAAGCATATCCAGAGGAAACAGCCGCATCAAACCTGGTCATGGCAGTATTCCAGGTCAGAGGAGGAGGTTGAAATGGTTTTGATATTGAGCGCAGTGGTGGCAACTCAGGGACTCCCGTCACTCAGTACAGGGGCGAGCCGTTCCGCGCTGCCCGATCTCTGGGCAAGTCTGGGCTGTTCCTGGATTTATTTTACCCCTTGGCCAAACCATCCATCGGGTGGTGGTGGCGACCAATGATGTCATCCGCGCGGCAGCCCCAAGAACCGCAACTCTTCAAATTCACTCATATATCACTTCGAAAAATATGTGAAAAAGATCAAAGAGACACATCAATGTGATGCCGAAGCGATCGATCAACGTTCGTTCTAGGGTTTTCTGAATTTAAGCTTTTAAGGAGAGGTATGTCAAAATATCATAGTGAAACCAAGATCCGCTAACTGGGCTTTCCTTCCCCCCATCATTGTCAATATTCAAAGTCCCCTTTCAATCAATCTCCTTACCCAATAAATACCAACATTACACACATATACATATATATCCAATTTAAGTCATCACCAATCCAAGACAGGATGTCAAAAAGGAAGAGACAAATCGACGCTATCATCACCTTACAAAGGGATAATGATGGGTCCAGTCACTCCAATATCCCAGCGAATGGCGACAGCATCATTGACACCAACATACTCAAGGGCAAAAAGTTGTCCAGCAGGGCAGTCGAACTCAGGATATCCATGGAATGATTGGATCCAGTCCGCGCTTCCCGGCGCTTCAACCTGGATACGGCCTTGATGGATATCACGGCTCCGCTGCGTCTCTGCCAGTGCGGCAGGGCGCCATTGAGAGACTGTCGCCGGGGAGAAGTCGTGCGTCGGTGGGTCGATGACGGTGAAAACGTCCGCCTGCTTGGACCCGCTGGAGACGTCGCGGGGCCACAGGTCAAATTGGAGCCTGCAGCGGCGGCCCTGGAGGTCGGGGGAGATGTCGAAGGTAACGATTGTGGTTGTCTCGTGTGCGGCGATGCCGTCTTTCACGACAAGAAGTTGGTCCTGTGGGTCTTCTTTGAGTTTGCCGCTTGAGACCCAGTAGCGGAATGTGCGGTGTGGGTAGATTTTGCCGTTTATTTGACGACTGGTAATGTCCCCAGCTGGGGAACTGGCTGGGGCAGCGAGGACTGCGGTTGCGGCAGCGATGAACAGTGTGGCGAGCTTCATGGTGGCTTGATGGATAGAACTTTTGGGGAAGTATCAAAAAAGGAGGCAGCTATATCGTGGATAAACACTGAAGTAAGCTGAAAACGAGCGTGATACGTTAACGGCGAGGAAGAGTAGATCATACACTGGTTAAATGAAGATAGAATGGAATGCTGAAAATGAAAAAGGAGGAAGCGGGCTCCAAGCTCCCATTTTATATACTTCGCAGTTCCCCAAGATTACCCCAATATAGACAAGCGAAGTAGAAGTACCGAGACCTCGCGGAATTCGCAAGCGGATTCCTTTACGTCGGCTAAATGTTATCGACATGTCATCGACGCCATACCCGAATAGCAGGGATCTGCACGCAGGGTCTCAAACTAAGACACAGCTCCATGCCCAAGCCCACCCAAGCAGCCAACCTTGCCTTTAACCCTAGCCTATCGAATTTCGCGGATTCCAGCACCAGTGCAGCGCGTGATGGCTTAGAAAAACGAAGACTTACTTTTAGCCTCTCAGAAAGCTTAGTTACTGCGGCCAAAAGCAAAAGAAGTACCAGGACAATCACGATGGAAGGCTGCCGGCTCTCTATATCTCCCGAGGTTGGCATTTATTCCATCTTCTCCGCCCTTGGCCGTTTGGGTTCGGAGAAGGTGAGGCTAGTCATTCATATCTCACTACAGTCCGCCGGAAGAAGTCATAAACTGAGCTGATAGCCAACCGTAATCAAGCACCGTTGGCTCTGCGGTGTCGGGTAGGAGAACAAACTCCAATTGACCACTCTTTAAAGCCAAAGGAATTTTTGAGCTGGAGAGTTGATTGGCACATGTTTCTCGAGTGATTATTTCTGATGTCAATGCATCCGTAGCGTCTATCTATTTTTGGCATGTACTGTGTCTCTTTCAGAGCACGAGGTGGAGTCAATGTTCCGGTGATCAATGTTCCGGTGATCAATGTTCGCTCGTTCTGTTCATTATTGCGTAGTTCCGACCACATACGGATTCGTTCATTGACAAATGCTACCTTCACAGCTGGGTTTTCAGCTTGACCTGCGCCAATTAATAGAACGAACTGATTTTTGGGAATCCATGGATACTGGAGGAAAGTTTTCCCCAAGTTAGCAAGTTCCATGGATCAACAATAGCTTCCGACAGCTTACCCAGCCCCAGCCGATGATAGCTCTCCAACCCATGTCTAATGTTTCCCGCGGCCTTCAGAAATTCTTGAAAGGGCTAGCCTCTGATGATGGCCCATTCTTCGTATTCATCATGTCCTGTACCGGGACAGTCACAACAAACAAAGAGGATACCGACGATCGTTGTCTCAGTCAAGCAAGCGGAGAAAGAGTGGGTAGGGATACGAGGAAAGATGTTGTCGAGGTTGGAGGCAACCACCCCATGTTCAGCATCATCCTCATCCAGGCTAGCTAGGCAAACCTTATCGGGTAAGGAAGGGGCTTTTGAGTTAGGGCTGTGGCATCGGAATTACAGCCACCGGCGCCGCTGACACTGATTGACCACGTATCAGGTACTCCTGCGAAGGTGGGAGGGGAGTACTTGGCACACGTAGCAGCAGGGTTGAGTGGAATGGTGGGTGAGGAGTGAGCTGGTAGTTGAAGGAAGGTTGTGTGTGGGGACCGAGATATAAGGTTCTTGCGTGGCGGGGAGGCTGAAAATAGCGACCGATCGATGGAACCAGAGTGGCTACAGACAGGCATGGACGGACAATACTTGGTGGATAATGTGTTTTTTTGTTCTTCCTGTCTTTGAATCATTACTAACAAAAAATATGTTCGAAGTGGAATAAGTAGAATGTCAGAACAGACACACACATTATTCCAACCGTCTATAGACCCAACCACTTTACATTGTCTATGTGTTTCAGAAGCACTGCCATTAATTGCCAGCAAGCATTGAATCCAGTGTGTTGCATCAATCATTCTAGCACTAAAATTCTGGCTATCTATCTAATAACTAACGTACGTACATACACATATGTCCATGAAGCATTTCATCAATTCATAATCCAGCTCAAAAAGAAAGATCCTGCACAGAACGACGCAGAAATAGCAGCTAAAGCTAAACAGCAACAATAATAGCCATCCTTCCTCCAAAACAATTGGGGGCAACGAGGTAAAAATCCCAGTGCAACCGATGTGAAGTTTAAAGCAACAGACGCGGATTGATGGGACGGTAGGGTAGGCAGGGATGGTAGACTTGACGCAAACAAGTACATATTTTAAATTCAAAGTCAAAAAGAAAAAAAGATATCGCTTCATTATGGGGTAAAATCAAATGCTCATTGCGCTGGCCAAGGAAAGAAAATGAAAACAAATGAGAAAAAAAAGAACAAATGAAAGAAAGTAACACGCTATATCATGTCGAAGCAACGAACAACAATGGTGTCTCATCGTCAGCCGTAGCTGTGTGGGCTGGTTAAGGCAAATGAGACTGTAATTATGCCTCAGTTGGCATCCTGACACACTCAGGAAGTGGCGCAGGATCTGCTGACTGTGTTTGCTGTCGTTCCAGTTCCTCTACTCTTTCTTGCATCATAGCCTACGGTGACGGTTTTATGGTTTCTGCCGATGGGTTCTCAAAACTTGTTGATGATGAGGCTGGTGTTGATGGTTGACATCCTACGGCTAACGATTCTTGCGCTGGTTCTATGATTTGATCGCTGGATGTAGAGTCGCGGTCTTTAGTCGGTTGTATGGGCTGGGGTGGCATGGTTTGAACTGATGAACAAACGATGTTGTCATGCTGGCTAGGAGATGGTTCGTTTGGTTGGGCTGCTACTGTAGGTTCCGATACGACTGGTGGCTGTAGCTGGGGCTGTACGGAGGATTCAATGGACTGAGCTTCGCTTTGACAGCGATGTGCAGCGCGGTTCGGAGTGGGTTGCGATGCGTGAGTTTGCTGTAATTGCATACTATCAACAGATGGTATTCCGAAATTGGGACTTCCACATGCTGGTGTAGGGTGAATAACCCTATCGTCCGCCACGGAGTTCAATGGAAATTCCGGCTCAATAGACGCTATAGTAGGGGAAATGACGATTGAGGGCGGGCTGTGTTCCATAGCTATTGGTGTCGATATATCTGGCTGAACGAAATGTCGTGGACTTGTTGTGGGGTGGACAACAGTGCTCTCTTGCCTCGCCATGCTAATTGATAGGTAGAGGACAAGGACGCTGAGGAAAGCAAGCGCAACATTCCGTCTATCGCTAGCCAGCACGCGGATATAATTTGCACAGAGAGTCTGCAGATCTATCTCACTGGGTTTGGTATGCCCATTGGCTCGCCCATGCTCGAATGTCCGTGGCTCTGGTTGCTCAAAGGAGGGCGGAGGTGAAGACCGGTCAAAATCAGATTGAAACGGAGGAACTATATCATCATCTTCAAGCCCATCAATGGCCTCCTGTGTGGGTGGCGGTGATTCTCCGTAAATTTCTCGCCTCCGCTTCTCCTCCTCCGACAAACGTCGTGCCTCCTCGAGTTTCATCTGATCCTCTTCGGTAATTCTCCGCTCTAGCTCCCGTTTAATTTCAACTGGAAGCGCCAATCCAACCTCGACATCGACTTTTTCCATTTCTCTCCACGCTGCCGCCCAAGCACCGGCTCTCATAAGACCATTGGCGGCATACACTTTGATCTCCCATTTCCGCTTCTCCCCTTCTAAATGCCGAAGTACCCTTGCGCCACAATCGGCGCATTTTTCCCCCTCACATCCATCGCTCGAATCCCCGCAGTCCTCTTTCGCCCCGGACGTCCAGTCTGCATCATCTGCATTGTCTGCATCTTCCCGACCAAGGAAATGGCCGTATCCCAACCTTGGCCGAACAAGCTCTAGACTCTCCAATAACCGCTCCTCAAGCAAATCATACATTTCTTGAGGATGTGATATCAGCAACCCCCGATACCTCAGTACACCTGAGTTGACAATTTTATCCTCCAACAATTTCCACCTCGCCCAGTACTTCTCTGGCAGCACCTCCTGGAGAAGCTGTGCACTAGGTGTTCCCATGCCCTGTGGTAGTGATAGAGACGGTGGTAGTAAAGTACAATGGAGAAGAACGAGGGGGTACTCCTTTTGTACTGGCTCCTCCTTCGCCCGGGGTGATTTATAATTCCCTTTAGCAGACGGCGGTGTCGAGACAAGCGAGTGCATGGACATCCCCGACACACTCTGGCATGAATGCCCACGACCACCACCTCGATGCCTCCGAGATCGCGAAGGTGTGAGATCATCGTTGTCGTACCCGTATCCATACCCATTGTATTCTTCCTCATCGCCCATTTGCATCGCGCGGACCGAACTCGGGTGTCTAAACGGTGAGTCACGATCTCGCACGCCAGGCGCAACCTTTGAAAGCCGGGAAGGATATTTGCTCTTTTTAGACCCGGTGCTATTCACGGGCGAAGGGTCGTCACTATTGCCCTCTAAATAATGTTGCATATAATGCCCACGGAAATTAGAGGGTGTTATGGTTCCGTGGGAATCGTGCTTTCCTGATGGATATACGACGACTGAACCCGGTAAGGAAGATATGGATGAGCGGCTGGATGTTGACCTTGCGGCGTGTCGGCCCTCTTCATCGAAATAGTCTTCATCGCTAGTAAAAGTGGCCGAGGGTTCGGAAGACGAGGAAGAGGAATGAGGGCGTTCGTGATGATGATGATCGTACAAATTGGGTTCAGTGCCCGAGATAAATGTGTCTGCTTGGACTGCGGCAGCTGGATCTTTCTCCTCAAGCAGCTGAGATTCTCCCTCATTAAGAGCGGATGATGGCGAGCGAGCGAGTTCGTTACTATCACGGGCCCCTGCGTCTGAAGCATCCGATGCTGCCGGTTCTGGAGCCAAATCTGCCATGGCTTCAGTTCTGCGTATATTTACTCGATGCGATCCAGCCCCGCGCTTTCAACGGATATCACTACTTCGGAGTTTGATTGCTCCCTCCCCAACAGTTTCTGATGTTTGTTCTGGTTCGTAGAGATATGCTCAAGAATTCCGCGGTGCACAAGATCGATCGTAAATTGTGCGCACGGAGAAATATACACAACCTGCCAAAATAAAGGTCCTCTTGAAAATAATGTTCAAGTTTTGATCATAAGCTTTGCTCATAATTTAGTCCACGCCGACAACAAAAGCAAAAAACAAAAGAAAAAAGTGCAAATCCTGAAAATTAGCCGAATAGTGATAATGATATCTTTTGTTGATATTGCGTAAATATTTAAATTCCCAGCTGATATCGAGTCGAGGGAGAAAATGTTCTTCAAGTAGTCAGATAAATGTCGGATTTCCCTCTGTTTGGAGGAGGTTGGGGGTGATGCGCGTTGTGGGGGGCAACCAGTACAGTACAGAAATTCTGTGGCAGGGGCCCGAACCACACCGGATTGGTAACTAGAAGTCGTGAAACGGCTTTTTAGTGCAGCCAATGACCGAGCTTGCCTGATGTTCCCCTCCCCTCCCTTTGTTCATGAACGACGTGGGCAAATCAAACCAGACAAGGATGAGGCGGGAACCGATGAGATGGGTCCGAAGTTCCACCAACCACACGGGATATCCCTATCCATATAGTGTCACATTACAGACCAGAAGGGAGAAAAAAAATAAAAATTAATAGTAAGAAGGCCAGGGAGATGCAAGCGGTCGTGATGTATATAAATTAAAATCTCGCGCGCAAACTCAAGAACTAACGCGGTGGGGATGAATAGAAAGTACATATAGAGGGACCAAAACACTGCAACCAACCAAAGAAAATCGGTATGTGCATTTTTATATGTACTAGAAATCAAAAATTGAAACATTGAGGGGTATAAGTACCCATACCCAATCATCCGCCTAACCAAATGCCTATGCGCCAGCCCTCGTCGAAAGAGAATGACTAGCTTAAAATACTAGCAATATATAATAGAGATGATAACATGGAAAAGAAAATTATTCAAAATAACAGTGGCGTACGGCGAATATGTATTATAAAAAACCAAGAAAATCAGATGTGATAATTATTTAAGCAGAAGGGGGAGGCCGCCCCTCTCCCCCATCGTCATCTGGATCCATCATGGGGCGATACCCCTGATGTTCGCCAAAATAACTCATCACGTCCGGCGGTAAGTATTCTAGCCAAGGAATGAAATCTCCATCAAACGAAAACGGGAAGGCAGCTTGATCTTGCAACGCATTCATGTCGACATCTTGACTCTCGATCGTCATTATTCCGTTATTGCCACCTAGGTTAGTATTGGCATTTGACATTAAGGGAGTATTAAGCGTAGACAGGCGACGGTTCTCATTTCGAGCGGGGCCCATGGAGGGCTGAGGGACGCTATAGTTGTACGAGGTGGCGGTGTGATCGCGGGCGAGATACCCTGTGCTCAGGTCGCTATGAAGTCTCCCCGTTGGACTTTCAGTCTGGACGACAGGGCTCGGAAAACCGGAATTTCCAGCTAAGCGGTACGAGGTGTTAGCTGAAGCTATATCATTCGACGTAACTTCGGAATATTGTCCGGGCGAGGGATGTGTGTTTTGATGGTGTGCCGATATGAGATTTTCAGCGCTGTGTTGGTAGTGGCTTGTGATTGGAGGGTAACGGGCAACTGTCCCAGAGGGAGGGTTATTTTGAGAGGTTGCGGGTTGGTATTCGCCCTGATACTGGGGGTTGAGACTTGGGGAAGCACGGAGCATGGAGATTGGTTGGGGTGGTGGCATCTGATAGAGGAAACTTAGATTTGGTTGTGCCGAATCCGTAGCTCCTGTCAATGCCCAACCGATGGCTAATGCAAAATGGGTTAGCGAGCGAGAGTAAAATGATTGGGAAGAGATTAACATACCCTGGCTTGGATCCATTTTCGGTGACCCAACAGGTCCAACAGTCGCCTGGGATGAATGATGTGAAGTTTCGACAAAAGCATCCGATGCCCCAGAGATCGGCTCTGGGGAATCCTGTCGTGTCCGCTTCCACCCCGGCGGAGCTGCTCCGGAGGTTGCCGTTGGCCGTGGTTCAGCGGCATTTTCCATATCTTCGTCCGTGTAAAGTTGCGGATCCCCAATTCCTTTTGCCTTTTGGTCAAGAACGGTTAAAATGTATCGAACACCTTCCCAGTATACTTCCAATGATTTGAGGGCTTTGTAGCAACGCTGATAGTTTTCTTTTGCTGCAGTCGCTAACAAGATGTGTTTCGCAATGGAGTTTCGCTCTGACGATGCAGATGGTTCAACAGGTGGCAGAGTAAATTTGCTAACCGGGGGACCGGCAGAGGATGTAGGGGGAGATTCAGTCCGAGATGATGGCTGGGAGTAAAAGGCGCTCTCCATTAGAAATGCACAAGCAGCAATATATATTGGTTGGCTAGTGAAAGGATTTCCAATAAAGCTTTTGGCATCAATAAGCTCAGCAAAAGCCAAAATGTCGGCGATCGTTTTTGCAGATGACATTGATAGCTCTCGGCTATTTGGAAAGAGCTGTTGAATACGCCCACCAAAAGAATGGAGCAACGTTGGCTGATGGAGAAGCACAATCAAGGTATGAAACCACTGCAGCTGTTAGCGAAGTCATTAATAATAAATGATAGATCTCTCATATCACTTACGAAATGAAGTAAAATGAAATTGGTCCCTTCACCAGCTTTCACATAGTCCTGGAAATTAGCAGCATTGAAATGAAGCTTTGGCGAAAGTCGTTGATAGATACCTAGTTCAATGTTAGCTGCAGCCATGCAACTGGATAGTGGAAGGTAAGTTACCTGTTAGGTTGCTTTCCATGCTAGCTAAGCGCTTTAATATATCAGGAGTGACATGGTTGACTTCTTTTATCGCATTCAAAAGATCAGTTATCCTGCCATAAAGATGGATAATTCTCATAAGAGGTGGAAATGGGCCCGGCCAGCCGTTAGAGAGTGCAGACTCCGATTGCAATGGGAAGAAAATTTCAATATCATCATCCCGTAGTGTGACTGGTCTGCCAGTTCCAGACGAGATAACACGGTCTAGGAAAAAAATGGCCCAAAAGGAATCCACTCGTTCGCGCTCTTTGGCTCGGTCAGCGGATGTTGCAAATTTACCATCGTCATCAGGGCTGATGAGTGGTTCAGCTTCGTTTTCCAGATGAGCGTCATTGTAACTACTTCCATGGCCAGAAGTAACACATTTTGGAGTCAAGCCTGTTCGTCCATATCTGAATTTCATCCCCTCTAGTTTCTGCATTCCTAAATCCTGTGCCATTCTAATGGATATGCCTAAATACATCCATAGTCCACTATCATGATTCGATCCGAACTCGAGGTAGGCAAGTAAGAGGCACGCCTGCACTACAGTTAGAGTTGGGAAGGAGAGAGCTTCAACGACCGCACACATTGCACGATGTGCAAATGGTTGTCCTTGATGGGCATGATTTCGTTCACTGTTTGTGGATATCTTAGGTTCGATGCTCTGGGCCTGTAATGTCAGGAGCGGATGAAGCGAGAACCTTGCCGCCATTGCACATACGGCGTCGACTAGAATTGGTTCCACCCGTTTTTCTCTCAGGTCTCGGAGAAATCTATCGCGCTGTAGAAAGGGAAAATTACAGCCAAGGTGGGTGAAGAACACCTCGCACAGATGGGATATTAATCCACTAACTGGTAGGTTATCGTCAGGGTAATAAAACGGGATGCTATGGGAACGAGATTCCGTTGAACCTAAAGATGTTGATGCTGCCCTATCCGAGATTTTCGGGCTTCGAATAGACGAGAGGGATTCTGGATAGGAAGCATTAGTGTATTCGGAAAGGATATCAAGGCGGCTTGAGCTGATCTCACCATTGGATAGCGACGGATTGCTTTGTTTTGACTCCCTAACACGGACGACCTGTTTCCAGGATGGGAATCAGAGAAACCCTATATAATTTAAATATTGTAACCATACCATCTGTTTATAGCCAGGGACAATTGCAGTGGGTCCGAAGTAACGAAAGTAGGGTACATGGGTGCGACTGCTCTCAAGGAGCAAAGATCGATCTGCTCTGTCATATTAATACGAAGCTGTGACTAGCTAAGAAGAAGCACGCAAGGAACGGGCGATTAGCTTACTACTTTGAGGGCTTTCAACAACTGCAGACTGCCTACGTCCGTTTTGGGAAGGCTGCTGATCTCGTGGTGCAGAAACTGGGCTAGGATCTGACCGAGCCGCGGTTACAGGCGCATTCGGCCGCAACCCAGATTTCGATGTCTGCGGCGAAGCGCTTGTCGCATCATCTCGACGTGTGGGCGCGGTATCCGACTTCGTAGTTTTGCGGGTATTTAACGTGGCAGCGGGGTCTTTGTATCCCAAGCAGTTGTGGCCATAGTCTGAACAAGTTTTGCAAACTGCACTCACTCGGATTTAGTCACAGTACGAGAACGCATTTTATTAGGGCCCAGAGGATATTGGGATAAATCAATAATTACCTGGTCGTTCCCCAGAGCATCTAATCTTCCGTTTCCGACAAGTTTTGCAGCTATAGCGAACGAGGCGCAAGTGTTAGCTTTGAATGGATCAGGGACAAAAGGTAGCGGAAGCTTGTTGCAGAGCAACACTAAAAGAGGGGGATGACCAACGCAGCAGCGACCCTGCGCCTCTTTGTTTGAGGCTGCCCATCGGTAGAAACGAAGCGGATCTGTCGCGGTTGAGCAACCTGTTTGCCGTGAGAAGACAGGCTCATTGCAAGCGGACTGACAAGCGCATTTGGCGGACACGCGGCATCGGGCTCGTCGTTTTCACGAGAACAGGGATCGGGGTGGCCGATCGCGACCAAGGGAAGGCAAAGGCTTAAAGAGACACATCCCAGATGAGTATACCAAACGGGGCGGATGGTTAGTCACATCGCCGGGATATAGAATGATTGGAATAAATATATCCGGGCGATGAGGTTGTGGTGGTCGTGGCAAGTCACCGCGGCGGCGGTGGTGAACGACTGGGGTAAATTAAGCGGCCGCGGCTACTGAAGGGTCTTGGCATTCGGGAAGTGATTTGTATTGCCGGCACCCAATACCAAAAAGAATAAAATAGATACATAGATAGATAGATATTGCTCCCAGCAGGAACAGTATGTCTATGAAACTGAAAAATGTGGAAGACGATATGCCTAGCAATAAATCTCTCTATATATTATAGAAAAACTAACTTTTCCGAGTAAAATGCCCTGTAACGTAACATGACCTCACATGATATCACATGCACCCCATTGACCAGCCAGCTCTGCAGCCCATACAGCTCTGATATTAATGTTCATTCTTTCCTTTACAGATGTTCTCTACTGTATTTACATTCTTTATACTCTTCTCTACATTCATTACAACCTATACATGTGAAAGGTGTAAAGCTTGCTTGATTGAAAAGGTTGCTAGCTTGTGGGAAGTTATATGGTGGAAGGATTAGTAAGCCAGATTATATGACCTGACAATACATTCATTAATATACTCTATTTATTATAGAAAAACCAACTTTTCCATGCAAAAAACACTGTAATGTGGTATCATGTGTATTCTACCAAAAATATTTGAATGCTCTGACTCATACAGCTCAGATCAATCTTCTAATCTTCATTCTTTTTTTCATTCTGCTCTTTTCATACATTCTCTACAGTATTTACATTCTTTATACTTTTCTCTATATTCATTTTTGATCTCTGTGTTCATGGCATGCACTGCTAAATTCTCTGTAACATGATCTCATGTGATGTCATGTGCATCTCTTTGAATTCAGATGGGATTGAACAGCTGGCCCTGCAGTCTGTATGGCTCTGATTAATCTGATAATGGTGATAGAGGTGATACGGGGTGGAAGAGAGTGGTAGGGGGAGAGAGTGATAGAGGCAGTAGAGAGGGTAGAGGGTGGAAGGGGTGGAAGGGGTGGTAGAGGTGATACGGTGTGGAAGAGGGTGGTAGAGTAGGTGGGGTTAGAGGTAGAGGGTGGAAGTGGTAGGGGGGGCTATGGGGAGGTAGAGGCGGTGGTGGTGGTAGACGGGGTAGAGGGTGGAAGGGGTGGTCGGGGGAGGGTGGAAGTGGTAGAGGGGGCTGCGCAAGCAGCAAAGCGAGCGTAAGCGAGCATTTGATGCTTGTAAATATAATGTATGCTCCAAAATTTCAAAATCCAATCCGTCTATTGAAAACGAAATGAAAAAAGAAGAGAATGAAAGAAAAGGAAGGAAAGCAGCCAGCCATAGTCTATATACGCGGCGGATAACTGCTAGTAGCCGATGCTGGAGTTGCCTGGTCTACTGAAGGTCGTGGAATCTCCATTATAGTCGTCGCTCTCATGTATGATATCCCACCAAGGCGGGCAACAGGTCGTAAAATAGTAGGATCGAGAAGGCTCCGCTCGTCATTTATCGCATCCTCTCGCGCCCAAAATCTTGTACCCTCTAATATCACCATCACGCCGCTCTTCTTCCCTGGGTTCGCCCGGCTCTCCCACTCCTTCGTCTCCACAAGTTTCGCCTCAATCGAGAATATCGACTCCTTGACTCGGGGAGCCTTGACAGTTGTGCACGGCGCGGTGTGCAGTCCTGACAGTTCGAATTCGGACACGCCATGTGGCACGTTAATAGAGCAGTGATTGACAGCTTCGAGGTGATGTTCGCTGACTGTGTTGACAACGCACTCGCCTGTTTCTAGGATGTTGCGGAGAGAATCCTTTGGTGGATTTGGTTCCCCTGTAATTCCCACGACGATAATAGGAGGATCAAAGTTGACCATCTGCGTAAAGCTGAAGGGGGCAAGGTTTACAGTCTGCCCGTCCTTCGATCTCGTGCTTAATAGACCAATTAGTCGAGGTACGACGGCCGAGATCATGAGTTTGTAATTGAGGTTGGGTGACCGGCCCGTTTCGTAGGGGTCGATTTCAACATGGTTCTTCTCGAGACTGGCTTGGTTATCATTTCCTCCTTGTCCTTGTTTCCAATGGGGATTGGGGGATTTGGTGAAAGTGAGCGGGGCCGAATGGTCGAAATCGGGCCGTGATGCTTCGACTTTGGCGAATGGGGGACGGATGCTACCCATTCTTACTAGGGAACATGGGGTTTATTGCTATAAGAAGCAGGATGCGTCGCAACGCCTTAAATGCAATACAGACGTCGATTGTCAATGGGCTGTCTATATGGCTTGTAGTTGTCACTATTCTCGATTTTCGGCCATGGTCCCACCCACCATGCGCAAGGTGGGGGTTTGCAAGAGCCTTTTTGCCGGGTGTGGGTGTGTGGGCAGCCACCGAGTTCATCAGAGCGCATTGTTCCCATCTGATTCCAAGCTTCATTTCTGTAGTCTGAAACGCCAAAATCAGGCGGTTGGGCCTAATACTCTTCACGGACGAGTGAAAAGAGAGCCCCTTTCCTACGATTGTTAGCCCCGCAGTTCGGTGGGCAACCATCGGCTCGGATCCGAGGTCCAAGGGATCAAAAAACACGGATGATATGTCCACTCAACCCCAACTTCAACCCTATATATGATGATGATTCAAATTGAAGAAGCCATCACCGCTAAAAATATAGTAGAATTTCGATGTTGTGCATAACTCATTGATGTCATAGTTTCCGTAGGGGTGTTCGACGACATATATATGCCCGAACATTTTCAGCCAAAACGTAGTTCCATTGAGATTAAATATCCCGAGGAAAGAAAATATACTATGTAAGCGAAAGCAAGATAAATTAAATATGATCATGCTTTCAACGGCGCAACGCAGAAACAACCCCCACGTACTCAAAAAGGGCCCACAGAGTCCAGTATCTTGTTGTTACACTGTATGCTTTACCGCCGCTCGCACAATCGTCACACCAGACAAGCAATCTTTCAGCATCATCTCTTGTAGAATCCGCCCAAACAGCGTGAGTATTAGGAGTCCAGGCACATACAAGAGACGGGGAGAGTGAAACCACTGCTCAAAAAATTTCGCGACGGAGGGATCATTCACCACCGTAGCGGCCCATTGAGTAAGTATTGTCCTTTTCAATTCGACACAATCCCTTTTAAATTCGTCATGTTTCCCCTTGATAGCTGCATCAACGACATCTTTTCTAATCATACCAACCCACCCCTGAAACGTACATGTAAGTAAGACCCTTATATCTATTATATCAGTCGTGGCAAAGCACTTACCGCATTCGGATTTATGCTTTCAGCTCCACCACTTCCTCCGAATTGTTGTCCCGCAATCGGTCGCCCACCGCTTGCTGTCCACTTGCGGAATTCCTTTTGTGATGCCTTGAGCTCTGCCTTCAAGGATTCGATATCCTTGGCGTGGGACTGATTGCTTTGCTCAAGGAGCTGATTCGTCTTTTCCAACCGGGCAACTTTATCTTTTAATTGCATATCAGGAGGGTCCTGGCAATTCCAGGTGTCATCAGCTTCCCATAAACATTCAGAGTTCTGTACAGAATTCAAAGTGATTTACCTTGAATGATTCGGCCGCTGGGGGAGTCCGTTTAACCTCGGACGCGGGGATCGTCTCCAGAAGCTCCCTCATGTGGGCGGTTGCTGTGACTGCAGCGTACGGTTGCCACTCCTTGTTCTTGTGGGAATCTGCATAATCACATACACCTCGGATGACTAGGCAGGGGAACTCATCCATCAGGCCTGCGGCCTCCATCTCCACGCAGATGACTCCGAGTTCATCGTATAGCTTATTTCAAGTGATGATGTCCTTGATAACCATATTGGAAGATCCGATGGTACCATAGTGGACTTCAGGGGAGTCTTCATATCGTTCCTCGCGGTTAACAAGCCTACTTGGATCGCAAGCCCGGCATGTGCTCATTTTCTCGGGGTGGAAATATGTTGCTTCGAATAGCAAATCCTTGGAGCTTTTTAGGTCATTTTGAGGAATTTGTTCACTTCCTTGTCTATAGTGTCTTGCCCGCAGCTTTTCCACAGTTCCTAAAAGCAAATTCGGAGGCTTGGACAACGCTCCTGTCCTCTCAAACCTTCCATCCTTGTAGATCTTGCCTCGATCAAACTGGACCACTCCACCAAACGTATCCGTAGGCTTGCCTACCACCACATCTCCAAGCCGAATATCATGTTCTCCATCAACAGGGATGCCGCCACCAATTCCCACTAGCAATCCAAATCTAATTGACTTGAAGTCATTTAGGGTCTATGTCACCACTATTACCGCAGGACTAGTCCCCATTCCAGACAACACAGCAATAACTACATTATACTATCCTATTTACCCAAACGTATAGATACTCTCGTCCCGGCCCATGGCAATGGTCGGGTGGGTATCATCTAGCATGCCTTCAACCGCGGCCATTTCGATGCCCATCGGGCAGATGATCGCAACGGTGTATGAATCCGGCGTATATTTCGGCTTTATCAGCTTTCCAATGTTCTCTGCGGTGAGGGTAGATCAAGAACGAATAAGAATGTGCCTAGACTATTTCACTCATCGGATTTTCAGGTTGGAGGATAATTATCTGACGTGTTTGGTAACTGTAGGCAGAGAAAATGAGGTTTCAAGTGAGAATTGATGCTAGAGGATGATTATATACAGCCATCCTGCGCTGAAATGATCAATCTGAGAATTGACAACCACGCCTATGCCAGACTGACACATCCCACAAACGTATGATCGGTATCTAAGTAATAAGGCGAGCTGATATTGACAACTCTCACGTTATGTATGCAGATGTGCCCAATTCTGATCCCGGCAAGCCGAGATAATTCATGGCTCTATGCCTTTCTTGCGAGATTTTATTCGGATTGAAAATATCCGTATTTGTCCATAGAACTCAATTCGAGATTAACGAAGGGCTTGATTTGGCAATACTGGGGTCGAATATCCCGCTAACAAATCGGGTCATAGTGGGAGCGGGACTGATTTCTCGTGTTTGCAAATTTATGCACCCTCTTTGAATTAACTATACCCCAATGTATGGTTGAGGTCTAGTGATTGGCTCATGATTGTAGCTTGTATGGCATGGGCAAAAGGTAGCAACTTCACATATTCGACACACGATGGACAGTACCTGCGGGGGTACAAATAGTAAGGTTTTCTCCCTGAGATAGTTCGCTGATCTAAATATGGAGCCATATTGCTCTCAAGACAATAGACATTCCACTGTAGATACATATATATAATGGTACGCGCATGTCGAATATAATTTTAGAAGAGACATTGTGCCTGAGTATTTTGCCGCGCGCCTAGCCATAATAACTCAGCTCAGCCGAACCTTGGCGCGGATCCGTTCTGGGTGAAAGAACGCGCCAGAAGCGATGCCGAACTTCAACCAGCTTCACTCTCCAACCTCCAGCCATCCGCTTTCTCTTTTCGTTACATCTTTCTATTTATTTCAACAGTGTCTGCTCTGGTGTTTGGGATTTGTTTTCTTTGTTTGGCTGCCTTCTGTTCTTTATTCTCGTTGTCTGGATTTCCCTTATCTCTTCCATCCAACCTATGATCACCTCCTTCATCTCGCAGTAATACTCCTTTATTGCTCGAGTGAACCTAACATCCTCTAGCGAATCATCATACGAGGGACCGCGCGGTCTCACAGCTATGGCTGCGGCGCCGGTCAGACAGTGGGGAGTAACTCCTCCGGTATCGAACGCCTTGCCCACGCCAGCAGAGATCGCTGCGAACGAGGATTTAACCGCTGAGCTAAAGCGACAAAATAACTTCGAAGCGCCGGCAGAGACTGAGCGGAGGTATGTATCTAAACGATGGCTATTGTCTTCTTTTTGTCTTCTTCTTCTTCTTCCTCTTCTTGATGAACTAGAGTTAACTCGATTTCCTCTTTAGAAAACAGACATTACAACTAATCCAGCGGGTGACAGTCGAATTCGTGAAGGTGGTTAGTCGGCGCAAGGGTTTATCGCAGGCAGCTATCGATGTTGCGGGAGGGAAGATATTTACATATGGCAGTTATCGGCTAGGCGTATATGGTCCAGGTTCGTTATCATTTCATTTGTAGCCCCATCTGACCTGCTGAGATGGTATACACTAATGTTTCGGTGGTCATGCGGTAGGTTCTGATATTGACACCCTGGTTGTTGGCCCAAAACATGTGTCTTTCGAGGACTTCTTTTCCGATTTTCCTCCCGTTTTAGAAAATATGGCACCTTTGGGTGCCATTGAAAAATTAACTCCTGTTCCAGATGCTTTCGTTCCGATCATTAAGATTGAATTGTCCGGCATCAGCATCGATCTTATATATGCCCGTCTCCTCGTCCATTCCGTGCCCCTGAATCTAGACCTGAAAAATAAGGATCTGCTACGTGGGTTAGATGAGAAAGAGATAAGATGTGTCAACGGGACACGGGTGACAGATGAGATCCTAGAACTTGTCCCCCAACAGAAGACATTTCGGCTTGCGCTACGCGCCATTAAGCTTTGGGCACAGCGTATGTAGCATTCACCTTTATTCCTACTGTAAGATACTTATACTGTGCTTTTTTTTTAGGACGAGCGATTTATTCGAACATCGTAGGATTCCCCGGAGGCGTTGCATGGGCTATGCTTGTGGCCAGAGTCTGCCAGCTTTATCCCCAAGCTACCGGATCAGCGATCGTGGGAAAATTTTTCCGCATAATGAATCAATGGAAATGGCCACAGCCAGTGTTACTAAAGCCTATAGAAGAAGGCCCGCTCCAGATGAAAGTTTGGAACCCGCAGGTGAGCCTGATTTCCACTGCTCTAACCATTGACAAGGTTCGCTTAGACATGCGTGTTTAGATTTACCACGGCGATAAATATCACTTGATGCCCATAATTACACCTGCATATCCATCTATGTGCGCGACTCACAATGTTTCACTGTCGACGAAAGCTGTCCTGCTTCGTGAGCTAAAACGCGGTGGGGATATTGCCGACAGAATATTCGTTGGGCAATTGACTTGGAACGACCTTTTCACTCGCCACACATTCTTCTCGCAGGACTATAAGTATTACCTCAGTATCACTTCAGCAAGTCGAAGCAAAGATGCACAATCTGTGTGGTCTGGCCTTGTGGAATCTAAGCTACGACATCTGGTCGGAGCACTTGATAGGAAATCTTCGATTGAAATTGCACATCCGTTCCCGAAGGGATTCGAACGGATTCATATATGTAAGGACCAGAAGGAGATCGCAGAGGTGATGGGCGGATCAACGAAGTACCAGGCGAAAGGCACGAAGACCGAAACTACCGACGAGACGAACGATCCACAACACACTGCGGCTTCTCAAAATGGTGGCGGGGCTATTCCCATGCGGGAAACAGATCAGCCGAATGGAGATAATGGCTGTACACTCTACACGACAACTTATTACATTGGACTTGAAGTCAAGCCTTTAGTTCCAGGTAGGCATTCCCACAACTTACCATGATACAACTGACTCTCGAAGGTGCTGCAAGATCGCTAGACATCTCGGCCGACACGCACATATTCAAAAGTACCTGCACTTCATGGCCACAGTACCAGCCTGGCATAAATGATATTAATATTACGCACGTCCGCAAGTGCGTTACCTGCTCCTTTCCTAAAGCATTTGTTGGACCATTACTGATACCAGTCCTAGCTACGACCTTCCTGATGATGTCTTCCAGCCTGGAGAGGTGCGACCATCTCGACCGAAGAAGAAGGTCGTGAAAAAGTCCGAAGCGACCGCACAAAAGAGAAGCATTCACGAGTTGGACGTAAGTTAGCCGCCTTGGAAACAAACTACTAACCCTACCAGCAGCAAAATATTTCGCTATATATTGATATGTGGTCTTTCGATCTCGACGGGATCGGAATGAGTTTCGCCGCTAACACTAACTCTATACAGAATGAAGAGCCAACCGAATACCCTGCGAAACGCCGTGCATCGAATGGCATACCATCTGCCGCAGCTCCTGCATAATAATTCCCAGTTGTCACAAGGGTATTGGATGAGAAGATTTTCAAACCTGGTTTTGATTTTTTTTTCCCGCCCTTATCATTCTTAAGCTGACAGTCGCGAGGTAGACCCAACTTGGCCCTTATAATCCAAGGCCCAGGACTGGTAAATCTTGCGACAGCCAAAGACCCAATACGTAGTCTACTACTAACCGCGCCAGCCGTTTTGTCGCCATAGATTGAGTGTGTCAGTCGACCCTCGTATCGGGAAGTAGGAGAAGAGATCATCAGATACGACCCATCCTTTTCTTTGCAAATTCCTTTACTTTATTCTTCACCACTTTCTCTTACGTGGCTTTCCTACAGTTCTTTTTCAGTTTGTCCTCATCCCGAACCAGATCTCCTTCAGCTACTGTGGTTCTTGGAGAATGCACCAAGGGTTCATTGTTTTGAGCTGCTTTTTGTCTTTTTTTATTGTTTAACCTTTCCGTTGGGACCACCAGGTCCATATCAGGAACCCACTTTTATTTTTTTCTCCCCGCAATACTGTTGTTGTAATAGCTTCTTCCAGTTGTATGTACGTACCTAGGGGTGACATTTCTTTGTCCCACTTTCCCTTCCAGATAGTCACTAGGCATTTCTAGATTTAGGCAGATAATCAAAGAACTTCGTCGGAGCCTACGGGCTCCACCGAAAACAATCATGAAAGTTGTTCCGTGGTTAATTTTGAGTAAATTAATTTTTTAAGTTGATCATGCATTTTGTGCGTCATAGCTCCTCTTGTCTTTCCTCAGCAGCATCACGGTTGCAAAAACACTCACTTTGTACCGGTTAACACGTAGCCCCAAAGTACTTGCATATCACCATTCACAACTAGTCCATATTATGGCATCAGCTCTACCCATAATTGACCTCCGTGCCTTTAGCACAGTGGAGGAGCTTGCGCCAGAGCTCATGAGGGTCGGGAAACACGCCGGTTTTTTCTACCTTACTGGCCACGAGTTAACAGACAATGTTGCGAAACAAAATATTTGATCTAGCAGATGACTTCTTCAAGAATACTAGCAAGAGGAGAAGATGAGGTTTGCGGGCGGTGGAGGCTTGGTATATTGGCTCGTTCTTGAGTTAACCCCTCGTTCATCATAGCTTACTTGCGATTTAGGGACACGGGTTTCCGGGATGAGAAGTAAGTAAAGACGATATCATATCCGGTTCCTGGATTTTGCTCCTCTTAAAACCCGCTGTCTAGATACAGTCGCCGAACATGTCATGGTTTTATTTTCGAGTAGCCTAGCTGGTAAAGGTCATGGATATTTAAGAGTCGTATTGTCTTACGAATCCCGATGCTGGGTTGAGACAGTCGCTATCCACAATTCTGAATGAGGGAAAGACAAGAATCGCGTACGGAGTAGTTTTGTGGGAAATGGGAATCGCTTACTGACCGTTTAAATACTTCAGACATTCGACCAATATAAGTTTGGAGATATTTGCCTGACAGTACGTTGAACAACTGGTTATTTATTTAGCTCTCTCGAGATTATATATCGAAACACCACGAAGGTGGTGAAAGCCGGCTGCGCTCGATACATTATTAATAACCTGCAATCCAGAAGAGCACCCAGGGGACTTCAGAAGGGGTCGAAGACGATATAAGAAGAGCAGGCGCCCATACTGATTATGGCTGAATCACACTCCTTTTCCGTCAACCTAGTGATCAAGGGGGTCTACAGGCCTTGATAAACAATGAATGGATCGATATCCCATGCATCAAAGATGCAATTGTAGTAAACATCGCTGATGCATGCACTCGAATTCTAGGCTTGCGGCCGCTTGTGCTCCACAATCCGCCGTGTGGCGTTTCCTCGGAACGAGAGTGAGAACACAGACCGGCTCAGCATGCTATTCTTTGTGCAGCCGGATAGAGATGTCCTTATGGAGCCAATATTGCCAGGGGAAGCTGACCAGGAGGAGTTTAAGGACGTGCTAAGGCGTAGGGGTTATCCGAGTGCGAGGCCTCTGACGGCTGAGGAGCATTTGACACAAAGGCTACGAGCAACTTATGGTTATTAAATGTTTGACTATGCACGAAACACAAAGCGAATATATGTCAATCTCATTTATGTCCTTCCTGCTTTTGAGCCTATTGTTATGCATTGCTGCAGAAATTACTTTTCTTCTCATACTTGCTACATGTTCATTTTTGTACCTGTCAGGTGTGTGAAAGACAGGGAGGAGGACTAAGCTACTTACTGGCGGCGGATCAAGCTGAGGTTTTTATTAACTAACCCCCTCACCTGCTATAAGAGATAGAGAGGCAGAAAGATTATCTTACGGCGAGGAAAGATATCGTAAACACCTATGCTGTAGCTCCCAAAACTTACATCTGCCTATTGAGTAAATGGTTATCAAGGTATATTGCGTATATAGAAGTGAGAGGATTCCTCGGGCCACACCCGCTCTAAAACGGAGGGTAGTATATTCAATGTTCCAGTCCAGCCCTCAGTCGAAGATACCTCAAAGGAAAGTTTTACAACTTCGATCCCTGCCCACTGCCTCTAGCGTGCTCATTCTGTATAGCGCTATCAATAATGCACATAGCCTCAAACAGGTCATTATCATGCAGCCTAGGGGTAATGACCTGGATGCTCAGGGGTGAATCGAGGTAGACACGTCGGTCAACGGTATTGGAGTTCCCTGTTTTGCAAATCTCGTTAATAACTTAATCATAAATGGGCTTTACTAATGCTGCAACGGAAGCACAGCCAATAACCAGAAAAGAAGAAAGGATAGGATAGTAAAAAGTCAGAAACATACACAGCTCCCTATTCCTCTTGTCCCAATTCGATAGCACCTTCCCATCCATCTCCTTCCCAAGCTCGAGATCCGCTTCTGTGAACTTCCGCACAGGCACGGCTCCGGCGGCATAATCAAGCAGAACCCAGCTGGATGTGTATCCGACGGCGTTGTAGCGGTCATGCTCGGGAATGGGGTGTGGGGCAATGGGGTGGATAATCGCATCCACTTTCCTCATTCTAGATTGCAAGCCCGAATCGGACGACGATGACAGAGTCCACATCTTCATCATCTCCTTCTCTATCTCGGACCTACGGCCCTGACTCGCGTACGCCTGTGCAAGCGTTCTAGGAGTCCCGCGCTTAAATCTCGTCTGCAGCCATGGGATGAGAGGCTCCGAGGTAGATTCTAGGATATCAGCCATACCGCCCGCCCCATCCAGGCCCATCAGCTCGTTTGCCACGCGCTGGCAGTCGCCCAGTACGGCGGGAATGGGGATCTCGACGACTTCGACGCCAGGGACTTTGCGGAGGGCTTGTGCTACTTCGGTCAGGACTTTGGCAATGGGTGGCAGCGGCCGGATGCGTCCATCGGACGGAAGGATGCCAATGGTGAATTTACGCGGTTGCGTTAATGAGCGTTGCGTCTCACTGACGCCCCATTGGCCGGGGATACAATCTTCACCGTACAGCTCTGCTCTCGGCACAATTTCTCTCATCAGAGCGTCTATATCTGCCATCGATCGTGCAATCGGACCAGCAACAGGCTGCAGGCCAACTCGCGTCTTGCCAGGCACACTCCCGCTCAACTGGCCGCCAAACGGGACCCGGCCCATACTTGGCTTGAAGCCATAAATCCCAAGGCACATGGCTGGGATGCGGATGCTGCCGCCGATATCAGTGCCGAGGCCTATCATTGAACCTCTCATGGCAACTAATACACCCTCGCCGCCAGAGCTGCCTCCTGGTGTCAGTTTGCGGTTCAGAGGGTTCAGAGTGCGGCCGAAGAGATTGTTAACGCTGTCAAGGGCGCCGAGAGTCTGGGGGATGTTGGTCTTTGCAATGATTATGGCGCCTAGGTCGAGCAGCAGGTCCACCAGTGGTGCATTTTCAGTCGCAGGTTTGAATGCAAGAGCCGCTAAACCAGTGGTTGAGTCGATGCCTTTGATGTCGTAGGTGTCTTTGACGGAGATTGGGAGACCGTGGAGAGGGCCCATGGTTTTACCCGTGCGTTTGAAATGGGCATCTAGTTCTGAGGCGCGAGTCAGGGCTTGTTCAAATAGGGGCTCTGTCAGGCAGCGGGTGAGTTGGTGGGAGATTGCGGCGCGCTGGAGATGGTTAGCTATATATTATTTCAAAAGGCCATATCTGTAAACTTGCTATGAAGAGTATGAATTGGAAGGAATAGTGTTGTAACCAACCAAGGCGAGATGTAAGTAGAGAGGGTAGGTATATATATGGTCATCGAAACCTCCATCCAGGCAGAATATGTAAATGAAAACGAATAAACAAAAAGGAAAAAAAGGAAACCAACCTTGCAAAACGCCTCTGTAACCTCTCTAGCAGATAGCTTGCCCGTGGCAATCTGCTGCAACAACCCCTTAATGTCCCATCTCTCCGTAATTTCCAGTTCCTTCGGGTTCAACACACCACATTTGCGTGGCACATCCATCACGTTAACCGCATCATACTTGTTCGTGACCATGACAGACTCTTCGGCGGACAGCATTCCAGCAGGGATCCATTGACTGGAGAGACGCCATTCTCTAGGAATCCGAGATTCGAGCTGCGCAAGCTTCTTGCGGGCAATGGCCTTGTAGGCAGGTTCAGCGGACATGGTTGGTGGGATAGTGGATTTGTTTGCTCTACTTTATCTCTTCCGGTTTCTGTTGTGTTTATTGAAGTAGTTAGGGGGTTTGTGAATATGGCATTATCATCTGTGTTTCCAAGTGATAAGTTGGAATACACGGTTTGTTTTAAAAGATGCGGAGATAGCTGAAAATTAAAGAGGGGAATTCATGGGTTTCCAAGGCTATATTGCCGGCACCACTGCGGAGTCGGTTGGATAACTCCTGCAAATGGCCGAACCCGAGAAGAAGAGCTGGCCAGGGAGCCGCGCCAGCTCGATATCTACACATATTTTACGGCTCAGGTCGGTCTTTGAGTCTTAGAAACTTACATCTAATGTTGCTTCTACGCTTCCTTTATTTTGTCAAGGCATAATGCTTCTGTTTGATGTCACTTGGAGATGTTCCAGCTAAGCTTTAGCCTCGGCGAAGAAGCTTGGGCCTTCCCTAGTAGGAGGTTAGCCGACCCGGCTATCGGACATAGAGTGGATGATATGCGGCTTGTTCCATTCTATATAAAATATGATCTTCAGAAAGAATATGGGAAGATCTCAAACAAGACGCTTAAACAAATAAGTATTATAAAAGCATGGCAGGCCTAGAAATTGATGGGAACGAACTGCAAGTACGGTACAATCGAATTAATATCTGGACACGTCCCTCCCAAACGCCCAATTCGAGAACCACGAGAATAGTATTTTCAATCGGTTTCTCCAACTCATACTCATGGACAGGTATGCTCCTTTCCAAATCAACCAGGCGGGGTAACCTTTTATACAGCGGAAAAACCCATCGCTGTCCTGCCCACTACCGCCTTCATGAGGCAGCTGCATCAAAGCCTTAGAACTGCCGATGTGTGCAAGGACTCCGAGATTCTTGAATGAGAAACCCGGCGACTGGTCTATATTACCCCGGTTGAGCGCTTTGGACAGCCAGATGGCTTCTTGGCTAGTCGCTTGAGCAGTTGCTGGGGGAGAGCCGGACTCTAACATACAGTTATCTCCAACAGCGAAGACATCTTGTAAGACTGCGATTTGGCCTTCTGCCGACTCCAATTGTACTCGTAGATGGTCGTCTACGAGAATTGCGCCAACTTTAGGGGCCTTCTTCACTTTCCAGGTTGTATTGCCGGGTTGGGTGACGCGGCTCCCTGTTTCCTTTGCCACTGCAGACGATACTGGAAATTGATCGATTGTGTTGAGCGCTCTGTTGACGAACGGCCCAATTTCGTTCCCTGTCGCCCACACACACATACCCACCCCTTCCTCGCCGTTTTCTTTCATCTTGAGCGTCAAGCAGCTTTTGGGGTCCATCTCGTAGGGGCCTTCGGCGTTGGGTTCGCCCCAGCGCAATTCTTCGATATGGTGGTTTGTCTTTATCGTCACACCCTCTCTTTTCAGCGTCTCCATAGCATAGCTAGATAGAGATTTATCGAACATGCTGAGGACAGTAGGAGCTACGTCATATAAAGTTATCCGGACATCGCCCTTCAGCTGCGGGTAGACTTTGAACATATCTCTGTGAATAAAATCGCGCAGGCTTGCAGAAAGCTCTGTTCCGGTAGGGCCTGCGCCGACAATAGCAAAATGCAGAAGATACCGTCTCATTTGAGGAGTGACTCTCGGCATCGCTGCTAGCTCGAAACATTCGCGGATGCGCCGTTTGACCTTCCTCGCGTCGCCGACATCTCTGAAAAACAGCGCATTATCCCTTACACCCGGTGTATTGAAGGTTCGAGCGGCGCAACCAACCGCGATAATCAGCTTATCATATGGAACTTCGAAGAGTTGGCCTTGCTCCCACGCCCTCCGCTGCTTTTCAGGCTGGTTTTGTTCTACACGAGCTGATTCCGTTACACCGCTCCGAACAACAGAAGCTTCGCATGTTATAACTTTGCGATGGAAATCTACGCTTCGAGCAGCCGCTTGGATGAAATTGATAGTGTTTTTTCGATCACGGACGGGTTCGACAATCTCGGAGAAATTTAGGGATCCAACCGCGGCATCGGTGAGGAGGGGCGTAAAGACGAAGTACGAACGGGGGGAAATGATGGTGCGGTTGAACTTCGGAGATAGCTTCCGGGAAACTGTCCATCCTCCCCATCCTGAGCCTAGAATGACAACACGCTCTTCGTTTCCTCGCGGCACAGGGTCAGTGGTATACCTGCGAACTCGTGCCCTGCTCTCAGCGTACAGCGGTCGATGGGGTGTGGTAGAAGCTCTCAGGAAGCCTGAACTTGCCACCCACTGGGGATATTTTAGCAACTGGGCATCACTAATCACCCGCATCCGACACAGGTTCGGAGAAAGCCGCTCCATTGTGACACGAAGGAGGGCGGAAGTGGTCAAGAAAATGGTGCGAGTTAGGTGGGAAATCTCTCTTTTCTCATCCTACCAAGTCTCGGGGTCCTTTATTATGAGCAGAAATATTGTCTTTTATATGCAAAATGGTGCATTCCAACTTCATTTCAGTCCCCGGCATACACATGCTGTTGTTTCATGCTGGATGAAGCCCGCCATGACCTCATTATTACTCACACTGGCCCTCGCGAGCTTCAACCGAGATACCTGCGGGGAAAGACGGACGGAGCGTTGCGGCAAAGTGCGTAATCTATAAGATGGGTCAAAACTTCAAGACATAATCACAGCTGTGGAACGAGTTTCATTTCTGCTCCGCAGTGAGCATTATCGCGATAACTCTCTCGTGCATTGGAATCGGCGACGGTTGGGAATCTGCAGCCACAAATCCAAATCACATGCTGATAAGATAAGATTAACTTAGATCATCATCACGTGTTTTGTAACTAACTGTAGGCTACTGGGGCAAAAGAGCTCAATCACCACCAGCGCCTGCTGGTAGAAGGGCCGATCAACCGCGGGACCCCCAACACTAACTTACCAGCACGTTCCAGAAAGATCTCCCGAATTACCAATCTTGGAACAGCGCTGAAGATGCTCGTCGACGGTCGAATGATCTGGATGGGTGTATGTACGACAACATTTTAATTGTGCAGCCTGGGGCAATTGTCCACTCACATCCGAACAGCAGCATCAGATGTTGATGTCCCCTGCGGGGGCCGGCGTAATCTTGCTGCCTTAACAGCATGAAATTGCCCCCGATTCGTCCCCTGGCCAGTCCAGTGGAATGGCGGGGTTTTGACGGAAGTTAAAATGACCCAAAACCTGGAGGTGGTACCGTGAGTTTGGTTGTCGTTGGTTGAGGCAAAATGTTTTCTAGTTCATTCTCGATACTTCGAGCTCTGCTTGATAATGTGATATTGTAAGACGTGCGTCCACGTAACTGTGGGATGCCTTGAAATATCGTCTATATAACATGCTTCTTCACGCATCTCCTTCCTGATTCTTTCCTTTTTCATAACCACTCCTCTTTGCCCTTATTCATCCGATCTCTGGTTCTCGACTCTACATTTACATTAAAAATAAATAAACAAAAGACAATTTCTTGATACCCTACATCTACTCTCTATATCTTCACGGAAGCAAGTTCTAGCCAACAAAAATGGCAAACGTCTACTATCTCAACCAACAGCCCCACCCACTATGGAACATCCTTACGGATTTTGGGGAGCACGGACTTCACATGTTTTCTCAACAGACACCACATGCCCATGCTGAGCATGTAAATCGGCACCCTCACCACCGTCAACGGGCCCAAAACACCAGCCAACCCACCACACAGGATTCGAATAACCGCCCCTTACCCCGCCCCCGTGGGCTTGACGAAAATACCCCTAGAGAATCTGAGCAGGAGAACACCCGAGATATTCCGTTCCGCGGCCGAGGATGTCGTCGTGGACGTGGCGGACCCTGGGGACATCCTGCGCAGGATGCCTGGGGACCTCATCGCCGGCAGCGCCATTGCAGACCAGGCGCTGGCTACCAATCAACAGGAGCACCCCATGAACTCCTCCAACAGTTCATCAACAACTTCTCAAACCAATTTGGCGTTGACGTCGGCGAGGTGTTCAACATAATCAACGGCACAGATCCAAGATCCGGAGACAAAGAAGTAGACTTCGTCCCCCGCGCCGACGTTTTTGATGCAGAAACTAGATACATCATCCATGTTTCCCTCCCCGGCGCACAGAAGAAGGACATTTCAGTCGATTATGACGCCGAGACTTCCACCCTCCGACTCGCAGGTGTGGTTTACCGTCCCGAGCTGGATGAGGAACTCAGCAACGCCCTTATCGTCGACGGGCGATCCCGCGAAGTTGGCGTCTTTGAGCGGGAGATCAGTCTAGGATCCCGCGATAAGCCTGCACGTGTCGACGCTGACAATATCAGTGCCAAGTTGGTTGATGGCGTCCTCGTGCTAACTCTACCAAAAGTAGTCGCCGACAAGGACGCGTTTAGACGGAGAATCTCGGTGGACCAGATCAGGAATGAGAATGGTCGGGAGCCAGAGGGGGAGGAGGCGGGGAGTGCAGATCCCAATAATGAGAAGGAGGAAGTTGCAGCTGAATCCCAGGCTATGCAGATTGATTCCGAGACTGAGGCATCGGAGCAGGAGAGTGAGAGGTCTGGTAGACGAACGCCACCAAGTCCTAGTGTGCGTTCAGAGGAGGAGGAAGAGAGGGACTATGTTGCCGTGGACGTCGATTAGGGAATAACCGTGTCTTTGATATCTCTTTTTGGCATCTTCATTTTGATATTTGATGCTTCGTTTTCGTACTCGTTTCTTTATCTCTACTTGATATGACTTTCTGCACCTTTTTCTTTTTCATTTTTAGTTTTTTGCATGTGAAACAATGGATAGGAATGGGAAATGGGATATGGTACTGGGCGCAGCTTTTTATCAATAGCTTCCGGTAATTAGTAATAGGATCATACTTGAAGAAAACCAAGGAACTCTATGCTTTCTTGATTAACATTGCTCGTTTTGGACCTGAGGCACTCTTCCCAGTTCCTTCAAAATAACATATTCCATCCCTCTCCGAACCGCCCAGAGTATGGCACTTCAAACGACTAAACTCAATGCTTTGACTCATACAAATGATCGTAGGTTCGGGCAATAATAGCGATACTGTCATCTAATCCGAGCACGCTTTCCCAGGCAACATGCGAGCATCGAAAACCCTCAAGATTTCCTGAACAGCCAATCGACCGGCCTCATGGAGCCTTTGCTATCTCCTTATTGAGCGGAAACTGTCACAAATTAAACCAAATCCTTTGTCCGCGAAACCGAGGCAGACGGAAGGCAAGCCCTCATCAGGTACCTTCCAAGTAACTAATAGCTATAATATTACATATATTAAACATCAATATGACACACTGTATACTTTTCTTTGCCCTTCTACAGGCCAAACTCCCAGGGTAAACTCAAGCTATTTGCGAATTACCTACTGGCCAAACAAGAGACCGTAACTTCAAATTGTCATTGACTTTCATATACTCAAAACCCCCTTTATTCCAGTTCTCACGCACGGTAATATAACTAGTGATGCAAGTAAGTACATGTACACGGCAGTCAGCGTGAGAGGCATCCCGCTGATCACATTTCATATCAGATTGGATAATATTCATGGAGAGTGGGAGACGGCCGGGGCAGTTAGTGTTTGGGACCCTTTAAGCTACATAACTATTTGGTAAGGGGTCTGAAAAAGCATTCGATCCCAAATGCTGCGTCTGTTACACCTTGGATTTCTTTGTTCTACGCCGCTGAGAGCATGGCTGTTTTCAAAATACACTCCGTTATCCTTCCCCGCGAAATTCGACGGTTTAGTCATTATTATTAGATACAAAGACGCATTAACTTAAATCACCTTCTGAGGTAGGAGGAGCGCGAGGTCCCTAGAGCGGATCCCGAAACAGCGCCCTTTGTGAGTAAAAGTGCGCATCGGATTCCTCGTGCAGAATCATCGCGTGGCTATTATGTCTGTCACCCCAAAAGACGTTGCACCATAGTTTTGGAAATCCATGTCTAAATTTCCGACAAGCGGTCCTGGGTGGGATTATCACATCATGTCAGAGCATGGAGGATGGGTGAGGTACAGAGGACTGAATGCACGGTCAAATTCTTAGCCAAGTCTCCCAGGTGAAGATTCCTTGGAACGCCCGCCAGAGTCAACACGTCAAGGGTTGGTTTGGGCGGTCTTTGGGTTAGTTAACTAGTGCTGACTCTGTTTCGAAGGTTGAGAAGCCAACCGCCCGTGTAAGGTGTAAGGTGTAAGGGGAGTTGAACCAACATTTTCCTTTTGAATGCGCTGGACTTGAGTACGGGCATTAGGTCTTGGGATATTGTAGAGCCACACAGAGAGAGCTTGGGCACCGGCACTCCTCTCGCAAGGAACAAATTTCACAACAACTAGTATTGACTTTACTCCGTACATGTAGGTAATACTACGAGTTCAGGTGCTCCTAATAATGCACGTCTTTGCAGTCTTGCTGACCACTGTCTGCAAACACTTTAAAGAATAAATTAATACCTTTTCAGAAGCCAGGGAAACATCGATCTTGAGGGGGAAAGGACATTTGTGCCTGTTCAGACTTCCTCGAAGAATTTAACACTAGTAAATTATAATAATTATTGGGTAAGTGGGGTAATTTCCAACCGTTCCTATTTTCCAGCTGAAGCCTTGGTCATTTTTGTTCTGTTTCGGGCAAGCTTCCCCTGTCCCCGTTTCCAGGCGCTGAATGGCGGCCCGTTATCCCAAATTTAATGCTCACTCTGCACCCGGAATTTCCAGCGCTCGATGCTCTGGCCGCCTAAAGGAAGATCCATATAATCTTGGAAGTCTTCCTGATAGATGTGGAGAGGGGGAGTTAACCAGGCTCTCATTGTTAAAAATAAATGCCGAGAAGCCCACATTATGTACTCTGTATTTGGCAGAGCAAAGTCTTCGGCAGGTGAGGGCGGCCGAGGAAAGAAACTCGGCAGTCACTTAGTTACATATCTTGTTTATGGGGCTAACAGGCAGCTGGGCTAGGCTAATCATAATCAGCCTCCTGGTGGCGCGTGCTAACTCCCGGAACCGTCTGGACCGTCGATCCCCATTCGCATTATTGAATGTGCAGAGCAGGGATAACAACCTTGTTCCAGGTCATCACGTCACATTATGCTCCCTGTTCTGTCAATGCTTGCATGGCTTGATGCCCAGAAGTCCTGTGTGACATTGCCCACATGGTGGTGTATGGGAGGGGATGATTTGATCATGAGAGAAATCTTTTGGAGGGGAGGGAACAAATAGATCTTGGGCGGCACTCTATCAGAGAGCGGTATTGGGGTTGGCTTCGGATGGGTTGAAACTGGAGCACGGGGGAGTGATCCCCAGATGCCCGCGGGAAGCACATCACAGGGCGCTTTCCTACAGGAATGAATATTCCAGGGCTGGGCGGGGAGGTTCTGGAGCGCCCGATGGATGACTCTTGGGCAGGTTTCCTGGAATAGAGAAGTCAGAATAGTCGCAGAGAAAGAGTAAGTTACTTGTTATTGATATAAATTGAAGCAGGCCGCTAGTTAGTGACAGAAAGAAACTCAACTTTTAGCCCTCTTACCAATAATGAACGAACCCGGCCCTGTCAAACCGCGGAGACACTGAGAATAATTTCCAAACCTTGCATTTCCATCAACAACAATCTATCCCAACTGTTTCATCACGACAAACTGGAAACAGGGTCCTTTGGCGGCTTGTGCCAGAGTGTCGTACTTGTGAGTGGTTGGCGGTTTGCTGGGCGCATTTAAGATTCAGGGGTTCGTTGTTCTGTCACCGGATTACCGCTGCAAATCAGGGGCTAGCGCGCGGCGGTGGCTGATACGGCGGCGCCAAAATACCGGCGCATTACGCATGTATGGGAGTCAAAAATACACATAGTTCGCAAAGTCCTGCATCGCAGCCTGTCTTCTGCTCGACTCCGTTCTCTTTTATCTATCTTCCTATTCATTATTTCTTCGCTGCGCCCTACCACCCTCATTACTTTTGTAACTTGTTCTTTGTGTGTGCAGCGGGTGTTATTCTCGTGCGCGGCACATCGAGCGTTCCTCTCGCTTGCTTGATTCACAGCGGTCGTTCATTGACTACGGAGAACACAACAACCATCATTGCGCTGGGGGAACTTACCCCCTTCGTCGCGTCCACAACCTCCAACTCCCCTCCTTCACCCTCCTAGCAACCTCATCTTCTTCCCATTGCAATACATAGTCTGTCATTTATCTCATTCAGATTCTTCCTCGTCCCTTCGCCATTCTCTTGACATTTTCTCTTCTTGCACTCCCTCTGCTATCAACTTTCAAACCAGACTGCTGTTTACCAACAACTGTTCATCAAGTTAAGACCCGGTGCTGTGCGCTGGGATATTTTCTCTCCAACCAACCCTAACGGGTTTTCAAGCCCTTTTTTTTTGTGTCCATCTCCATCTTCTGGGGCTGTCTAGGCCTCTTGACCAAAGCACGATGAGGTTATCATCAGCCCTCTTGGGCGCCACCCATATATGGCTATGGATGGGGGGGTTATCAGGCGTTGTTAATGCTATTCCTATGCCCCAAGAGAACCCGGCTCCTCAAGCATCAGATTTCTGGGTGAGCTCTATCGAACGCCAAGGTGCCCCTGCATTCAGAGAGGCCGGCGGCGAGTATCAGATATATCGTAACGTTAAGGACTTCGGTGCAAAAGGTATGGTATTGGATAACCCTGTTGCTCCCCCTTCTCATTCCGTGCCACACGAAGCTTTTTGCTAACAACCCATACGTGACACAGGCGACGGTACCACAGATGATACTGAAGCGATCAACCGAGCTATCTCAACCGGAGATCGATGCGGACTGGGTTGCGACTCGTCTACTGTGACCCCTGCCATTGTTTACTTCCCAGCAGGCACCTACGTTGTCTCCAAGCCGATTATCCAGTATTACTACACGCAGCTCGTTGGTGATGCTTTGGGTCTGCCCACTATCAAGGCTGCTGCCTCCTTTCAAGGAATTGCTGTTATCGATGCTGATCCATACACCGACTCGGGCGCTAATTGGTATACCAACCAAAACAACTTTTTCCGGTCCATTCGAAATTTCGTTATCGACTTGACAGGCATGGATCAAGGATCTGGTGCTGGTATCCATTGGCAGGTGGCACAAGCCAGCAGCCTGCAGAACATCCGTTTCGAAATGGTCCAAGGTGGTGGTGAAGCTAATAGGCAACAAGGTATTTTTATGGACAACGGTTCTGGAGGCTTCATGACAGACCTCGTTTTCAATGGTGGTAACTACGGCGCCTTCTTGGGCAACCAACAGTTTACCACTCGCAACCTCACGTTTAAGAACTGCAACACAGCAGTGTTCATGAACTGGAACTGGGCGTGGACATTCAAGTCGATCACCGTGAACAATTGTGGCGTTGGTCTGAACATGTCTAACGGTGGTTTTAACCAGACCGTTGGCTCGGTACTCATCCTTGATAGCACATTTATCGGAACACCAAAAGGGATTGTCACCTCTTACGATGATAACAGTGTTCCTGAAACAGGAGGAACTCTCATCCTTGACAATGTTGACTTCACAGGCTCTGAAGTGGCGGTGGCCCATCTCGATGGCTCCGTTGTCCTTAATGGAGGCTCAGTCGTCACCTCATGGGCCCAGGGCAATGCCTTCACTCCTGCGGGAAGCTTACCCATCAAGAACTCCAAGAGAAAGCCCGTCCAAGAACTAGCTCCTGTTTACATAGTGGAAGAAATTGTCAAGAGGGGGGCTGAGCCTCAACCAGCTCCTGTTTATACAGTGGAACGTATTATCGGGAGAGATAGTTGCAGTGCCCCCGCGCCACCTGCACCCGAGCCAGCTCCAATTTCCCCGGAGCCCACTCCATCACGCCAGCCGCCGCCGTCCACGCACAATTCTCCAACACCATCGCAAGGTAAGCCATACGCTACGGAGTCGAAGTCATCAGTTGTAACCCCATCGTCTGTTGCGTCTTCTGTACCACCGTCGCCCACGCCCTCTCCAACGGATCCTAACCCTGCATCATGCCCTACCACACCTCCCCAGAAAACTCGAATCAGTGCTGGACTTGCCAGCCCCACCAAACCAGCAGTTCTCCTTGACCCATCTGGAAAGGTATTTGAACGGACCAAGCCACAGTATGAGGACGTCCCCACGAAGTCGTTTATTAGCGTCAAGGGTGCTGGGGCCAAGGGAGATGGTGTAACGGATGACACAGAAGCAATCCAGGCAGTACTTGATAGCGCAACGCCAGACCAAATTGTATACTTCGACCACGGAGCCTATATTATCACTTCCACGCTCAAAGTGCCCAAGGAAATCAAGATCACCGGTGAAATTTGGCCGCTTCTCATGGCATCTGGACCGGCCTTCTCCGACGAATCGAAACCCATCCCTATGCTGCAAGTCGGGCAGCCAGGCGACAAAGGAAACGTTGAAATTAGTGACCTGATGCTCGAAACCAAGGGACCTGCCCCGGGTGCCATTTTGGTAGAGTGGAATGTTGCTGAAACAACACAAGGTTCGGTCGGAATGTGGGACGTGCACATGAGAGTTGGAGGTTCTGCCGGTACGGAACTACAGAGCGACACCTGTGCCAAGACTCCCAACAGCACCACCACACCAGACCCCAAATGCGTTGGTGCATTCATGCTCATGCATATCACGAAAGAAGCCTCTGGGTACTTTGAAAATACTTGGCTCTGGGTTTCAGATCATGAACTGGATTTGCCGGATCATGGCCAGATTAATATCTACAATGGCCGTGGCTTACTGATCGAAAGTACTGGACCAGTCTGGCTCTATGGTTCCGCGAGTGAACACTCCCAGCTCTACCAGTACTCCATCGTCGGTGCAAAGAACGTTTTCCTGGCCCTGATCCAGGTGGAAACACCATATTACCAGGCCAATCCAAACGCCCTTGTCCCATTCAAACCCAACGAAGACTTTCACGACCCAGATTTCTCCCACTGTCAAACAGACGCATGCAAGAAAGCCTGGGGCCTGCGCATTTTCGACTCCAGCGATGTGTTCCTCTACGGCGGCGGCCTGTACAGCTTCTTCGAGAACTACGACCAGGAATGTCTCGCCACCGAATCCTGCCAGGAGAACATGATTGAAGTGGATTGTTCTCCCGTGCACCTGTACGGCATTAGTACAAAGGCCAGCACGAACATGATCACGAGAAGCGGAGGGGGTCAAGGGCTTGTGAAGCAGATTGAGAATCGCAATACGTTCTGCTCGACCTTGGCTGTGTTCCAGCAGGCGACGGCGTAGATATAGTTGTACTGTAACTTACCTCTATTTTTCAATTCCATGTATTCTTGCCATGCCGAAGGGATGCCCACGTAGTTAGGATGATGGTGACTGTTGTTCCAAGCGCATCCAACGTCGCGTGTATATGTGTTCTAATAATGTTGAAATTTGTTTTTTTCTAAAAGTGAAACATGTCACTCTTTTTCTTCTCCTGTTATTTATTTTAGTTCACGGCGTTACATCTCTCCCTTTTATATCCTTTCACGCCAACGTTTTTACTTCAAGGGAGGTCCGCTTCTCTTTTACTCTCCTTTTCTAACTCCACAAGGCGTTCTTGTATCGGTTATCAATTCAGGTAGTTTATCGAGTCAATGGAAACAAATCGGAAAACACCCAGTAATGAATAACAGTGCACCCATCCCTGATTTTATTAGAACGGGGCGCGAGATTCAATTATCTGGCAAAATTCGTGGTCAACATTTTGCTGTTTTGGGATCGCGCGCTCCTGGTTGCTGGCCAAACGCCGTTGTCTCAACTGTCAGCAACCACATCAATTAAGAGCCCACACCGGAGCAAGTATATTCCTTCCATCGGTTGATTTAGATGGGGTAACCAGATCTAGGATCCAAGCTTGTGTGGCGGCGCCGGTCCCTTAGGGAAATATTTCGCATATGGTCAATAACCCTAGTCTGTACGGAGTATGTCCAGCAGGTCCCAGCTTACCCTTTTACGAGCTGTTCCGAGAGCGGGTTTGGTTCTGCTCCGCGCTCCGCAGCCTTTTCGAACATAATTTTGATTATTGTTTCGTACACAGTCTAGGAGCCGAAAGGATCGGCCAGAGAGCCCAAGCTGGGGTGGGGGTATTCGGTTGTAGGTGCGGATTTCCCATCGCATTGGCATGCGTCGAGGACTGAACTGAGTGGCATACAGTTGTTCGATGCAAGAGCTCGTTATTTTTTTGTTGGGCAGACACGAAATTTCGTCCATGGACTCTGTGGACGTAACTACAGTAAGTTAGTTACATAAGATGACGATTTGCCGAAGTTGCAACAGCTGGACTTTGGCTGTAGGAGTGTTTATATCTGCTTTCCATGCCACGGCTGACATCTCCCAGAATGGATTCCGCATGCAGCGGATGGAGGAGGCCCGAAGCTGAAATCCAAAATATGACTAGGAAATGCTAGTTACTTGCAATGGTTCTTATCAAGGCAAGATGCCACTTCAAAAGGCATCAGCGGTCGCGCCTTTTGCAGATTTACTCAGTCTAGTTTTCGTCTGGCAATTTCGCCCCGCTTTGCATTTCTCACAGTCTGCAGATCAATAGTAGTATTTGGAATCTGGGGGAGTATAGGGAGTATAGCGCGGGGTGTGGTTTCCCTCTCCCTATCCAGGAATATCAACCATTGCTTTTCTTTCGGAGCATTGAGAAAGGGCGCAAGCCTCCACTACTGGGGAATCCTCTTTACCCCCAGCTGCGCACATCAGATTTAGCGATGTTCAGGCAACAAGATCGCTCTCAAAGTTCATCCCAACCTGTTGCACCCGTGAGATGCTTTTGCGCGCAGACTTTCTCCAGGATTTGATACCCCAACGAACCAACCACCAAGAAATCCTGGGAGCCATACACGGGTAACTCCGTTCCAAGGTTGCTTTTGCACTGATCCTTCTGGAACTATCATTTCTGCAATCCCTCCATGTTGAGTAGCCGGTTGCTCGACGCAGTTTACGCAGCGTACAGAGTGCGTGTTACCTTTCGCAAGGTTAAATCATTGGCCCATCATACCCTGCAGTGCAGTGCCAAGCAGGCTTTTGAGAGCGTGGCTGGTTTTAGCTCAAGGTAAATTGGTTGCTACAATTCCCAGCCTTCCGCCCTAGTTTTTGGAAAAGCTGCTTCGGCTCGGCTGCCTCTCTTGTTCGGCTATTCATCATCAAGGCTACTCTACTGTGTAGATCTATTTCCTGATGGGTAGAGGGCTCGGATCACGGATTTGGAGGACGTTCGTCAGGTAAACCCATTTGCTTCGAGACGCCCACCAATCCAAGTCACCGCGGTCTTTTGCTGTGTGTTCACGGCCCACGTAGCTCCATTAGGCTGCCCTCTGAGAACACCGAAACTCCTAATTATTAACCTTGCAGTGGAGAGGTTTTGAAGAATACGCCCAAGTCAAACGACCCTATGTATGGAGTCTGAACTCTGGCCTCGTGTGGTGCAGTGCAGCGTGGCCAAAGGGATAACTAACTAACCAACAACAACAGATCCCCAGCCGCAGAATCCGAAATCGGAGCATCGGCATTGCCGTCGGTAGAGGACATACATGCTTGGCTTCTACTCCGGCAACATGTAGACGCAGCCGTCCTCCATTTTGATGATATCTACTTCTCATTTTCACATTTTTGTCAGTTTTCTGGCTAATCGTTATCAAGATACACATCCTGCCTCAGATCATCAAAGATGTTTCTGCTGCCACCCGAGTCAAGTATCATATTTTTGTATTGGTCATCTCGGGTGTTCGTGTGGCCGCAGAGTGCCGCCCCTTTTACTTTGGGCAGTGACTGTACCAAACCCTCTCAACTCAGGCCTCCGGGCGGGGCTCGCACGCCACCAAGATGGTCCCCGGCAGGGCGCTCTCGAAAAGACACAGATCTGCACGCTGCCCAGCTTCCTTCCGTGGGCCAAAGTGTATTTTCAACATCAATGAGCACTGAGCAGGTAGTATCTCTACAGCGGACATGCCCTTCCTAGGAGTGGTGTCCGCCTAGGAGGATAGGTCGCGGCCTCTCCGCAGCACAGATCCGCAGATATGCCAAAACGACCGCCGTTTGCAAATATGTTTCGTTGTTGTGTCTTGAGACGAGTTGCTTTGTTTGGAATTTGCCAGCTCTTCCTTTGTTGAAAGTTCTCTACGGTATTGCCGGGGCCACTAATGACTCGAATGAATTTATTCGAAGCCCAAGAAAGTTTAAAAAGACTAGTGGAACCGCATGAAACTTTTGTGACTTCCAGTCAAATTACAAAGTAATTTGGTTTGTTCACCGTTTATCTCCTGGTCTTCACCTCTCTACTTCTAACTTCTATGACTGCAGGCAGTTACAATTATCTAATAAATAATCTGTATATATCTGTATAGATAAATATAAATAATTAGAAAATATACACTTAAAAAATATAATCAGAGTGAAACTCTTATTAATTTCATGAATAAATATTATTCTGAAGAAAATGTGTGAGAAGAACTGAAGAAGAGTAAATGAGTTGGGTGATTTAAGTATCATGTGACACTATAACTTCTACCAAAGCTATTTTACAAAAGTTTCATTTGAGAGAGTTGAGCTGGCTACAAGCCTACAAGGCCCTCAACTTTACCCAAGTTGGGCTTATTCCATGGTTTCTCCTCCGTCCATAGTCCCAGACGCCAGAGCGTGATAGAAATCGAGCTTGATTATTGTCATCCTTCATATTTTCGGTTGTGAGTTCGCGTCCTTCTTGATACGATACGCAGGATAGAGGAAAGCATTAGCACTACTTGCAGTTAGGTTAAGCAGTAACTAAGGCCCCTGCCCCCGCAGTAAGTGTTTGTCCTATCCTTCACGTATGTTTTTTAGTATTGTCTTATAAATCGATTTTGATAATTGTATTCCTGACACGACAAAGCGGAAGGGCTAGTCCGATTATCATTATTAATTGCCAAGAAGCAGTTTTCATGACACACAAGGCCAACCAGCAGCAAAAGGCCAGTTGTGCCAGGTTGTGCCTCTTGACCCCCTATCCGTACTTTTAGGCAATTGACCGAATTTTAGTGACCAATTGTTGATGCGAAATTTCTATTCATCTAGCGTAGTCGGGATGATGGATCTTGAACTTGCCATCCCAAAACAACTCCCTCCAAAGAGTTCCTCCGTTCAAGCTCAGGAGAAAGTATCCACGTGGGAACTGTGGCGTTCTTGTAGAGATCGTAGGGCTACTAACACTCTTTCGCGAATAGAAAGCCCTGGATATGTACAGCATTCATGATGATCTTGAATCCTGAGCAGTGTTGGCAGGGTTGGCTTGTTTGATAGCGCCAACTATGACTTTCCACTTTTGAGAGTTGACTCAAGAAGCTCACGAATAATTCCAATTCTCGGTGGATGTCCGCTGGAGCTTATGTGTGGATCGCAAGGATATAGGGGCAATTATAGCAGCCCAGACTCCAGACTCCAGAGCAAGCATGTCGACATTTGGGGCTCGCTCCAGCATTTCTGGCGGATATGGATAAGCACTCCTTAGCGTCCCGGCTTCGGCCTGCATCCGGGTCCTTCGTGTTTCCCCGCGTCAATTCTCTGGGTTATGACACGGCTCACAGACAACGCGGGGACGTGGATCAAGCATAACGTCTTGAACAACGCAATGCATTGCCACTGCCTCAGATCTCCCATCTTATCCACATTTTGCCCGAGAATGAATGGCAACCTCAGTTTCCGAGATGGACCCAGGTTCTCGGCCACTCTCGTTCTTGAAAGGCAGGGAGACTGCAACATGCGGGCAATCCCAGATTCGGTCGGGCCTATATAAATTGTAATGCCCTCGCAAAGCCGGCTACAGAATATGACCAGGGCCAAACCCACTCTCCTATCCATCTTCCTATTAATTTTCCTTTTCAACTTTGGGCACCTGAAAACCAAAGAGAGGCAGGAGGATCTGAACTGGAACCATGGCCAAGACCACGATGTCGTCCTCTGACGAGAAGTTGCCTCCGGATCAGATCGAGGATAAATCCAGGGGAGAGGAAGAGTCTGCCGGAATGTTCTCAGCCAAAGAAGCCGCTGCCATTAGGCGTCGGATAGACTTCAGACTCATCCCAGCGCTGGGTTTGATGTACGGCATCTCCCTCATGGACCGGAAGAACGTCTCCAACGCCGCCATCGCGGGCATGCGAAAGGATCTCGATTTGCTACAGGGGTACCGGTACAGCTTGATCACTCTCACCTTCTTCATCACATACGTCATTTTTCAGCCTCCGATGACAGTCCTGTGCCGCAAAATTGGCCCCCGCCTCTTTTTGCCGGGCATCTGTTTGTTATGGGGGATTGTGATTATCTGTTTTGGGTTTGCCAATAATTGGACCACGATGGTGGCTTTGAGACTCATACTTGGAATTCTCGAGGCGGGATACTTTCCAGGGTAAGATACCCTCTGGGCCTACCTAAAGCTCCTAACTAATTCCAATTTAAGAACGATTTACCTCCTATCAACATGGTATTTGAAGTGTAAGTCATCCGGAGATCAAATCAATTCCCCTTCAGGCCTTCTTCTCTGACTTCTTCTAGTTGAGGTGGCACGGCGGTATTCGGTCTTCTATCTGATTGGGAGTTTTGCAAGTGCACTCTCTGGAATTCTCGCATACGGGCTCATGCAGATGGAAGGTGTACAAGGAATCCGGGGCTGGCGCTGGTGAGTATGCTCTTATTCGTACAGTGTATGTCCAATTTGGATTTTAGCTAATTTAACGTAGGATTTTTATCATGGAGGGTGTGGTAAGTATTATTACCGAAGAAACCAGACAAAACGTGTTCTAATGGCGAAGCAAAGATTACTGTCGCTATCGCCCTTGTCGGGTACCTATTTATTGTTCGCTTCCCAGATGCAGAACAAAAGAAGCCGTCGTTCCGCTTCCTGAAGCCAGAAGAATGCCAATTCATTGTCGAGCGTTTGGACAGAGAGCGGGGCGACGTTGAGCCTGAAAAGTTCAACTTGGTCAAATTCTTGAAACCCGCTGGCGACATCGAAATTTGGGGATTCGCCTTTATGTTCTTGTAAGTATTTGGTTTATGTAGCTGGCAGCTTGCCTGCCTCTAACCTCCCTCACCCTTGACGCCGAACTGTTCGCCTACACAAGAACGCCCCCTTCCTTTGCGCTCATTTTCCAACATTATCTAGCTGTATTACGACTGTCACCTATTCATTTTCGTGTAAGTCTCCCCTCATGGGCCAAAATCACGATCGCATGCCCTCATCAACTAATTAATGGCAATAATTAGTTTTCCTCCCGATCATCCTCAAAGATAACCTAGGATTTTCCATGGCTGCCTCTCAATGTCTGATTGCACCACCATACGCATTTTCCGCAATTTTAATGTTTACAACAGCATGGTTCGCGGACCGCCTTAGACTCCGAGCGCCTTTCATTGTATTCAATAGTGTGCTCTCGCTGATCGGCTTGCCGATCATGGGATTCCATTATAACCCCTCTGTGAGATACTTTGGTGTTTTCATTGGTGTTGCAGGTGCCAATGCCAATGTTCCGCTTGTGATGGCATACCAGGTAAAAGAATTATCCATATCGCTTGATGAGTTTCTGATTTGATTCAAATTACAGTGGCTAACTTTGAACTTCTTTCTTTAATTAAAAGGCCAACAATATCAGAGGACAATGGAAGCGCGCGTTCTGCTCAGCGACCTTGACCGGCTTTGGAGGAATTGGAGGGTACGAATTCATTCCTCTGCCAAAGCACCGGAGACTCCCCGCATGACGTGCAACGCTAACCCTCAACCGCCACATAGAATCGCAGGAAGTCTTGTTTTCCGCACGCAGGATAAACCATCATACACCCCTGGAATCATTGCTACAATGGCGTATGTATCCCGGGAATTTACTGCTCCCAGCACGCTTCACGGATTACCCCTTTTCTCTAACCATATATCTTCATTTATCTAGTGCTTGCGCCTGCGTCGCCATCACAATTTGCCTCATGACTGTGTACTTCAAGTGGCAAAATGCCAAAGCAGATAGAGGGGAAAAGATCCTCGTCGACGACCCAGACTTCAGATACACTCTGTAATCGGGCTCTGAACACAATCTGGCTCCACGATGAGGTTTGGAAAATGGGATTAATAAGAGTGGGTTCTTTTGCGTTTCTATTGGGCTTGTATTTTGCTCTATTTTTTGAAGGAGGCTTTATTCCTTCCACGCTTGTTGAAAACCCAACGGCATATAATAGGCGGTATATATATGCTTCTGATTGGTCTCCGGGATTGTGTCAGTGACCACATGATATTCAGGGGCCAGGGGCTCTGTACTCGTAGGGAGCGGTACTGGAGCCGGCTGGGTACATACGATTTAACTACCAGTTAGCTCCGTAGGAGAAGTATTCTTATTTAGTTGGGTTCTCAGGATGAACCCACCTTTCAATATGACGACCACAAATCATGAATCACTCCTGCTTGATTATTACCATTCATAATCATGCCAAGAGACAAGTGGGAGAAGTGTCTAAGCAAAAAGCAATAGAAGAAATGAAACGTAAAAGACAAGGTAAAGGTAGGTAGATAGATACCTGGTGGAAAAGGGTTATGCTTCGAGAAGTGCGATCTACTGGTATTTAGCAGACATACCAAGGTGGATTTTAAAATGGGATGAGATCATTGAGCAAAACAGGTGTAAGGATCTTAGATCCGGTATCTACATGACTGTCGTGGGGATAAGATCCAGGCTATTTACATGAAATTGTAAGGGGCCATTGGGGTGGAGTAAACCGAGAATGAACAAGCCATAATAAGAGGGCGAAACCAGGGTGAAGAAGGGAAAGGCCGCAGTTCAACGCCTGCCGAATAACAAGGTAAACCATACAGTTAAATTATTGGTTCTCTTTCAATTTCACGCATTTCCCTCCTTATCAACCTTGCAAGTCTCTGAACCCCTTCGTCAAACTTCCCATCCTCCTCCCACGCAAAACACAACCTGACAAACCCCTCAAAGTCCTCTGGATTCTTCTCTACGCAATCATCATTCCCATGGCCATAATCTTCCCGAACTACTTTAAACAAATTTCCACCCGCAATCATTAAATCCTCCTCCTCCTGCGCCTTCTTCGCTAAATTGCTAGCTCTCAGGCCTGGCGGGAGGCGGAGCCAGAGGAAGTACCCACCGGCAATACCACTTTGACTGCCGGTACTACAAGTGCTGATGGTGTTGGCATTCGGGTCGGTCTCCGTGGAACTGATACTTGCAGGGTCGTTTGGCAACGACACACCAAGCGGGAAAAGATGTTTTCGCACGGCTGCGGTGAGGGAGTGGAAGCGCTTTGAGTACGCAGGTTGCAGGACGGTTCTGATATGAGTCTGCAGTGAGTTTGAAGCTAGTAGCTCGCGGACAAATGTCGATGTGAACTGGGAGGGGCAGCCGCCTGAACGCGAGGACCCGCTGTGCCGTATATAAATGCATATGTCATTGTTAGCTAGGCTTGTCTCCAAGTCATAAATTCCTTGTCTTTATAAAGCCAATTCTTTAATATTAACTGTAGAAGGATAGTGCATACGCCTGTGACAAGCCATGGACAAATTTCTCAGTCCCCTCCGCCCAGCCAACGCGACACCCAGCACCGATAAGTTTGCTAAAGCTACCGTTGCTAACAGCATTTCCGAACTCTCCTAATGGCCCTCCATCGAGAAATCGGTCGACATCCACGATGCGAGGGACAGTGGCTTCACCTGGATACTCTGGGATAGGGCATGTAGAGGGAGAGGCGGGCCATTGGAGGTGATCATATACATCATCGGAGATGATCAGGGCGTCGTATTTCCTCGCAAGCCGGACAAGTTCTTCCCGACGTCGGAGGCTCATTATTCTTGTGGAAGGGTTGGAGAAGGTCGGGGTTGTGTATATAATGTGCTTATATAGCTTCCGCCACGGGCGGGAAGGCTTGAAGGCCCGTCTCTGTAATTCTCGTAGGGGAGAATATAGAATGAGCAACCGACGGTCATGGATGCAAATGACTGCAACGCAGGGGAGAGGGAACAGCCCATCTTACCAGCCCTGGGTACAGCATACCAGTTCAAAATCTTCTGCTCCCGAATTTCGATTCCGATCGCCCTCCCGCTTCAGTTCTGCCCTTGCTCGCTCCTCACTCGCCTCCAAACCCCTTTCTAGACCACCAATATCCAACCCTTCCTCATCTTCCCTCACCCCCCTGAGCTTCCCCGCAAAACCCGCATCATCAAAAATCCGACACGCCAAATAATACGTCGGCGCAACCATCCATACGTTCTTCGTGTACAACGGGTCAGAGAACACCTGCAGTAGACAAGCGAGGTTTTGGCTGGCCCCGCCGGTGATGCAGATGCGAGAAGGAGCTACGGGGGATGGAGGGGAGTAGAAGTTAGACAGCCAGCGGGCTATCTCGTCGCGGAGGCCGGGGTCTCCTTCATCTGGACCGTAGTTGAGAGCCGGAGTCGAGAGGAGAGGGCTGGACAGAACCGCTGATGTGGCGGCGGTAAGAGCGGGAATAGGATGGAGGGAGGGGTTCGGCCATCCTCGAAATAAGTTTATCGGCATCCCTTTCCGTTTTTCTTTTGTTACTTTCGTCTTTCAGGGAAGGGAATGGAGTCTGGTTTTGGGATGAGGCTGCGTAATCTAAAGCAATTGATGATGCCTTATCAATGTCTATAATTATCCATGTAATAAATTTACTGTTCCGTATATAAATAAATACCAAAACGCATAACTACTTTGCAGCTCAGCGGGAGGGAGGTCAATTAGGGCAAGTACGCCGCTAGTCTGTTTTAGATTAGCGCGCGGCTCCAGGTTTAGCACAACTGTAGTCTCAACAGTCGTCTGCTACTTTGGACAAACCTTCATCCTGAGCCAAATATCAATTCTTTCGCAGTTTATGGGACCTGCTGCTCCCATTCGTTGTTCCCCTGTTACAGGTTCTACTCGATATTTGAGATTCGTTGGCCCTGAGAACAAGAAGCTGTATTGACACCGGATATGGGCTCGTTCACCATCCACGGATCCGGGCGCTTAGAACCAAGGGCTATGTAAGACGGTTAGGCTGGCCCTGGGGATAAGGAGCTGTATTGGTGTCAGACATGGGCCCGTTCACCAGGGATCCTGGCGCTTAGAACTGTGAACTGTGTAAGGCTGGATGGATCTATTGCAAGGTCAAGGATTAAATAAATATGTTCCTGATTGACAATCATTTTTCCAGGGGCGAGCTGGTGAGTTTCCTGCAGGTGCCATTGGCCTGTCTCAAGCAACAGTCCAATGTTTCCAACATGAATTCTCTATAACCGCCCGCTGGCAGAATTCAAGCTGTTCAAAGGTCTCTGGGCGGGAGCCCCTGAACGTACCGTGTGTATGTCGAGAATATATAAACATCGATGGGGCACCCACGTTGCGAACAATGACTCTACAACATAATCACTATTCTGCAACTTCACTATCTTAGTTTGTCCCCTATCGAGAAGCCATCTAGAATTGGCAAACCCTTCCAGAATATATCCCGCGTTGCCTTTAAGGATTGACTTCCACGTCCCAGCGGCTTTCGAACAATATCTTTCCCGCGGAACTACGCAGAAACAAACATAATGAGTTGTCCTCCACTCGGCGAATTTCATATCGGTTGGATCTGTGGCCTTCCAATCGAGGCTGCCGCCGCTAGCGCAATGCTCGATGAAGAATTTGGAGTTCTCGATCAGCAAGATCCAGCAGATAAAAATATCTACAAACTTGGCCGAATGGGCAAACACAACATTGTGATTGCCTGCCCATCTACAAGACCAAATGGACCTGCCTCAGCTGCCATAGTCGTTAATAATATGGTTCGCACGTTCCCTCAATCCTTGCGGATCGGCCTCAAGGTTGGGATTGGAAGTGGTCTTCCGTCTGCCGTACACGACATACGCCTTGGTGATGTTGTCATTAGTTACCCGTTTGATAAATGTGGAGGGTTACTTCAATATGACTTGGGAAAGTGCGTCGATGGTAGTGAGCTTTATCGGACTGCTTCCTTGAATAACCCTCCAAGTTTATTGTTGGCAGCAGCCAACGTTATGAGGGCCGCTGAGTTCATAGAGGATCCTCGCTATCCGCAATACATGAAAGATGCAGTCGGCAGAAATGCCCTGACTAGGAAGAATTTCAATCGACCTAGCGTGCAAGACGATCGGTTATTCAGAATCGAGCGTGAACACCCTGCTGGCGCGGCTGGCTGTGAGGGATGTCCGAAAAAGTGGGAGGTGTCTAGACATGAACGCGAATGCAATGATCCACGGACGCACTACGGTATTATCGCCTCTGGGAATGCCGTTATAAAGGATGGACGGAAAAGAGAAGATTTTCAGTTGGAAACTGGGGCTCTGTGTGTTGATATGGAGGCAGCGGGTATGGTGGCCGACTTTCATTGCCTCGTTATCCGCGGTATCTGCGACTATTCGGATTCGCACAAGAACAAGCAATGGCAAGGATATGCAGCCCTCGCGGCCGCAGCGTATGCCAAAGACTTGCTGGGGTATGTACCCAAAGGCAATTCTTCGAAGGAGGTGCACGCAAAGGTTGTAAGTGACCACTGAAATTGCTGGTAGCGCTTAATATTTTCAATAACGTCGTTAGGAAACCCATACTGACATGGTTCTCGCTAGATTCTACGAAAATTTTAGCTGAAGAAGTTTAGAGAGCCGCCAATCAGCGATCTGAGAGAGCATTCAATCAAACAGAACAACTCTATCGCGAGGATACGGCTAAAGTGTTGGCTGATGAGCGGCGACTGTGTCACCAGGCTTGCAAAATATCCAATTATGAGCGACAGAAGGACATCAATCCGTATAGACTACCAGACATGTAGCATCCAAATTACCCCCGCTGGCGGGACAGATTTATTACTGTGGATATCAGCTAGCCCTCTGGCTGTTTTGTAATCCGTCCTAGCGAGATCCCCTGTCGACGAGGACCGACCTGAAAGAAACTTGGTGGGCAATAATTTTGTTTATTATTCTTTTAAGTTATCGGAGTTCATGGTATATAAAATTCTTTAACCTTTGATATTCCGTGGTCTTGCCGCTCATGCGTATTTCTTATCTACGGTACAAAGTACATGTACATTAATCCGTACACACAACTACGTCATTTCACCATTTGCAACCCTCATTTCTTCATTTTTAAATCGGCACAGCTCAGCAGGGAATTCTGAAACAAACTGGCAACAACTTCTATATATATATATAATCGCATGAGGGGGCTGAACATCTATCCGTGAACTCACTTGTGATTGAAGCTATTGAATTCCTAATATACATATCAAATACCTTGCTCTTTTCCATATCTCTGTGTTTATTTATAGCAACACTTGATGATTGCGGGGCCGCATGTCAGCGACAATTAGCCTCCCTTTCTTCATTTTTCGTCATTTTTTTCACTTTCAATTTTTAAAGTTAAAGGAATCAACAAATCGTTCAACAGCAGTTTTTGTTTAATTAAACATATCATTTCTTATGAGTGTACTAGTAGTCTTGTCTTCACAGTATGATGATGTTCTGTCAGTCTCGATTCTGTTCGGGACATCTCAGTATTCTTCATTAATTTTCATATTGCAATTTTTTCTCTTGCCACTGTCCTCTTTTCTTTTTCTCATCGTTGTTTAGCGCGGCAAGGGAGGTTGAATGGACCCTGTAGAGGCGCAAGGGGCAGGGAGGGACGTTATCGAAGCCAGAAATAGCCGGTTGAGCCGCCACCCGAGCCGGCTCGTTTTGGATTTGGAATTTGCCCTGCTGTTGCGGCCACGCATGGCGAAACTCCTGTAACTAATAATAATAAAGAATTATGCGGTCCGTCAGTTCCCGGATTCGCTGCTGGACCATAGTGTCGTGTCGAAGCACATCGCTAGATGTGCTCCCAGAGTAAAGCCGAGACAAAAGAGCTCCTGTTCGGAAACGCGGGCGTGTCCATTGGACCTCGAAAGTTAAACACCGCCCCTTGGCAGCTACATACGTATAGCAGAGCTGGGGTGGAAGCAGCTGTTTGGACGTAAAAAAATAGAGAAAATAAAGATATAAGGGGGAAAACGACATCACTACTGTACTGCACGGCACCCTCAGTACGGAGTACATAAAAAGAAAAGCAAAACAAAGGCTGGTAAATGAGATAGGCTGGATTGGAGGCACTCGAGAAAAAGCGGCCTTGCCAGGGATAATACAGGGTTTGAAAAAATATCTCTCCGAAAATAAAGGGGAGAAAAAGTGAAGCAAGGAATGCGGCCTCTGCCTCAGTTCCTCTTCAACGTTAGTTTGCCGGACAAAGAGTCCGAGGAATACTGGAAGAAGAATAACGGTGATATCAATGATAGGCAAAACCGCAGCCCTCGTATTCCCTCGCTCCCGTACAGTACATAAATGTGTAACTAATGGAGGAGTTGTTCGGGTTTGGGATTTCCAAAATCGATGGTTTTTGGCGTAGCTCCCAATAGTTAACTAAGCCCCGCGAAGGGGGCTGATGGACGAAAGGTGCCGAGCTTGCGAATCATAGTGGACACCACAGCTGTCATGCGTAATTTTCTCGGAAGCTTCCACCTGGCGGCGTCCCAGGAAACTACAGACTGGATCTCGCCAGTGGATGATGCGCTCGAGCGTTCCGGTAGAGTTTAGCATAACGAGAATTGCGTTCTGGAGAAATGCTCTTTTGCATTCCTATTTTTCTCTCTCTAGCCCTTGTTTTGACAGGCTTGGCCAATGTCACTGGGTAGAGAGTAATGCAGATAAGGTGCTTATTTTTATCGGCAGAGTGAGGCTAAAATCTGACACTGACCACCCAGTCTTTGTCCAGGGGCAAAAGGGCATCATCCGGGATTATTATAAATTATTTTTAAGGCGGCGTGTTTCAACATGAACGTGTGGCGGTCTTCACGAACAAACAAACCAGCCACAATCGGATTGCCCAGCTTGGGCTAGTTAGTTAAGTTGCAGCCAGTGGCGCTATGGCGCTATGGCGCTGGTAGCGGGTTTTAGAAGAAGCTGCTATTTTTTCCAGATTGTTCTTGTACTCATCCAGAACCAGGAGAAAGACAAACAATTGCTTTATCTACTTTGTGCCATATTCCCAGTTGTTCAAGGGCTTTTTGCAGCAGTAGCATCTCACAACATCTTTCTTGGACCACCCAGGTCGGACAGTTCTCACTCCAAAAATGGGGCGATTCGAGGAGACAATAAGGTGTTCGGCCCACCGGAGGGAGGCTAACAAATACCGCCGCCTTATTAAAAGTTCGAAATTTCAGGTTGGTGGTGGTGTTACCTTGTTAGAACAGGCGTCAAGGCGTCAATTCGCCAGTTAGCGGGCAGCCGTCGCTGGTCGGCTGCTGAGCCACTATGTGGATCACCTTCAACCACACGGGTCCCAAAATCCATACACAGGTATCCAGTGGGTGGTTGTTGAAAAACGGCCAAGAATCCGCTAATGACGTTGGGCGAATTATTACCCCATTTGTTCGCACGCTGACGATATCATGCATAGACCCTTAGGAAGTAACTTTGAATGCAAGATTTCAGGCCTGATGCTCAATTTGTTGCCTGAGAAAAAGTCGACTTAGTGAAAGAAGAGGGAGGGGGGTGGTCTCCTACTAATCGCTTGTTTTGAGATTATTTCTGCCCATTTTTCTCCCATTTTTTTTTTCTTAAATTTTAGGTTAAGCCGGATCAATAAAAGCGTGAATATTTGTTGGTTATCGACCAACCTATCCAAATGGCCCGGCTAGACAGACAGTGCAACCGGTAGGTACTGTGTATGTTCTGGAGCAGGGTCACCTCAGCGCGAGAGGCATCAGAGTAGCCTATTCTCTAGTCAGTTAACTTGGTCATATTTTGCTGCGGCAAGGTATCAAAGAAAGAAGAAGAAGAAGAAGAAGAAGAAGAAGAAGAAGAAGAAGAAAGATGATAACAGGAAGAGAAAGAGGAAGAGGACTGAATACGAGATAGAAACCCAACGCAGGCAGTGTGAGTGTCTGAGGCGAGGCCAGCGAAGTGGAGCAAAACCAAGAGACCCAAAATAAGAATGAATGCAACTAAAGAAAGTCCACGGATCTCGATTTGTGGACGCGGTTTGTTGTCCAGTCCAAAAGTACGTACCAGGACCAGGACCGGACCTTGTGTCTTGGTTAGCAAGTTGCAAAAATGAAGTCCCGTCTTTTTGAATTTGCTGGCGTCCGCCACTCCCATGCTTATGCTGGCTTCTTTATATACTCCGTACGGAGTAGAGTTATGCGCCCTGTAATCTTCGTTCGGCCGCAAGAAACTGGGAAGAATGTGAGTTGGGGCATACCATACAGGCGTACTCCGTAGTTAGGTATCCATTCATGCGGGCAAGAAGGTTAGTAGCAGCAGCATCTCCTTGTGGTTCTCATCAAGGCCATGAATGAATTGTCATTCTCATTCATTATTTTAATATTATTAAACTAATAACTGTCAAGAATATCTAGCAGATTATTAAAATATCACACTACCCTACCCTACCCATCCATCCCATCCCCACACCCAGTCTATCAAGATCTAATACAACAATACATGGTGGTTTATCAACGCCCAACCTTGTTAGGTTTTTATGTGCGCCAAGAATTAAACATGCGCAGCTCTTGCAAAATCCCCTCTATTATAAGTTGTTATTAATATTATTTGTTGTTTCTGTTTCTGTTGTTGTTGTTGTTGTTGTTCCAATTAATGAATGAACTTAGTTTTTATTCTATACAACTACAACTACAACTACTACTACTACTACAACTAACTACTACAACTACTACTACTACATCGTCTTCTTCTCCATCTTCTTCCGTCCTCACAGACCCAGCCCAGACAGGGAGATCCGAATCCCTTGCTTTGTCCCTAGCCTTCCTTTATATTTTATGATTCTGAGATTCTGAAACTTCTTTTCTATTTTATTTTCGCCTCTGCTAATCAGTTCGGATGTTTCAGTGACCAGTCTGCTGCCTTGTGTGCCTTTTTTCTCAATGAATGTGCCACCGTCTTCACGCCCTCCCTTTCACAGTCCTACCTGCTGCCCAATCATTCTTTATAATCCATAATCAAACAAACAATGCTATCTATACCCGGGAAATCTGCCAGGCGACTTTCCTCTCTATTCTCGCTTGGCTCTAAGGATAAACAAGATGACGACGGGAAGGCTTCCCGCCATGCCACCCTTATTAAAACCCCTCCTCCTCAGTACGGAACCGCTCAAGGCCAACGCGCCCAACTACAGCCACAGCAGAATCGTGCCTCTTCTCCCCTGGGTCTTCGTCATGCTGCCTCTGCACAGCATATTTCGACAAATTCTCTAGGCTTTCTCCCCTCGAATAATAGGAACGTGTCCGCCCCGCTCCCCACCCTAACCTCAGCGCATGACGACAATGGCAACCGGGCCCCTCGGCCGCCTCTAAATACTGTAAATCCTGATCTGCCTGACTCAACTGCTGAGCGACGCCAGAGCTGGAGTGGTGGTGGGCTTTCAAATATGGCGGGCGGGCTTTCACGGCCTGCCTCGAGATCGGGGCTCTTGACCGCAGTCAGCACAGATTCCAGGTCCTCAAAGACTCGGAGTTGGCTGCCTGGGAAAAGCCGCGTATCATCTGTTGACTTGAAACGACCCGAGCGGCCTATGCGGGCATGGATTGCTGGACGGGGTATTGAGTATAATTTAAATCCGCTCTTGAGCGGGGAGAAGGTTAGTTTTTGTATATTCCTCTGTTGAGAATTTAAAGGGAGAGAGAAAATGGGTTTTCTTTTTCTTTTTTTTTTTTTTTTTTTTTTACTTTCCTGGTTGCGGCCCGTGGCTATCCTAACTTTTTAAACTCTTATTCCCACGTAGGTTGATGAACTATGGGATGACCACGCCGATACATTTGTATATTTATTCCCACAAAATACAAACAGAGGACCTTCTTTCAAGGTCGACTCTTCTATCTTCGTCTCCTCTCCAACTCTCACCTTCCTGGCTCGAGGCTCCGACCCAACCCCTAAATTCAAGCGACGCACTATTCCAGAAGAGTTGCCGCAGCTCAACTTCCCCCCTACAGGTTCTCCACCAGCACACAACCAAATAGGATCTCTTGAGGATGACCGGAGCAGTTCGGCCAGCAGAGCATCTAGGGACTACTCGATTGACGAGCCTCCTCAACAGCTGCATCTTTATGTCCCTGTACCCCTAGAAAGTGACCTTTCCAACCAGAACTGCACCTTAATAGACGCAGATGTCCACATGCTCATACTGTTTCGAAATCTATTTGCATTTTTAATTGGCCAATGTTTAATTGCCACCCCGAAAAGACCCAAAGTCTTTGATATTTTTATGGGAGTTTCAGACCTCCTTTCCAAATTCGAATTTGCCAATCTGGACGGCTCAGGGTTAGGAGAGACTGCGACCTCTAGTTTTGCGGCGTACTGCGACGAACTGAGAATTTATGACGTGCGAAAGAGCCGCGAGAAAATTCTTGAAGCGATCATCCTAGGAGAGCGGATGAAGTTCTTTCCGTTATATCGGGAAGGATTCATTCATGGTGTTGGCAGACTGAAGGACGAAGACTTTAAACACCCCAAGTATCTCCTTATTTCGGACCTCTCGCGGGAGAATATCGAAAAAGGTTCTAGTGCTCTACAAAAAGAACTCAAAATAATTCATGATAAGCTAGACGACTTTGACTTCCCATCCCTCTTCGCTGGTATCGCTAACTCGACCACTCTAAACGAAGCCAAACAGGTACGGTTCAAGAACTGGAAGAGTGCCTTCTTAGCATTCAGGAAAGATGTCAAATCCTACTATGCTAAGCGTTTTGGCTCTTGGCCGCCAAAACCAGGTTCCGAAAAGAACCAATCTGACAAAAGCGGCTTGAGTCGCCTAGTTCTGATGGAGCTCTACCAAGACTTTTCGGATCTCTACGACATGCTTGTCGATAGAACTTCCTTGACTACTCGAACAGCCGATATGACGATGATGAATGAATCCGATTCTATAGGTTCTCAGGATATAACCACCCGTGCTCTTCGGCAGGTGATGAGCGAATATGACCGGAGCACCCCACCTGTGCAACCCCCGGTTCCTTTTGACCTACCCATTTTGCCAAGTATAATGTCTATCCGCAAAAAAATGGATCCCGGAAGGGCAAGCAAGGAACGGGCTAAAAGACTCGCACCCGGTGAAGCCAGCGAAATCCTATTCGGCTCATACAACCACGCCAGCATCAAACCAACAGATTTCCTCGCGAACTTCATGCACTTCGAACGTGAGCAAGCGAAAGATAAAGAGAGGACCTGCGACGACCTCTCAGACTACCGCTGCGGCCAATGGTTGTTCATGTACTCCGTCCTGCAATCATTGCCCAGGGTCGTTATCGACGCGCCCGATGTTCGCTTTTCGCAAGGGGTGGAGTACTTCCTGTCCATAGCCCCGTGGGGCGGAATGCCATGGTGCCGTGATGATTTAAAATCCGGACGAACTTGGTTCGGCGTAGCCGACGGCTCCGCCGTAGTGAGTCTACCTAATGACTCAGTCGCCAATGCCCCCGACAGCGCCTATCGCCGCAGTCACTGCTGGGAAGTAGCGATGAAGTGGGCGAATCAACAACAGATGTTGTCTCCAGTGATGCTTGATGGCGATGGAGCAGAGAAGCAACTCCAGAGCCAGTATCCGCCTTCGTCCACGGGGGGAAGCGTACCACCGCCGCCTCCGCTTTCGGTAACAGGATCCTCGTCAGACAGACAGCCCACCCCGCTCTTAACGCCTGGTAGCCAAACACCGCCACTTGTTAGCATCCCAATACCCAGGGAGCATTCGCCGGGCCTCCATCCAGGTCTGAAAGGCGGTAATCGCGCCTCCCTCTACATGGGCTTGGAAGCACTACCGCTTCCCCCGAGTGTGGTGCCGTTTGAAACCCCCTCGCGACCAAAGAGCCATAATCCCACGATGAGTTTTGATGATATTCTTAAGAGCATTCCTAATAAAAATTCGCACAAGTCCAAGAAGTGAATTATCCCCTTTTTAATCAACTCTCTTTTTTGTGCTTTAATTTTTTTTTTTTTTTTTTTTTTTGGTTGGCTTCCTCTATGGTTTTTGTTTCACTTTTGCGATTTCAATATTTTGGATTAATTGCGCGCTGGCTGGACATTCGGTCGCATCTGTATTATTTACATCTAGAAGCGGATTGGCGGTGTCATTTTTCCTTTCCTTTCTTTTTCACTTTCCACATTGGGATTTTCTTGTGCGCATTCTCTCCCTTTTACTTTTCATTTTTTGCGTTCATCGTCTCGAAATTTCTCTCTTTCTCATTCCCATAGAAGTTGGTTGAACGCAACTATGCCAATATGCTTATTTTGATTTTTGGTGAACGGAAAGGAAGAATTAAAGATCGCTTTAATAGACCGCTACTCTGCATAAGCTTGGTTTTTCAGTTTCTTGTTTTTCTTTTCTTTTTTCCCCCTCATATTCATTCCCTTGCTTTTTGCGAAACCTCTTGTTTTCTTCTTTCCCTATCCCTGTTTTTCTGCTCTCGCATTGTCCACTCACCATTCTGGCGTTTGTTTTGATTTCCCCAATTTCACTCATACATCACAAATCGCATACAAGCCGGCGCTGATTTTTTTTTTTTTTTTTTTTTTTTTTTCATCATTGTTTCTTCTCTATGTTTTCAAAGTTTGTTCCCTTGTTCTTTCTTTTGTTCTCTTTCTTTTTTTTTGGGGGGGGGAAGGAGTTCCTTATATAAACTCAACTTTTTAAGTTAGTTAATAGTTGCCAGTAATCCTAATTTTTAACTTTCCTATATTCTTCCCCATTCTTTCTTTTGTTTTTCTTACCAATGTTTCGCTGGGATGGGGTGCCCCTGAAACTTTATACAGTTTACCGAAAACACTCAACCGCGGTTTCTTCCTACCAGAAAATTTCCATACAGGAACAATTGCGCCAAGGAATGAATTCCAAGGATTTAAAATGTTTTGCTTCGCTTGTTGCACTTTATGACGTATTTTGAGCATAACAGGCTCATTTTCTCGCTTCTAGTTACCTCATGACAAGTCACTTGCACCTCAGAACTTGCACCTCAGCGACACGCTTCCTGATTTAGGTGAGAAGTTTGATGTTACATGATTAGCAATAATTGCTCATGAGCGTAAACAATGTGGAAATATTCAGCAATGCTTTTCCTCTTTTCTCTCAAGTTGCTGGTAATTGATTGTCACTTCAAAATGGGGTCGGCCAACAGGGCTTCACAACCTATTCGGTACATACACCGTATATATGGGACATATGAAACATCTAACTGGAGCAGACTCGCCAGGACTCCTTCGACGATGTAAAGGACCTACGGTCGTACTGCATACATACCTAGGCACATATGTCTTGATTTAGGATGTTGTTTCAGAAGATACCGTCCCGCTCTTCTGTTTCAGCAAATGGTCATACCTCGCGGTCAGCAAACCAAGAAAGAACCCATACAATACATTGGTCGGAATTGCCTGTGTTCAAGCCCCGATGCAGCCTGCGGAGATTTCGCTGAGTGAGTTAAGAAGGAGCAGGGCCCGGCTGCATACGTATTAGTATGTGCAGTAAGTGGATAAAGTAAAACTACAGCGTTTGAACAATGCAATATGGCATGGAACCGCTCAGCCTTATGACGAGGAACTCGATTCTTTCAACTTTGCCTCTCAATAACATTCCTTTCCTTTCTGTTTAGCTGTTTCCGCGGAGTATCTGAGTATCTAGCCTGAGTTCGTATGATGCATGTATGTACATGTACAGTACATGTAGATACATGCGCAGTTACGCCGAACATGCATATCTCAAGAATAGAAGCGGGGCATTGGACGAATCCCAATGCGGAAGCATTGCAAGCCGGCCCCCAGGATATATTTAAGGTACAGCGCGATGCAGGTTTATATACATACCCACCAATCTCAACAACTTTTCGCGGCGGCCCATGATAAAACGGCTCTAGTTTCTGACGTTCCTGTGCTGCACATCGATTCGCACATGGAGGTTTTGCACTGCAGGCTGGCGATTGAACCACAAGCTCCGCAGGTCAGGTCCAATCCTCGAGGAATAAGAACGGCTATATATAGCTTATCGGGGCTGATGGATCGTAGAACTAACTAACTAGTTAACTTACTCCATAACTACGCGTTAGAAACGTCGACGCTAGAGTCAAGCACCCCCCAAGCCCCAAGCCTCATTTTTTAACAGCTGGGCCCCCTTTTCTCCTAGTTTAGCTAGTTACAGTGCCCGGCTTGATTTAGACCTGTGAACGAAACGGTCGTGGTCTCGTTTCTCCGCCTAACAATTGCGCCAAAGCGGGAAACTCCTCAATTGGTGAAGATTTGGTGTGACAGCCAGGAATCATTAGTTATCACTTCATGACTCCAATCAATCTTCTCATGAGGGCAAAAGAACTAATTTTCAGAGGCGCGAACGGCGGAGTTGCTGAGTGTCAAAAATAGAACTCTCTCGTTAGTTAGTTACCTGACAGCCATCGCCGAATTGACCAAGCCAGGCTGGGCATCATCCCGCGCTACGATTTTCCTCAACGGGCGAAAGCTGAATCGTGAAACCTCACACCTCGATGCTGTGTTTAGGATCCCGCCCCTCTCGCAATCCTACAAATGTCGAATACCGTCTAACCGCATTGAGGACGAAGCTCTCATTTTAGAAAATGTAAGTGTACCTGAAAGCATTGACTGGGTGCCTGAACCACGGCCATACATTGCTGTTAGTGTGCGCAGGCTATAACTACATGGCAAGAACAGTATCTTGAAACCCCGCAAGTCCACCTAGAGAATGAGTACACGGAGATCATGGGCTCCTGGGAGGAAAGTTGAAGATCCCTTTTCACTGCATTCTGGGGAGCCTTCCATAAAATCGGGACAGGCTTTCCGCCAACCATATTCGGGACTGCATTGGCAGACTATCATCCTCAAATTGCGGCTATGTGCTCCATCGCACATCCATGCCATGTACTACAGCGTAAGTTGGAGTCCCGTGGACATGGGGATATTTCAGTATTGGCCCTGCAATGCTGCAGAAGTGTGAACTCAAAAATATAGAGGGGGGGGTGCGTTCTCAAAGCTATTTCTGTCACCAGCAAAGCAACGTAACCCTAGTACCGAGCCCGTGGTTCTGAACTTCGGCCGCCTTTTCTGCTCCCCCGGCATGCAGCCTTGCAGGCTGGCTTTGACAGTTCATCCCGCTTTTCTCCCCCATCCATGTCAAGCTAACAGCGGAGAAACCGTCGCATCATGGTAGCGTGCATTAGCAGCGCAAAATCTTGTGCTAAATCGCGCCTATTCTTGCTGACTGGGCTGATCTTGTTGGACGTCTGAGTGATTGTATTGTTGGTAGCTATCTAGTGAGCGATATATGCTTGGTGCGGGGCGCTAGTCCGTACTAGGAAGCCTAGGGCTCCCACACCCCCCCTCGGACTAGCTACCGTGCAGCTATCCTATCTATCTTTCTCAAATCATTCAAATCCGCAATAATAATTAATTACAAAAAGCAGCACCTAGTTTCCTCATTAGGACTAGGTCTGATACATGAAATCAAATCCATCTTATTCATCTGTCATATTCATCATATTCTTATCCATCTTGTGAATAACTTGGTTGATTCTTCATAAGTTCATAGACATCCGGGGAAACTCCTGCAAAGAATTCATAGTCTGGCTGGCTCATGAGAATATCATCTTTATCCTTATTCTTCTTATCCTTTGCTGTCTTCAATGTCTTGATATGTTCCTTGTTACGCTTCTTCCATTCAGCATTCACAAGGTTTGGGTTCTTAAATCAGCAGTATTTGATGATATGACCAGTATTGTTGCAGTAGTGGCACTGGTGTTTATCAAATTGTTCAGTGACAGGGCTCGCAGTGAAAGGATGAGTGATAGTAGCAGGCATGTTGATGGTGACTCGCATGGCCAGTTGATTCATCAAATCATCAAGATTCAGATTCTGAATAGGGCTCTGTTTAGTAGCATAGAATTCATCCAGCTTCATTCTAATGAATTCCTGTTGTCAATCCCCCAATCCTAGAATGAATAGATCATGATAGGTACACTCAGCCCAGTTTTTCCCCAGAGATACCAGCTTTGTCTTAAGGTCTCGGAAATTCGCAAGATAGGTGTGGAAATCGCTGTTCTTGAGATGTAAATCTCTCATCTTTTTAGTGGTTAGAAGGCGTTCTTCTGCGCGAGATATAGTATAGTGTCGAGCAAGATTCTTCCATATAGTGACAGCAAGATAGGCATCTTCATTCAATGGTCCCAGAGAATCGCGTACAGTGATGTTCAAAGATTGGAAAATCTGGGTATAGAGAAGCTCATTTTTCCAATTTCAAAGCTCAATATCCAGAGACACTGTGGTAGGAGGCACTGTTTCTCCCTTGATAAGAACATCTTTTGCCTGAATAAGATGAGCATCTGCAAGGATTGAACTCTTCCATTTCAAGTAGTTGATGAATCTGTTGAGAATGATTACATGCTTTCCTTCCAGCTTGGCTTTGGCATTCTTTTGATACTCACTAATAGGGTCCTGAGTAGTTGACAGAGAGCTTGAGTTGCTCTCTAGCTTTTGTATGAGCATTTCCATTCGTTTGTCCTGTTTCTCCATATAATTCATCATCATTCGAATCATGGCGTTTTCATTCATTTGACCTCCAGTTTGAGATCCCATTTCACCCCCCCTCGGCATGGGAGTAGGTGTATCCTGCCCGTATTCTTCATCCATATCCATGTTGCTTGCAGGTGTATCCAACAATCCTGCAGTAGCTCACATTCTTGAAGGCATTTGTTTACCCCCTCTTTGAATCAATCTTTTCCCACGATCAAAGCTTTCAAAACAGTTGCTTTTTGTCAGGTTCCTTCTGCAGTTCAGTGATGCAGCTCGCGAGACATTTTATACCTCAGATAAGAGAAAAAGTAGTGATTGCAGAAGGTTTAATGAAAAAAAAAGCTATCCAGGCTATAACCTGTTGGACATCTGAGTGATTGTATTGTTGATAGCTATCTAGTGAGCGATATATGCTTGGTGCGGGGCGCTAGTCCGTACTAGGAAGCCTAGGGCTCCCACAGATCTCAACGGGCGAACCTCTATGATTCTTTAAAATGAATTCTCCTGAGCTAGCCCCAACATCCCGTATCAATGGCTTGGCAATGTCGGGACCTGTGTCGCGACAATTGGGATGGGCAAGTTATTAAATATATAAGGGCCCGCCGGTATCATGGACGACTGTGGGAGTTTTTCCATGTACGCAGAGGTTTGGTTTAGCCTCCCGGTGTGGGTTTTCTTTATCATCCCGTCATTATATTTTCTCTGAGGAAGAATGGGCGTCTGTCTAATTTCCCGTATTTTCCTATGGCACCTGTTCGTCGTGGCCGGGTTTGTTCACGAGTCGCTGGCTCGTGCATTTCCTAGTTCGGCACTCGCCCGCGCTCGAGTGCTGTCTGCAGCAACATTGAGATCCTCGCTGGAGACACGAGATGTGTCTGCCGCTCTTTTGAGAAGGGAAACCAGCTATGACTTCCTTGAAGGCCGTAGCAGCAGCGCCCCTTCTGCTCCCGATGGCTCTGTCTTTACTGCCAGTGTGGTGGTTAGGAGCCAAAAGCCGATTTTGACCCTTGAAGACATTGAGAGTGATCTTGTTGACGTTTCTTGCTCCACAACGGAAATAGAACTTCATTTTGCTTCGATCGACGCCCTGGATCGAGTGGCGAAGGAGATTGAACAGCTTACTGATTTTGTCGTGGTGTCATCGCATTTAAATTGCAATGAAGCGGACCAAAGAGCACCCCATATGTAAGAAAGACTCTTGGATCTGCTTTGATTTTGCTGGTTGTTTGATGCTAAACTGCCACAACACAGGGTCACAAAAGTTACTATCCTCAGGGACAGAAAAATCATCATTCTATCAAAAATGTCGAGTAGCTGGAAAGATGCTTTCAGCATGGTGGAAGTCTCATTCGCCCGCAGATCATCAGCTCAAGTTTTGGAACGACGAAATATCAATTTGAAGAAACGTCAGGTAGATCCGCCTACAGAGACGGCACAACCAAGTTCAACAAAAAGAGATTTCCCAGTGGTCCCCCCAGCTGCCACCAGCGCGCCTGCTGAATCCAAAGAAGACATTGAAGTGAAAGTGATTGACCAAGTCATTATGCCTCCTGAATTCCCAGGATCTTCTCTATTCATGTGAGTAGAAATATATCTTTCTATTTCCGCCCCTGTTCAAGAGAAACGCCACAGATCTAACATCCACATTAGTCCCCAGGGAGTGACATTAAAATGCAAAAACTGTACAGTCGCTGGCAGTGTGGACCTCTCTCAAGGATCCTTCAGGCTCGAGGATCCAATAGACAACCCAGTGGAATTAGTGACTGATGTCATTCGATATTTCGAACATGGTGAAATCCAGATCGATGTCGAGAATCTCTTTGCGCATATCGAACTTTCAACGAAGCTGGATTTAGCAGAAAATGGTTTGCAATTCTCAGTACCATTGCCAGAAATTCCTATTACGCCCTTTATGGTGAGTGGGTTATTTTATTTGTGCCGCTTTCGTTTCATTTTGTAAGGGCAATATTTTTCTAACTTGGAGTGATAGATACCCGGCATTGTCGCTTTTGGTCCAATTTTTAAGCCCGAGATTGAGATGTCACTGACACTAACTGAACCTCTTGAGTTTGACTATGGATTCAATGTTTCCGTATGTGCAGCACTATATTTCCTATACACTTTATCACTCTTTACCTTTGTCATGGCATGAAGGTAGAAAACGTCCGTTGAAACTGACCAAATGATTTTATTTCCGTGAAGGTGCCGAATGACGCGAGATTTACGATCGATATTGGAGACCTAAATAACTCGACCACACAAGGCTTGTATGTGTATTTTACTTCTACTTTGATAACTACCAATTTCCCATATTTTACAGCTCCAAGGTCGAGTCATGAATCGCACTAACTGAACCCTTCAATCAGCGATCGCACAAAATTCTCATCCCTTCCTTACCAGGCACAAGTTCCAACCGGCTTTGAATTCAATATCAGCTTCCGCCCCGAAGTTCTTCTAGGCGTCAACTCCCTCATCGGTGGCACAACAGGCGGTGTCGGCGCCTTCTTCACCATCCCCTCCATCAACGTAAAAGTCGAGCAACTCAAAAACGTCGACGGTAAATGCAACCCGCTTCCAACCTCATCCGCTCTACCAGGCGACGACGACGACGACGACGACGAGAAAAACCGCATCCCCACCCTCGAAGACCTCATTGGGAATTTCACCAACATCGTCCCCACCGTCGAACTCAACGTGGGTGTCCTTGCGGAGTTGGAAATCGGTATCGGTGCCTTCCAAAAGAAGCTTGAAGCGGATCACACCATTATTTCCAAGGAATTCGCGCTCCCGACAGCGTGCTTGGCGTTTAATCAGGAGAAGAAATCGTTTGCATCGCCGACGCCACCGCCTCCTCCACAATCCAATGAGCCCGGGAGCGGTCCTGGCGTTGCACGGCCGAAAGATGGAACGGGGGGTTCCAATCGGGCGTTTGGAGATAGTGCAGAGGCTCGCGTGATACTATGGGGTTCCATGTTGACTGCGACGTTAGTAGTTGTGGGCTTTTTGTGATGTGTCTGAACTGAGGCGTTCGGCGAATTTTTCAAAATTTTCAAAATTATGTGTTTTGGTTGTTTTATTTATGCCTGTCACTGTTTCTTCTGCCTCCTTTTCTTCTGCCTCTTTTTTCTTTTATTTCGTTTGGATAGAGAACGGATTAGACCGTAGACGTACGTCCTAGTATTGTGCCAAGGGAACTAACTCCTCCCATCTTGGCCTACAATAATAATGGTAGAAGAACGAACCGATTGTTAAACTTCAATAGAATATTACTCTTTTATATATTCTGCCGGTTCTATTTTCTAGTGCGATTCATTTATATTTAGTCAGACTGACAAAAGAGCATACAATTTTTCGCTAAACATAAACAGCGGCGAAGCTGGCCAGTTGAGGTATCTTTTGCCATTCCGCCTCCCCATCCTGGAGTTGCAGCTTGATTTCATTTGCGACTTGCTTTTACCTGTCTTGTTGGGAATTCCCATTTGGCGTTTCTTCATTCATATTGAAGAATGCCTATTCTAAGCAGACTCGTTCTCAGAGTGACTGTTCAATGACTCACTTGCGCTCTGTACTTAGTTCCTCCGTGCTGTGAGTCTGTGACTCGTTTTCGAGCTACCACCAGAAGCTGACAGTCGAAATCCTCCCCCACATTTAGCGCTTGAAATCCTCGCGCATCCACTGGGGGTGGCTGTTAAATGTGGTTATTAACAGGAGTCATCGCCAACTTCAATTCAGCCCCCTTCATCCCGCGGCAACATCCCAGCAACATCCCAGCATCATCTCAGCATCATCTCAGCAATCTCGTGAGCTGTGTGCAGACGGACACCAAAGTCGGCCCTGGTTGGAAATGGAGCAGGGTGGATGGATGCCTTGGGAGCGGGCTCTGACGCATCTCTATGAGGCAGTCATCCCATAGTTACCTATGACTGAAAAATATTGAACATAGCGGCAGAAGCTTTTGAGATATTAGAAGCCAGGACCAGCTTCTGTATAAATTCTCTATCCAAACGTCGTTGTATGAGGATTTTTTTTTAACTTTTCCTAATTTTCCCACTTTTCTTCAAGAGATACCATAACCATTTTTCAGTATATTCACTTTATATTCCACAATATTGACTTCCTTAAGGGCAGTTACTTCCTCTCTGAAAACCATGGCGGACCTCACGGAGCCCCCTCGAACAACCAGCTTAACTCTCAATGCATATCAAACAGCACTGTGCATTATTCCTCCCACACCATTTGTTGAAGACACTAATCGACTCCGCGCGTTGTATGACCAGGCCTTTGAAAAATGGCCAGCTCATGTCAATTTTATTTACCCCTTTGTGTCAACTGACCGCTTGCCAGCCGCCGTTGATCTCATCCGGTCAAATCTTTTTTCATGGCTCACGGAAGTTGAGGACACTTGCTTCCATGTCCGTCTCAATAAGCCCGGAAATTTCACACAACGACACGGAAATATCGTCTACCTTGCACCGGATGAGAGCGACGGTTTTCTTAATCTCAACGACTTTCGGAATGTGATTCTGAAGGGCTTCAAGCAGCCCGCCAACGAGCAGCAGAGAGGATACCAACCCCATCTGACGATTGGCCAGAGTAAGGCCAATGATGATAATGCTCGTGATCATCTATTGTCGAAAGCAAAACTACTCCCACCTATTGAATGGCGGGTGGGACAGCTTGCAATCATGGTCCGCGAAAAGGCGGGCAATACGAGGAGGATGAAACTGTGGGGAACAATTGACTTGGATGGGGCGGCCACATTTAATCAAATTGTTGACACGCCTCAAGATATGGAACAGGGTAGAGATGGAAGTAAAATTTCCACCTCCCCAACGAGTTCGGAATTTTCTTCGCAATATTTGCATTCAATTTCAGAACGTGGTGGTTCAGGCGCTGAATCCAGGATTACCTATATGTTTGCAGCTGATGCTGGAATCTGGACTCCTGCGGAAGCAAGCGGTGGGTCAGAAGACGAGGAACAAATTCAGAGTGCATTGAAGGTGTCAAGTTACAATGTCCTAGTCGATTCTATATATCCTCCGGCAACGGATAGGCATCAAATCCTTCTCCAGACCCTTCTCTCCAAAGCTTCCACGGCCGACGTCTTGGTACTTCAAGAAGTTTCAGATAGCTTTTTGACATACATCCTTGGCCACGACGCTATTCGAACAACATATCCTTTCGCTACTCATGGTCCACCAGAGCAGAAGGGAATCGGCCCATTACCGAGTATTAGAAACGTTGTTGCGTTGAGCCGTTCGAACTTTACGTGGAGTTGGCTCCCTCTAGGTACCAACCACAAGGGTGCAGTTATTCTCGCTCTGAGCGATATTGGCAAAATTGATGAGTCCGGTTACGTGCCGGCGATAATCGCTGGAATTCACCTTTCCAGTGGTCTATTTGACTATGCTGTTGCGGCAAGGAAGCAACAGCTCCAGAAATTATCAAATTTCCTTTCTGCGAACTATACCAACAACCCCAAGGTTATCGCCGGTGACTTTAACATGACAACTTCTACCATCACTCATGAAGAAGCCTCTGGGAGAAAGTCAATATCTTCGCGATCTATCGAGACTCTGCCCGTGCTAGAGACTATGTTACAATACGCTGGCTACTGGGATTCGTGGTCAGTAGCCCACACCAAGATCAGAGACATGATGTCGCCCGCTAGGCTTGAACGAGATTTCACACAGCTATATGACGGAGAGCAGGGGGCTACATTTGACCCTCTGGAGAACTCGCTTGCCGCGATTTCATCTGACAGCACGGCAAACCCAAGACCTCAGCGATATGACAGAATACTTTTCAGCAAGGACGATTTGCGGGTGACTGGGTTCAATATGTTTGGCTTTCCTGTAGAAATAATTGATGAAGCAACTGGAAATATTGAGCGTCAATTTCCAAGTGACCATTGGGGGATTAGAGCGTCATTGGAGTTCGACCCGAATGGTGGAGAAGACGTTGACCCCTTCAAATCTATGCCCCTTTATGCCAAGTTGGCCCACTCCAACTTTGATAATCCTGCCGGGCTGAAAGTATGTCTGGCAGACAAGTCAATTGTTCCATCGTCGGAGGATGCAGAGAAACGGAAAGCTGCATTTTCGCTTCTGAAAAATCTCATTCAGCATGGCTCATTGCCAGAGTCTGGCAAAGGCAAAGAGATTGACCAGCCGAGGCTCTCAATTGTAGTTACTACAGTGGGTTCTTACGGACTAGGTGTTTGGACTGATTCGTCAGATGTGGATTGTCTGTGTGTTGGTTCGATTAGTTCGAAGGTCTTCTTCGAGCTTACTCTACAGAGACTCAAAAAGGGAGCAGAATGGGATGTGAAAATCCTGAGGAAGGTTAAGGCTGCTACGGGGACAATGTTGGAGCTTGAAATCAACAGCGTCAAGTTCGATTTGCAGTATTGTCCAGCAGCAGCTGTTGCTGAAAGGTGTGTTTGATTTAATTTAAGATGGTAAACTCAGCTTTACATTCAGAAACTAACGTGGGTGGGTTGATAGATGGCTAGAAGTACCTCACCTACCTCGATCTAGCCCCTTATTTGACCTAGCATTGCTTCCTCTAATGAAACTCCAACCGTACCGGGACCAAGCGTACCTTCAACGAACGGTCCCAAATCCAGCTACATTCCGTTTACTACATCGTATCATCAAGGCATGGGCTAAGCACCGTGGAATTTACTCCTCCAAATTTGGCTACCTTGGCGGAATCCATATCACGATGATGCTGTCCCAGGTGATGAAGCTCCTCCCCTCTCCCGCTCCGGCACCCAGCGCTGCAGATATCCTCTGTACATTTTTTAATTATTATGGAAACTTCAACTGGAAGGAAGGCGTCATGTATGACCCGAGCTTCCATAAGAAACCGCCTCTGTATCATAGAACGCCCCAGGAGGGTATGGTTATACTAACGCTCCATGCTCCTGTTATGAATGTTGCACGCTCCGCTTCGATTCCTTCCACGAGAACAATAGTCGATGAAATGAAACGAGCAGATAATCTCATTTCAGAAGGAAATACAAATTGGGCAGAACTCGTTGGGATTGTGGCTAACACTGGAAAGTCGTCTTTATCCGTTTCTGGCGATGAGTTTCTGAGATCATACAACAGTTATATCAAGATAAATGTGCAGTATTGGGGGTTATCGCTAGCGAAGGGAAGTTCGTTGGTGGGATGGTTGGAATCCAGATGCTTGGTCCTTCTTGCTGGTGAGCGCCCCTTGATCACAGTAGTATCTAGTCTAATACATTTAACTGACCAGCTCTTTCAAATCAAACAGATCTACATCGAAAATTTCCAGACATCCAGACCAGAATATGGCCTGCCAGGTTTACACAGATCGAGGACCACGATGATTCCACCCCAGCGCAAGAGGAGCGTGAATACCAGGGCTGCTACCTAATCAGTTTAACAAAAGCAGAGCATGCCACTGATCCAACGCGCACGCTTAGCAAATCTGATCGCAAACTCGCGCACGATACACTGCAAGCGTCGATAGATCAATTTGCAAGTAATATCCACAACTATAAGAAATACTTCGATTCCGCATCGGCCTGGGTAGACGTGTCCCATGTCAAGCAGGGCAATCTAGGACCTCTGAATCTCGACGACAGAGACTGGGGTGCTTACATCATCCAAGACAACGACTTTGATGACTCCGATTCAGAAGATGACGACTCAGACATATACCTAGAGGAGGGCGGTGATGACAACGCCGACGACGACGAAGCAACCACCGAATCTGACCTCCTCCCATCCACCAAAAAGAAAAATACCCACAAATCCACCACCAAACCTCCCGTATTACCCGCGAAACTGCGCCCAGCCTCCGACATTCTTAGTCGGCTCCGCTGGGACCCGTCACTTCATGGCACGGAGTATATCATCGGCTATGAAGATCGGTTCTTGGGTGAAAAGGAGATTTCGCTCGATCGGTGGAAGTCGGAGCAGACGGACGAGGAGTTTATTCCGCAGCATCGGATTTTGTATTTCAAGCGGAAGGATGATGGGAGGGTTGTGTGGGATCGGGAGGCGCGGAGGGATGAGATTTTTGGGAGTGGGGTGGGTAAAGGTAAGGAGTTTTGAAAAGGTGTTTCTGCGAGGGGGGTGTCATGGATAGACTGTAGACTGTAGACGGGTATGGAGAGAGCCAGTTAATAGCGAATTTATCATGACTGCTTTGATAGAATATGCTTGATTTCTCCAAAAACTTCTTCTGTGCTCTTTAGGGTGTGTGACGCTCCAATTGACGTATTTCAACAGCCACATGAATAAGTATATATTTTCACCTAATAATAAAGAATATTGTGAAAGTATGATGGGTGTCTAGACGTTCATCTCATCATGATTTATTTCGTTTCGTTTCCAAAAATGGTTATCGAGTCTGAAAAATACAGAAACTCCATGGCCTCCCCAGCCATAAAAATATAAAAACATTAAAAGATTAAGACGAGACGAGGAGAGAGGAGATGTACATGTACAATATGCCACTCGAACTTCAAAACCAATCTTGCCTGCGCACAAGATATAAGAATTTATCATACACATACCACGTCGTGCGATAAGAGTCAGCCAAGTAAAATGCCATACATGTCTAGTTTGGCTTCTCAACTCAGAGTTCCTTTTTCAAGAAATGCTCTGGTTTATGAGTCGTCTCATAGTCAACATGGACATAGGCCCGCTCCACGTCCGGAAGGCTTTCGAGCTTTATCTGTAATTCCTCTGCGACATCGTGGGTGGCCAGAAGGGTCTCGTTGCGGTCCATGACGATGTCGACTTCCACAAGCAGACGCGGCCCTGAAGTATAGGCGCGTACGGTGTCGATGGCTTGGATCAGTGGGGAATGCGTCATAGCTACATCCAAGTAAATTTGTTAGTGACGGAAGGCTTAGTTAGTATCAGGGCTAGAAGGGTAGGTATCTAGTGTAGTGGAAAAAGAAAAAGAAAAAGAAAAAGAAAAAGAAAAGAAAAATAGAGGGTGCGATTCATACATATATATGTGATCAGCTGCTGCGTGTGTGTGTCTGCAGTGACACCAATCAAGAGCTGGAACTCAGAATATGCTGTTCGAAGCCATAGGACAGCTATCACGCAAGAGAGGACCATGGCGCCCGTTGGGTCGATCCACCACTTGAGCTTACTACCACCGACGGAGGTCAAAATACCGAGTCCGTTGATAAAGAGATCATTGCGATGGTCCTCCCACAAAATACGGACTTGGGAATATTTGTTCCGGAGTGCCCAGCAGTACAAGAACAAGGCGAGCTTAGTTACAAACGCAATGCATACGGCGACAATGGGCGGGACTTTGAACCCCAATGTTTCCTCCGTGCTCCCATCAGCAAGGCTCTTGGCGGAAAACGCAATCAAAATCAGCGATACGGCAGTCATGAGGAAGCAGAAAAAGATGTTTCCGGCCGTTTCGATCCGCGCCTTCCCGGCGGGAAACTTGCGTGCATCGACACGTTTCACAGCCTTGTGGCTGATGAGCAGAGTCAGGTTGGACAGCGGATCAAAAACCGCGTCAGCCATTGTTGTAAACAGTGACAGAGATCCTGATGCAATGGCGCCGTAGAGTTGGAGTATCGATAGGATGACGTTCGCAACGAAACTGCCATAGACGGCGATCTTGTATTTGAGCTGGTTCTGGGTGTTGTATTCCCTTGCCAGCCGCACATGTTCATCGACTGGCTTCAGCAGCTTCTCAATGTTTTCGTTCTGGGATTTGTAGAAGCCTTGCAACTTTCTCGAGGAACTCTTGACGCCGTCGTTTGTCCAGCCTCCTCGCTTTCGTGCCGTATTTGCCTTTATCCTATCGATTTCGTCATCAGACTTCAGCTTACTAGCTAGTTGGAAAGGGTCATTGTCGCGTGTATAACGCGGCGGGCGTTGATCTTCCTCGTCAGAAGACGTCCGTTGCATGGGATAAGGCAATGGTTCGACGCCAGTGGCCGTTGCCTGCTGCTCCGGTATGGCTGGAGGCAGCGTGGGTGTGTCTGAGCGGTGATGGAGCTGTCCCGAGTGAAGAGGGTGGCCGGGGGAAGAACCATGGATGTGATCTGCCATTTTCTGTGCTTTTCTGCCGTAAGAAATCTTGAATGGCTCGTTGCTTCTTTTTATATTAGGTTTTGATTCGGCTGGTTCGAGGTGTCCGCTGGAGAATACTGGGGCAGGCAAGCTTAGGCACGTTATTGGCTTGGTTCGAAACGGCCAAGAGGTGGTTAGGACATCTAGACGGGCGGTCAAATGTAGAAATTTGTCACATCAACGTCATTCTCGGATGGTGAAGTCCGCCAAACACGGAAACATGGTGGAACGTTTCAGGGAAATCTAGCATCGACTATATCGGTTGCTCTTTTATGACAGTCCCGCACAAAGTTAGCTGGAGACCGAGGCGAGGTGCCAAGAGATTATCTTATCCATCTTATCTTATCTACTCCGTAGTTAGCCTCAACACAGCCTCAGCCGCCCCAGACCTTTGCCAGGCGTTCATTATTTGCTCCACAAGAACTCTAATAAGCATAAGCACACTTGTTACAGTTCATGTTCCTTGAAAAATCCTACAGCTCGCCAACTACTTTCTCTACAACGTCTCCCGACTTACCTTATTATTAAATGGATTAAAAACATCAGACAAGCACAACAAAGCGAATGAGAACTCCCTCGAGAGAAAGGGGCAAATTGGACGCACGCCTGCAACAGCCAACAAAAGCATGTCACCAGGCCAATCAACAATTAGTCTTGGTTCTCAAGGCCCCCCCTGTAAATTCACAATAATGCCGAGTTTTAGATGGTGCGGATCATATCAACCTCCTCGGTGAACCACCAGGCGAAGCGAGACTACCTATTTATCAGCATTGGTGACACTTATTAGCAAATGAGAGGACAAAGTGGCCTGAAATGACTTACGTCAGAGGCAATATCTAAAATAATTCTGTTTTCTGTGTTATCCCCACAGTCATCATCGTGAGGGCTTTAACATCATGGACAATGGTATCAAGCTCCGACCCTCGCAAGTGGCAGCGAGGGGTCTTGAGTTCATTTCCGGATCCGCCCTCTGTGATATACTTGTCCTTGTCAATATTTACCAACGCCCGACGATATCGGTTAATCCTCTCTAATAATGCCAAAGCAGGGGGCCACAGCAACGACTGCCGTTTTAGTAGGCCACATGAATGTCCGACGCGGGCCATTATCACCGACGGGAACCCCGATATCAATTGGGAGTAGGGGCTTGGAGATCAGCTAACTCCCAAGGTTGCGCGGTTATTGGGAATGGTTCTGCACACAACGCCCCGAACTCTGTCATTTGGTTGCCTCTTATATAACCTTTGTTTCAGTGTAAAAGAGGACGAGAATGACCCCATCGAGTGCGCACGCTATCTTAATTCATAGGGTTTGGTGAATACTGAATTAGTAATCGTATCGGCATAGCTTCTAGAAACTATTATTTTTTACCACTTGCCACCATCCCAGGGGCTCGCACATACGAACCAAGTTTCTCATATCTCCATATAACCGTCACTCTTTCGTCCGGACTCAAGCGAGAGTGAAGGGGAACACCAGCTTGATCACCAAGGCAATAATGACTAACGTCCTTGGGATTAGATATGGATCAGAAATCCGTACGAAATCTGAAAATACCACCGGATTTGGCACAAAAGATGGTGAGGTCATAGAGGCAGGCGTGGAGTTGGAGCAATGGAATAAAAGCTCTGGCCAATGTGAGGCGCTTGTTTCGACAGATATCCAGCTTGATATTTGCTGGAGCTTTCCACTAGATGTTAAGGAGCAACTCATTGAGGCCTTCGTCCTTTCTAAAAAGCCTTTGTCGCAATTTCCTCCGCGGACAAGTGATCCCAGGCCAACTTGTCAGGAAAAAGAGGTTATACACTACTGAACGCCACCAACATCGTATTACTACTATATTTCTCATCATCATCAGCTTACTACAACGCTCGTCTAATACTCGCTTATGCTAGCTCTCTTGGCTCGCACATATATTTTACTATAAATAGCTCTATCTTTTGTATGAAATAGATATATTAGATAGTGCACGGATAATATAACAAGCAGATCTTGATACACATAAGATTCATATGTCTCCAACATATCCATCCGTGACACCCATTCCGACACAACTTCTCTCTTAGCCATGCGGATGGTCATGCTATGCAACGCGAAATCATTGGTGGTTGTTGGATTTCCTCGCGACAGCTTTAAACAATGGAACCAAGGCCGCACACAGGTAGATGAGTTTCCGATAGATGCGCGGATCTTTCGAGTTCGCGATCAAAGCATCGAAACATGCTCTGTGGAAGTAACTAGGATTCCTCAACCCGCCATCTGTGTGTGCGCCATAGGTGAATCCAATCTCGTTGATGGTGCCGCGGTGATTTGGAAACATAAGAGGTAGTCCTCAGCACCTGCATTCCGGGACTGGTTATGTGATATTTTGCGTTCGTTGCACCTGTCTACGGCAAAATCTTCCATCAGTATAGCGTGGGAAGGTGACTTTGAACACACCCATCTCCAAAGGCCTATGGTCGGGTTGCCTGGCTCCACGAAGCGCGGAAACTCTGCGATAAACTCGTTGCAGAGTGAACACCAGTGCTTTTTGCAATAAGGGATGATATTGTTGGACGATGCAATCGACGGAAAATCCATGGCTTCATCGCCGGCTACGAAGTCTTCTAGTTGACTTTTTTACCTTCCCGTTGAGATGCTTTGATGGTGAACGAGGTGAAACAAAAAGGACAGAGAAAGAGAATCAGAAAGAGGAGAAGAAATGGACAAGTGTAAAAATCATTTTGAACTATTCTTCTTATCACTATGGTGATGGAAGTAATATCTATAAAGAATTTGCTCAGCATGAGAAAAAAAGAAAACTCTCTCTAAGAATTGGATATTGTCTTAGACACTCAAGAGATGCCCAGCATAATTAACAGGGAACAGCCTGGAACAAGATGATTCAGCTTCATGTATCTTGAATATATATAGCATTGACTTTGAAAGAATTGTTCTGCATGCAGAAGAGAATATCACAAGAGTTGATAGTCAAAAGACTTCTAATATAACTCTTCACATTGAATTGCTTCATGTATGATCACTGACAGGCTGATCACTTGATGAGGCAATCTACCTGTAGCTCCCAAGTGCCACAAATAGCAATAATTGAAGAGGAGGATTGACAAATAAATGATATCCCAGCCCCATCCCTACCATTTTTCTCTGTCTCGGCATCCCGCTGATGCCCTTGAAATAAGCTTCTCGGCAAGGGGATCGGGATGACGTAAGTGGGAAGAGCCGGCGACACTTCCTAACGTAATTCACCACCTATTCGTATATTATTAGCGGGTTGCCCTCCCTTGTGCGATCATCAAGGTCTCTTATTCCTACCGTCTGGCGAAGAGTATGACCTGGGAGCTGGCTTGTTCTTTCTCGGCCTTGCTGAATGAAAAACGAATGAATTCCTTTCTCCCAACTGCGCAATGAATCAACGGATAGATTTACAGACCAGCATCGATGTCCAGCTCTTCCATTTGCCAGCTCATATGTGATCGATCGTCTCCAACCCAGGTTCCTCCATACATCAGTAGACAAAGCCTTGGAAAACGGATGCATCTTAATCTCTTTGCAGGTGGATAAACTCTACCTGTGCCTTCTGAGTAGGTAACTAGCTGCTCCGGCATGGTCACTTATTAAATCGTTACACCCCTACGAAGGAGTATCACATCAGGCCTTTGGATCTCCTACGCAACTACCACTCCGTCTTGTTGACCTTATATACGTGGACAAAAGTACTAGCTTGGGACAACTCCACCCATAAGTACTGCTGAATAAGTGTGTGGCCGGGCACTGCTCCAACTCCTCCTGTCGGCAAAACGAGGTATAAGAGCTACGTGCAACAAAGAAACCAAGGTATGCAAGATATATGGCAATTACTGCACTCTATGCAATTATGGCAGTCTTGTCATATAGAGTGGAAGTCATGGCATAAAAAGTAAAGAATCTATCAGGTGTAACCCCCCTTCTCCCAAACTACTCTATGTACTGTACTGTTGTTTATGTCAGTGGATATTTTATCTGCTACACTCCCCTTAGTCTTCTGTTTATCCTGTGTCAGAGAACAGGTGTTACCTTTCAAAAGAAATCATTTGATCAACTATTGATCTCTCTCTCTCTCTCTCTCTCTCTCTCTTTTTTTTTTTTTTTTTTTTTTTTTTTTTTTTTTTTTTTTTTTTTTTTCCCTCCATCTCCATTTCAATCACAATAGTTCTCAAGTTCTTCATACATCACAAGCTGATTCATGGAAAAAGGAAAAAACCACATCGTCTTCAATATTGGTGGAATGTTTTAGAGCATGAGTTTGAGATGAAAAGAATTTATCTATATCTGTTTGTTGGTATAGATGGAATGGTTCGGCCCCTTAACTACAAGCATAGACTAGTGGTGATCGTGGTCGAGCTCATTTGCCCAGTGTCCACTACATGTTTTAATTTTTAATTATTGTTAAAATTACTGATTACTGACATTATTTACTTGCAAAAGTAGGTGAAACTATCGATTTTGCTTTGATTGATCTCAAAAGTACACAACATGGCAAAAGGTAATAAAGATATCAGCCCAACTATGTCATTGATCCTTTTTTAAATCTCAACGTATAGGTTGGCCACCATACGGCATTCCTGTGGAGCTCTTCGCTTGCGTTGCCGCATATCTGTCCCGTCAAGATATTTGCAATCTTCGTTTGGTGAATAAAGAGTGTGCGTTCAAGCTCCAGCGAGTCCTTTTTCGCACCGCCGTGGTTCCCTTCGGGCCTATGATATATTCATCCGATGAAGCGTCAGACGAAAAGATTGATCTTTTTGAAACACTTGGGGGATGTGTTTCTCGATTTGGCTTAAGTTTCGAGCTGGACCAGATTCAACTATTCGATCCTCCGGAAAAGGTATATAACAATACGGTGAAAACCTTCTGGGGAGAGTATGAATGGCCTAAGCCCGACTACGTTGAATATGATTACTTGAGAAGAGTGGAGGAAGTGGGTGACCAGGCAGAGAGAATGAAACGTGCGTTTCGGACCTTGACCAATGTCTCTGAGTTTGCTCTGAGTTTCGATACCGGCTATGGCTGGCTTAACCCCCCAACTCTTGTGGACGACTCACTGGAATTTGAAGGAAAGCGCAGCGTATTCTGCGGGCAAGCTGTAGCGTCAGCTCCTAGAAACAAACGTGTGGCGTCAATATCATCGCAGTCGCTAAAAGAGTATCTTGAATCGATACTCCCAGAGTGGGCATCGAAAAGCTTATACCGGCTTAAAGATGCGATCAACGAGGATTATTTGGACTCTCCACGTTTATCATTCCCTCGAAGCAGGAGGTTACCTATTGACCCCACAATTGAGAGAGGGAAAACGTATGGAGAACACCGCGCCATTGGAGATTGTGGACTCTATCCTAGAAACCCTACGCGTGCACAGACTGAATGGCTGCTTGAAACGTCCTGGGCAGCTCAAGCTACCCTAGGTTCCTGTATATACGCAGTAATTGATGCCAAGAGTACATTTCAACGCGTCCACACGTTGAATATTTCTAGTATTTCCTCCGGGTTATTGGGTAATCTCAATCAGCCTCGATTCTTTGAGGCTTTCCCATGTCTAACAACCATCATCCTTTTGGTTATTCCAGATTGGAAGGAATCAGATATGACCTGGGATTCGCAGAGCCCGATAAAATATATTGCCCCAAGTGCTGCATCCACCCTGTTAACTCGCCTTTTAGAAAACGTCATCTCGCACTTGGTGCAACTAAAACGACTTACAGTTGGATACATTGGAGGAGGCGAGCATGCGAAGGGAGAGTACTGTCGAAACCAACATATCCTACCGGCCCCCATCACTTACTTTGCACAGGATGCTGCCAATGGTCGCCTTCCGGAACCTCCACTTAAATTTCCTCACATCAAAACGCTCACTTTTAAAAATTGCTGGTTCAGCCCGATCCTTTTGATTCAGTTCTTTAAGTCGGCGTGCCATAGCTCCTTGGAGTGTTTAAAATTTGACTCTTGTTCCTTGACCGCAGTACCAGGCACCCTTCCTCGTCCTTATGTGAGCAATAAAGTTCGTCCAAGTTGCACTCGAGACGAATATTATCTTCAGGAGCTCCGAGAAGGTACCTGGTCTGATATTATCAACCAATTCACACCGGCTCTCTCACTATCCGAGCAAATGGCTTCGATGGGTTTGAAGGACTCCCCACCTCCACGCGAGGATGTCCCACCTTGCCTAAGACAACTGGAATTCGTAAGTTGCGGATATGTTCGCCTTGCCCCCTTTTTCAACCAGAACAACCTCGTCGTCCCGTATTTTCCAACAGATCAAATCCTGGATGTTCCACCATTTTTTGTCCCAAATCTAGCGCAAGTCATTCCCACAGATCCCCTTGCATGGCCAACACCTCAATTGAACCCAATCCCACTTACAGCGATGCAAAACGTGGGTCAAAGACTGGCAACTGCCCAAAATCAAGATCCCGCGACAGTATCTCTGAACCCTGCTCTGGGGGTACCTCCTAATCTCGCTCCTAATCCAGCAATAACGCAGCCTGTCCACTTTGCGACTGTCCCTCCTAGCCCACCTCTATATATTCTGATAATGCAGCAGTATCCTGTGCTGTCAGGACCCGCTCCTGTTCCTCCAGCAGTCGCCCAACACACCCAGCAAACAAACCAGCAAGCCGACGACCCTGCTGTTTCTTTACAACCTACGCAACAGGTCCAGGCAGACACACAGCATCAAAACGCCACCATGGCCGCGCTGCCACCCGGTCCAATCGCACATGAAATGCACGTGCCAGCGCCGCAAATCCCAGAAACTGGCTTTGAGGAGGCCTCGGAAAGGCGTTCCTACATCGACTGCAGGCTTAACGGGACAATAGTTCAATGCATAGGCAGCGACGAGGAGCAGGTTCTGGAATGCGCGTTCGGGCTGACGATGGGATGGGGGTCATGGGACGACATCGAGAAACGGCGGGAGGTCGTGAGCGATGGCTTCAAGCAAGGGGGCGCGGGGAGGTTTTCTGGCGTTATTGTTGGGTCTGATCGTGGGTTTACCGAGAGAAGATATTCGGCGGGTCCTGGGTGTTATCGGGATGTTCCTGGTTTGTGGGATAGTTTTGCAGAGTGAATGAGTATTTCCTTGATTCCCGTGTCCTGCGTCTCATGTGGATGGTTTCGTTATGGCGGGGAAAAGGATTTCTATTAAGGGTTGTTAGTGTACATGTACATATGTATGGTTATGATTTACTAGTTACATCTGTTATATTTGCCTTCCCTAAAGCTGATGTATCTTTTCTCCATTTCTTCTTTTTCACCACTACTAAATAATCAACGATTCATTCCTGCCATTCTATAGTTATTGTCCAGCTTCTTCAGCTCTCACAGACATAATGAGAAGCCATTATCCTGAGATCCTGAGCCCATAATTAGTAGTTGGCCACGAGACGACACATCACACATCCAAGCCCTTATTTCCTCTGAGGTTTCATTTCAAACGTGTGCTAGTAGTAATTCCTCAAAACATATTCTCTTCTTGTCCAGGTTTTACCCACCATCCACGCGGGAAAAATTGGGGGGGTTACTTAACTAGTTAGTTACCCCACACCAGCAAAAAACTGACGGCCTCGATAAGTGGATCTGAACCTTTATCCATCCGCCTACCGAGCAACCGTGCCGCGCGGGATGGAGTATCACTACTATCGCGCCGTGTGTCAAATTTTGCTGTAATGTGCAAACAGGATTAGCAACTAAATCAGATGCTTTTACCAAGAAAGAAAGTTGAACTTGTTGTGGAGTGGCGAGAAGAAGTAATAATCTATCTATCAAGGAGCGGAATTCTTTACGCTCTGCCTTTAATTCATATCAACGAACATCACTGTGTATGGTTATAAAGCTAAGTTAACTCATAGCGAAGCTAAGTTAGTATTCCGCGCTCGTATTCAAGACTTATTCAGCACAATTTCTAATAAAGATCGCTCTGGACCCCCTTCTTTTGCCTATTGGGATTCAATGACATCAGAATAGATCTCGGCACTACGCGATGGATGGGCATCGGGACCATCGGGCGGCAGTTTCCCACGTCTGGATGCCTCGATATGATATAATTTGTTTGAAAATATAATATTATTGATATTATCAGCTGTCGCGCTTCTCCCACTGTGGCGGGCAAGGACGGGCTATGGAACCGCCGACTTGCCGATTTGGCGACCAGGGATTAGGTAGATGGTTGGACTGGGCTCTTTTGCTGTCATATTGTCCTGTCATATTGTCGTGTTTGTGATGGGTATATATAAAATCGAGGGATGCTGGCTGTTGTTTTGTCTCGTATGTGATGTGATACTGTAGAAGAACTCCGTACATCTATATCTCACTCACCTTACCTTATCTCAATCAAAGAGCTTTTTACCTATACCGCCCAATCTACAAATTTACCTTACATAAAAAAATATATATATATATAAAAACACCACAAAACACCCCAAAAATGGCCACCACCACCCTCCCAACCACAATTCGCTCCCTCCACCAACCCGACCCCCTCAAGCCCGAAATAACCCTAAAAAGCACCCCACCGCCAACCCTCACCCCCTCCTCCCCAACCGACCACCTCATCCGCGTCCACGCCACCTCCCCCTGCGCCGGCGAACTAACCTGGCCCGCCTGGAACCCCGATCTCTTCTCCGCAGAAATCGTCCCCTGCTACGACCTCTCCGGCACCGTCGTGCAGGCGCCGCCCAACTCCCCTTTCCCCCCCGGTACGCCCGTCTGGGGCCGCACGAACGTCAAGAGGCCCGGTAATGCGCGTGAGTATACCATTGCGCCGACGGAGGAGTTAGCGCGGCGGCCCGCGGTTGTGGATGAGATTACCGCTGCGAGCGTGCCGTTGAGCGCGGAAACGGCGGTGCAAGCGCTATTTACGCGCGGGGGGTTGAGTGGGTCGAGGGAGGGGGAGGGCGGGAGGGAGAGGAATAAGGGGAAGAAAGTATTGGTCACGGCTGCGTCGGGTGGGGTTGGGGTGTGGCTGTTGCAGTTGGCGAGGGAGGCGGGGGTAGGTGGGATTGTGGCGGTGTGTGGGAGTGGGAACGTGGAGATGGTGAAGGAGTTGGGGGCGACGGAGGTTATTGATTATACGAAGATCAGTGTTAAGGATTGGGCAGAGAGGGAGGGGGAGGGCGGGAAAGTGGATTTGGTGATTGATTGTAAAGGTGGGAAGTCGCTGGGACAGTGTTGGAGTGCTGTGAAGGACGGCGGGGCGATTATTTCAATTTGTGAGCCACCTGAGGGGCAGAAGCCGGAGGGGTGTGCGGCGAACGATGTTAGGAATGAGTTTTTCATTATGGAGCCCAGGGGGGATGATTTGTTGGAGGTTGGGAGGCTGTTTGAGGAGGGGAAGGTGAAGGCTGTGGTTGACAGTGTTTGGAAGCTGGAGGAATATAAACAGGCGTTTGAGAAGTTGGATCAGGGGCATTCGAAGGGGAAAATCCTTCTCACACTGTGATGTTGCGATGGGATTGTCGGATCGCTTTTGTTCGAAATTCGTACTAACACTGCATGTTCTTTTCTCAGCCAAGCTTGCATGTATGCATCTCAAATTGCACCCCCTCCCCAAATTCGGGAATTGATGAAATTGAACATGTTGAACAATTATGCCTTCGTAATGTTGGATGTGAACCGGGGTTTAACTGGCCTGTGATGACGAATATAGGAATTCCTGCATGATCCGCATTTTCTACTCAAAGACATCCCATTCCCAAATTCTGTAGATAGAGAGGGGAAAAAGGAATAACCACAAGGGTTCGAGAACACCAAGGACTCTCGCCACACAAGGCCAAGGATGCACGCGTCCCCGTGAGGCTGTGCAATTCACACCCAAATTCTCATCGCGGCGAGGCGCTATTGGGTATTGGAAAATAAAGTGCATGCAGCTAGTTAAGCTGGATCATCCTCTGCTCCCTCCGCCGTCCCCCCCCCGCAGCATGAAAACAACCGGGGACAAGAACAAGCTGGCGAACCATCCGTCGTCACTGGCTGGCTGACTGACCCATTAATGAATTGTTCGTTCGGGGTGCAGAAGTTTCGCAAAGGTGAGAATGCGCCGCGAAAACGGTCTCGAAAAATCGAAAACTCGAACACATCTCAGAAGATTTATTATACTCCGGATGAGGTCATCTGATTCTCCAAAGGTTCGGAGGCCGCGAGTTCCCATGTAAACTAATCTGTACTCATTCCCCCTCCCTTGGCGCCGTTCCGCCGTTCCAGTTGGATGGAGTGACGTCGAGTTCCCAGACTGATCGAACTTGACGCGTCAACATCTTGCTTCCGTCACCACCGACACTCTCCAACTCAGCGGGGCAGCACGTCCGGGGGGGGGTTTGGGTTGGTTGATTGGTTGGTTTGTTGGTCTGTTCCCGAGGTTCGATTGTCCTTTTCTTTTTGGAGCCATTCGAGGGAAGGGGAGATATGTTGTCCAAGAGTCGTATTTTGGGACTGCATGCTGGAAACTGCACTTCCTCGTGTAAGGGTTGTCTATCCCCGCGGACTAAATACATATAAATATATAGTTATATGTAGTTATATATATGTATATTTCTCTTCTAGATCATCCAGATGTCGCACGAAAGGGGGGGAATCCACGCGACTATAACTGGCACTGAGTCGGGTTGGAAGAAGACGATATTAATTCAATGTGCACGCCAGTAGCTAGCTAGCTTAGCTATCATTCGAACGGTTAACTAGTTAGTTGTCAGGAGGAGGTCGAGATAACCAGAACCACAAGTCCAAAGCAACTGTGTTGACGAGGTTTCCGACTGCTATCAATCCATCCATGGATGCTGCTGGTGTCTGACTGTATGTGGAGTTGGGTTGGGTTGGTGAGGACTGTCCGGGAAGAACGGAGTAAGGTAACCTAGGAACATCTCCTCTGGCTTTGGCTGGATATAAAAAAAAAAAAAATGAAGCGGTGGTGGGCGGCGTACAGAATTCGAGGCGAGGAAAAGAGTGTGCTGGGGACACATTTGGAGGAATTTGATTTGAATATTATTATTACAGGAACGAGCAGCGCGCGGTTAGTTACACCACACCACCCACACCAGACACCACCTGGGTCCGCATATTAAATATTCGAGAGATAATTTAGGTACAGATTATAGTATCTAGTGAACCTTGAGATGTACATGTACATACATACATACATACATACATACATACATATATACATTAACAGGAGTACAGTACATACATAACTACATAACAAAACGGCGGAGCGGATGTTGACAAATAGTTTAACAGGTTTATTCAATTATTATTAGACTGCATGGGCATGAGTATGTATGAGCATAGCATGGGAATTGGGATGAATCATGCTGGAGAGGAGACGAGGTTTGATGAATTTGGGAGATCAGGAATTAGTTGATATTGATTCCAAAATAGCCCATTAATAATTGTTAACTTACTATGCACACTTTAGTTAAATATTATTATTGTCCCTCCAGGGCCGCGTGGCGCTAAGCCGGCGCGACTTTTGTGTCTTCAACCGGCGCACTGCGAACGGGTGAAAAAATCAGACAATCAGACAGTCAGATAGTCAGACAGTCAGATAGTCAGAAGTCAGATAGCCAGATAGTCAGACAGACATCCGACACCAGCCTCAGATATCGCCAGCTTGTTGAAACATCTGGCGTCAGCTTCACTGCTAGGTTATTATTTAAGATTGTCAACTGCTGCACCCTTAAATCCATCCCTGCGGATATCAACTCCTTTCGCCCTATCTATATCTCTGCTCCATCTTCTCCCCTCTCTCTCCGTGCCGCTCTTTAACTATATTATCCATCCTCTTTGTTTCGTGCCCTGTCGACCCTCATTTCCACTAACTAGCGTTGCGGCAGTCAACCGCGCTACTCTGTACGGACGGAGTACTAACTACTCCGTACAAGTGACACCGCTTCATCTCCAACGCTGCAACCCGCCCTGACGGACTGACCGACTACCCCGACCTCTTCTATATTAACAACGCTTATATCATTTCTGCAGCCTGTGGAAATCTCTGCTTCTCTCTCGTTACTGGCCAACCGTTTCCGTTCCTGTCATCGTTTTATCGTCATTGGTTCGTTTCTGGCCACACATCGCGAATAGTAGCGCTTCACCGCGCATCCAGATCCTCCTCCTCACCATGAAGCGGTTCGTAGGGAGTATAAATAAACATACCTGTGAGTCCATACGCCGCATCCATCCATCAGGACGAAGGAGAAGGCCTTTGCCCCCCTCCTTTCTTTATATGGCACTCATCCTCCCGTCGGCCAGAGTTGATCCATCATGACATCCTTACTGACGCGTTTACGACTCCTCTCTCGCTCAGCCCAATCCGTATCTCGATCTTCTTCCTACCCTCCAGGCTCGTCAGAGGCTGTCGTATTGGCTGAACTGGTAGGTGCTTTGTTGTCTGTCGCAGAAGCGCCAAAAAAAAAAAAAAAAAAAAAAAAAAAAAAAAAAAAAAAATCCATCTCAGAATGACAGAAACAAAATCCACTAATAGTTGTAATGATAATAATTATAGACTGCTTTTTGTGAGTCTGGAGGACCAAACAATACAGTATGTTTTCATCCGCCACTCTCTATTTTATATCAACCCCCACGAGGCCTTATCGATTTTATTTGCCTCCGCCGTTAACAGCCCTATTTCTCGTATTCTTTTACAAACTAGGGAGATGAATACCTTCACCTGCCCGCCATCGTTGAGACCGCGGAATCAAGCCCGAGCGCCGCAAAAGCAGCCGCAGACGCGATCCGCCGTGTCCTCTCAAATCCAGATAGTAAAAAAGGCTACAAGCAGTACAATGCCATCATGCTCATCCGGATCCTGGCCGATAACCCAGGAACGTCCTTCACACGCAACTTCGATGCCAAATTCGTCTCGACGATTAAAGTCATGCTGCGCGACGGGCGGGATATGAGTGTACAACAGATCCTACGAGAGACGCTGGAATTCCTCTCCGTACAGAAGAGCCACGACCCGAATCTAGCGCCGTTGGCCGAAATGTGGAAGAGGGAGAAGGCGAAGTTTGAGAAGGCAATGGGTGTGAGTGCGGTAAGGATACTCCCCTCAATTACCTAATGTAAAGATTGTACCATTGGTTTACTGATGGCAAGTCGAAAGGGGCCATGGGCGCAGCCATTCAACCCGGGCCAGCGAGACGATTACTTTGCGCGCCAGCATCGGCCCAGAGGCCTCCCGTCACTCGAAGAACTGACCGCCAGAATAGCAGAAGCCAACACCTCCGCCTCACTCCTTGTTCAGCTCGTCCAGTCAACACCAACAGCGGAGTTCTACTCCAACGACCTCTTGGGGGAATTCTCTGCGCGCTGCCAGGCTGCCTCCAGATCGATCCAGGGATACATGAACGCGACGAATCCCGCACCGGACGAAGATACCATGCTCACGCTGATAGAGACGAATGATAAACTCTCCGACGCGTTCTCGAAATACCAGCGCGCCGCTGTTATCGCCAGGAGGAACGCGAGTAGGACTAATTCTCAGCAAGAGATTCCGCCAGTTTCGCAGCAGTGGCCATATCAGCAGCAGCTGCCGCCTCCGCCGCCACATCTACATCAGCCCGAACAACAGAACTATGAAGTACCGACCGGGAAACGCTCCGTCCCGCTCCTCTCCATCCCACGCAAAGCCCTGAACAAATTCCGCTCAGACAAGCAAGAGCAGCCAATCGACGCACAACTACACCAATACCAACACCCCGCCTCCTTTCCCCAAACACTTCCAGAACAAACCACCACCACCACCGGCGCCCGGTGGACAACCCAAACCCCACGCCCCCGCTCCGCCGTCTCCCCCTTGGCCACAACTCCACCCCAGCTCCCCTCCACGAACAACCAGCATACCACCACCGTTCCGTCCCGCACCGCCGCCTTAACCAGCCACGCAACCCACACGAGCAGCAACAACGCCACATCGTCACCATACCACTACAACTCCAGCGAATTCCAGGTCGAGAACCCCTTCGCGGACACGTATAGCACGTCCACGTCGCTGCCCGATAATAATCTTAACAGTAATCATACCACGACCACGACCAGGGGGGGTGTACGCGGTATAGGCGTAATACGTACAGATAGAGATACAGACACCGAACCCCTGACGAGTAGCACGTACTACCCAGATGCGCGGAACGTGATGGTTGATGGGAACATGCCCGGGGCCGGCGGGGCGGTTGGCTCCACCGCTGGAGGCTTGAGGGGGAGGTGAAAGATGAATACGGGTTACGGGATGCGGGGGCTAGTGACCAAGAGGGGTTGATGCTAAATGTTGGGCGTTGGAGGTTGGAAGGTTAAGTAAGGGGTATGGCTGGTTGTGATGCTGGTCGTTGTTACATGTTACATACCTCGCTTACCTTGAATCCTTGCATGCCTTGCATTGATGGATGGATGGGATTTGATATGATTGGGGGGGGGGGGGCGGGGGCTAGGGGCGATCGCTCGATCTTCTTCTTTTTTGTTTTGGTACTTGCTCATTATACCTATTTCTGCTTTTCCTGATGGAATGAAACGAACCCGCCCCTTGCTTCTACTTCTCCTTCTGCTTCTGCTTCTGCTTGCACGTTGAATGAACCGGCTCATCTCGCTTGTTTCTTTTTGTTTTCTTTTCTTTTGTTCCCTTCTTTTTTGGTGTTTACTTGTCTTTTTTCATACATACACATGTATATATCGCCCTTTGCTGCGCCACGTTTTCCCAGTTTGTTTGCCTTGCCTTGTCTTCTTCTCCTTTCGATCGCCTGTACCTTTATGAAATCTTGCCTGATTCTTTGTTTTTTTTGTTCATGGGTAGGTAGTATGGTTGGTGGTGGCGATAGTAAGGAGTAGCATGACTGAAATATGACTTTCTTTCTCTGCCTTTTCTTTTATAGTTGTATATATGCTGTGGTTTTTATGACTGTTGAAGGTGCTTTTTAAGAAGCATGTAGTTTTTCTATATGTCCAAGCTGGCTGGCAGTAGTAGTGTAATGTTAGTGTGGATGGCGGTGATGTATTAATAATATCAAATATCTGGTACAACTAAATCTGAGAATGTTTGATATTTCATTGTTTCCTCCCCCATAGGTATCTCTCATTGCTTCTCACTTTGCTGATAATTATTTCCTTTTTGCCTTTTAAATATATATGGTGTTTTAAAATTTTGTGATTCAATCTAGCTAGCGAGGTCCTTGACAGCAAGTAGCCGGAGCAACTACCAACATTCTGTATTGTAGCTTGCTTGCTGGGGCTGAATTCACTCGCCCTTCCCCCTCTCTTTGAGAGAGTATATATACTATTCATTCCATTCTATGCTGTACCGTACCATTATTGTAGCAGATTCAAAACTCAGTTAAAAAATTCTCTCTTCACTTACACAGATGTGTCTTCCTGATTTCAAAACAATTCACTTTGTATTTTATCATTCCTATTTAAATATTATTATCATCTATCTCATCCTTTCCCCCCACCACACAAACACACACAGGGTCTGGAAATAAAAAGAATGAATAGCATTGTATAAATCAACCCCCTTGAATTTGTCTAATTATGTACTGTACAAATGTTTATCTCTGTCTATGTCCATAGATGTGAGCTAAATTGTATGTAATGAGTAGTATTATGTACGCATGAATGAAAAAAAAAAATGAAAATGAAAGAAAATGAAAGAAAATGAAAAAAAATGAAAAAAAAAAATGAAAGAAAATGAAAGAAAATGAAAGAAAATGAAAGAAAATGAAAGAAAATGAAAGAAAATGAAAGAAAACAAAAGAAAATGAAAAAAAATGAAAATGAAAATGAAAATGAAAATGAATATGAATATGAAAAATGAAAAAAGAAAATGAAAGAAAATAGAAAAAAGGCCACCTGACTGGCTACAAAAGGGAAAGATTTGATGGGATCCAAACGGGGATCTTTTGAGATAGTTGGGAAGAGATGGAAAATTGAAGAAGAAAAAGAGAAATGGAAAAGTACGAAAAGAAATAAAAAATTGAGAAATGAAGTGGGTGCATTAAAGTGGCTGTAGGCATGTGGAAAGAAGGGGGAGAATTTGAGGGTGTGTGATACTAGAGTATCTGCAAACGATGTCGAGCAATAGCGATGCATGCGTTACATGGAAAATCTTTTGATAAGAAAGGGCATGGCTAATGGGCAGGAGCAGTAGTGTCTGGGGAAGGAACAGAACGGAGGAAATGAGGGGAGAGAGTACCCAAGTAAAGTCCCGGTAGATGATGATTCCGCAGCATAGAAATCCAATGAGCAAAAAGGCAAACGAAAACACGGCCTAGGATTCAAAACAAGGGACGCTCTGCAAAGAGAGTACCGATATGTATGCCGAAGGTTTAGGATACGATCCGATCAGACTCCTGCAGACTCCTGCATCACTGCTATGCATATGAATGTTCAAAAAAAGCGTCAAGAGGAAATCACCACGTAAATGCCTCCTCCACAAAATCAATCACAGGCCCACTGCCCACTCGCTTCCGCACAGACGCGCGCACCTCATCAGCAAACGCACCCGGTCCACACACAGACACAGCCGTCGCGCCCACATGATTCTCCATGGCTTCCTCAATGATGACATCCGGCCGACACCGCCCTTCAAACATCAGCAGCGTCCCACTGGGGCTCTTGATATCCTTATGGCTGCGCGGCTTGCTGATGAATAGCTTCGTCACCAGCATCTCTCGCCGCATGGGCAGCTGGAGGATATAGTCCATGAAGCCGCTGACCCACATGAGCTGCTCGGTGGTTCGCACGGACCAGATGAGATGGATGCGGCGCGTGGCGACGGTGCCGGCTTGCGCGGCCTCGAGCAGCTCGCGCACCTGCATGAGATGGTGGGTTATGCCGGCGCCGCCGGAGAAGAGGACGACGGTGCCGTAGCTGCCGAAGAAGGTGGAGGGGTGGGAGCGGTAGGGCCCCTCGATGAAACCGGTCGTGTAGAGAATGTTTTGTGGAGAGGCGAGCGCTTTTTCGTAGAGTTTCCGGGTCATGCCTGTGCGTGCGGCCATGACTAGGGTTACGTTTGTAGGTTGGGTGCGGTAATTTGTAGCGTCGTCGAGGTCTGGTTCCTGTTTTTGGAATGATGGGAGGTTGCGTGGGGATGAGCCGTCTGAACTTGACGGTGGCTTGAGATACTTGCCATTTTCTGTCCAGGCGACAGAGAAAGGGTGTGACATCCAGAGGGAGATTTTGGGGAGGTAAGCGTAGACGTGGCTGCCAGGGTGTATATGGGTGTTTCTGGGGAGGAAGAAAGTTACTCGACTGGCCTCTCCGGGGAGGGCCTCGACCATGACCCGAGTGAGGCCATGGCGGCGAGAAACATTCAGATAAGCCAGCCGTAGGAAGCGAACCAATCTCTCCGCTCCCCAGAAGGCTATGATGAACTGCAACCACGGAAGTTGCGGTAGCCCATCAACATTAAGATGTATATAAACTCCCGCGATTGCCAAGCAAACCAAAAGTATGTGTAGATGCAAGAACGTTTCGTAGAAGGCGTGTCTGATTGGGGATGGCGAGTGAAGCAGCAATAATACCATGCCTATAGTCCCGATGAGGCCTGCTGTGAAAAATTTCGTGGATCCCAAGTCATGAAAGGTTTTTGACCAACCACTGGCGGTAACAGCGTTCGTCATCCAGGCGCAAGTATGTATGACGCTGTGGATGACCACTATCCGCCCTATCCATCGGTGTAGGAGATTGTACGTGTCGAAGCTGACGTGTAGAATTCGAATGAGCGGGTTATTTCGACCCGCGAGTATAACCAGCGGAATCATGTTAAGTACGGCAAGGACACCAGATCTGCCCCTCAGTTCTGCAATCAATGCAGCCTTTTCGTTGACATTGTAGTCGAGGATAGTGAGATATGCTACTTGGCTCAAGAAATATGAACCGAGTAGGATCGTATGCAGGCGCGACGGCAAGGTTCCCACGTTTACAGCATCTGAGAGCTTAAATTCTCGATTATGTCGCTTCCTCCCCAGCGGTGCATATACCAGATGTTTCTTGATATCCGCCCAGAGTGCCGACTCCGCAGTAGCCCAGTACCGTTGTTGCCTGGGGGTTGCATGGGCGGAAGTAATTCGACGCAGATAGGCATTCAGCATCTGGCCAAATCTCGTTGCCAGCACGGCGACACAAGCTGCTCCAAGGGTACCGCATATTATCTGTGTGAGAAGGTTATCGAGTTTGACATTGACCCCTAACAACCCTCGAGTGTACTGCACGACATAACTGGTATTTCCAGCATTGGGGTAGTTGTACCCTTCCGTGATCGCCATCGAAAACGAAGCAACAGGGGAATGTATTGAGAGGACTCGAAAAGGGTAACGCTATCAGGAATTCCTGTAATAACTATGTTAGTTAGAGAGAGGGAGTGAGTGAGTGAGTGTGAGCTTTGTTATTATGCAGCTATCCAGAGCATGCGGGATAGCCAAAATCCTTCCAGAGGGGTTATCAACCAGGTCGTGAGTTGGCATTGAAGGCTTACAGATTATATGGGCACGAGATATTGGTGATTAGGTGTTGTCAAGTGAAGGCTGGCCCAGAGGACCAGGCAGGTATCAGCGGACAACGGCCGGGATATGCCGTAGCCTGTGGCTCCTGATAATTGGCCCTGGTCGAAGGGAGAGGATTGAATCGAAAGAGTCCGTTGGGCGTGATCGCGGAGAATAAACGTGGGATACAGAGGCGTGATTCCAAGCAGTAAATCAAGGAAGAAAGAAAAAGGGCAAGCTGCGAGGCACTACTTCTAGAGGATTTGCTCTTAAAAACCACCCTTGATCGGAAACAGCCGAACTTGGTGTCTTTCGGGCGCTCCTTGAACCGCTCCGTGCATGAGACCGGGACCAAAGTATTTGGTAGTCTCATTATCAAATTGATTGATTCTACAGCATAGATAGTTAGTTGGTCTCATACAGTCCCAGTGGCCCTGGTGGGGGGCGGGGGAGGGGAGAGAAATGCGGCCCAACCAGTCGACTGTCAGTTTCGATGCGAGCATGGAAATGATGTAGCCAGCCAGGAGCCAGGGGGTTAGGGGCGGGCGTGCCTGCTGGCGGGTCGGTCGCGGGCTTTCCACAGGGCAACACTGGCAGTAGTAACCTGGCTGCTGGCTGGCTTGTCGTTGGAACGTCCGGTGCGACATCTCAGGGCTCTGACTGGCCAGAGCGCCCTTTGAGAGCGCCTGGAACAAATGCCAACAACCCCCCCCCCCCCGGGGCCCCTGCTCCCTTCCAGGCGCCCCAGAAGCATCAAGTGGAGTTGTGGCAAAGCGTCCGCCCCATTTCTCGCGAGTTTGTTTGAAACGCAGCTCCTTTCGCCGCTTCTACTGGACCACAATAGTGCTCTGCTTTCGGAGTTTTCTCCTCTCCGCCCGCTGGACAGCAATCCGGCGTTTCAGGTGTTTCAACTCTAACATTCCTGTTGTCTCTTGTGGCTTTGCCACAAACCTTTTGGTTGATATCCTGAGAAAGAATTTGAGTGGATGTCTCACTGAGTCTCTGCTATCAATCATTTCTCCGAAGATTAAAGAGGTTTAGCCCAAGAAATTTATCAGTTCGGTTCAGTTGTGGGGCCCCTTAGAGAGATTATTATTGGAGACTCAATTTTGACACTAGAAAATGAACAAAACCTTCATATCCACCCAGAGAAACAGCAAAATACTACGGAGTAGTAGTACTCTCTTCTGTACATCTACTCCGTATACAACCTGTACAACCTGTATGTAACTCATTAATTAATCTGATAATTGTTGCTCTGTTCGGGAACTAAAAAAACTAACTGAATTGGGTTAGAGCCAAGAATCATGATCTTCGTACGTTGTGACCATGTCATGACAAATCATCCACCCACCCATTCCATCTGAGAAGGTTGCTCTGGCTACTACAGTCACGTGTCCCATGTTTTCTATCCCGTTTAACATTCATCTCTTAAAAGTGTCCCTTTTTATTAAAATAACCCCATAGCAAAAATGCCTGTCACCACAACGTCGCCCTATCCTATCGTGAAGAAACGCCGGATAATCACCTTTCTGACTCCTCTAACCGCTCAATAACCGCGATGCGAATAAACAAAGCCACCAAAGACGAGAACCAGAACGATAGAACCTACGTGTGCCAGGGGACGAGAACGCTAGAACCTATGGATGATATGGATGGTATGGAACCAGAACGCTCGAACCTACCGGTGCCAGGGGATCATATAGAACCAGAATGCGAGAACCTACGGATGCCAGGGGAGGATATAGAAAACCTACTGGTTGACAGGGGGGGATCATATAGAACCAGAATGATATAATTTACCGGTACCAGTGAGACCCCGCGGCGATAGAACGACTGGGGGCGGCGGTTAACACCAATCTAGGAAGGACGGAATTCGGCGTTTTCTTTTGCGTGTATTTGCACGTATGGGTCTAATCCTAGGAAACTAGATGTCACTTTTTGTATTATTTAATTGTTATTGCGTTTTTGAAAGCATTGGCAGTGTGTGGCACTGGCCTGAGTGTGAGTGGGTTGTTTGCTCCGGCTACTGCAGTCACGTGTCTCACTTTCACTAGCTAGATTATATCTTCTATACTCCGTACTCTATACAGATTAGCATTGATTCTTCTACAGATTTTAAGACTTTTATTATAAACATATTAATTTCATATTCAATGATTACATTATTAAATTAGTAAATTTAAAATTTATAATTAATTTATAATCAGATAAAATATCTGATTTGATGAAAAAGTATATATTATAGTATAGAAAACTTAAATGTTAAAAGTATAAAAATTAAAAGTAAAGTTATTAACACTTTATTTAATTAATTAAATATTATCTGATTTAAAAGCATTTAAACTTTAATATAAGAATTAAAGAAATTAAATATTATATAATAAAAAAATTATAACTAGCTTAATTTACTAATAATTAAAATAAATTTTATAGTAATAAAACTTGCTATAAAGAAAATAATAATATTTACTATACAATTAAAAAATGAAAAAAATATCAACTCTAATCTAGAGTCTATGTCATGATGGAGCTGCTGGGCCCAAGCGCCTAATCACTAGGCCGAAAGACCCTCAACCTCAAAATAGCTGGTGTTCAGCCAGCCGCGCCGACCACCCACTTTTACAGTAGGGGCATGCTCGTACCGGCCTGCCCCGGCCCCCCGGTTACAACTTCCTCCCAAAATTATAGGGGGTTGTCCCGAGCGCCTACTACTCACAGTGACCATCCCCTAAGGAGCAGGCCGGTGTCCAGCATAGCAAGTCTAAGCAACTAATTGCCACTTCACTTGCCACTCAGTTGCCACCTGGCAGGTACGCTGAAGCACGCTGGACATGACGTCAACCCCTGTCCTTGTCAGCCGTTCTAGGGAGCTCGCATGCCCCAATCTGCCATCTTGAACCCACAACCTCCGGGCAAATGGAGGACGGGAGGTGAATCGTCATAGTTATAGAGCCCAGGGAGGAACCTAACGCCCCAACTCCACCGCCTGAGTGAGTGGTTTGCAAGACTGTAAATGACAGCCTATTGATAAGGCTGGAATGCTGAGATAGGCAGCTGCAAGGTTAGGGGCATTATGTCATAGTTAAGAGCTGCCGGTAGGCTCAAGACCTAGGCCTAAAAAGACCATCAGACGGCTGGCTCCTCACCAACCGCGCCCGGCACCTATGTTTGTAGTGGGGGCTTCCCTGCTCTTGCCCCCGGCCTCCCAGGGCTGACCGTTAGGCATTAGCTAAGAGTGAGCATCTCTAGGGTTAGTTAAAGAGCTTAACTGGGTGGCGGCATTCTATGGGGAATAACGACCTCTAACAGTGGACCAAGAGGACAGAAGCAAGCCGTTGGTTACATAGGGGGGGTGTCAAAATATGCTATAGCTTATAGTATAAACTTGATTTGACAGAATGACATTTAAATCTCTTCTCTCTTTAAAATTTATTTCCTTTGTTATACGCTCTTTCATTTTCTTTTTTTTAATTATAAGATTCATTTACCTGTGTTTATCACGGGCCTCCACTGATCAGTTCGATCGGATATTCCTCGCATTCATATGATAATGGATGGGTCTGCCATACGTATGCCGCGTGCTGGTTACTGCCGCAAGGCGGTTGGTCTACGTCACTGAGATCACGGCGCCGTTGCGGCACCATGGACCCCGTTGGGATGCCACCGAGCGGCTCGTTAAGCCCACCCGAACGGCTTGCCTGATATATACCATACCCTAAACCCCTCAACGTTGCCGACTCCGTGGTCTTACCGCCCCCGCGCCGCCACGTTACTGTGTTTTTGATTTGTCAAGTTGATTGATTCTGAGCGAATATTCAGTTATTGTAAGTGATGAATGATTTTCTAGAAATTAAAGTGTTTCACTAGTCAAATTCTGTCTAAGAAATCCCAACTCCTCGCGGATGGCCTTACTTCTATTCTCGCCACTTATATAATTAGTAGAGTGATAGGGTTAGAGCCACACAATCTATATAGACAGGAGTCATGACTATAATCTCAGTTAAATTACTCTTTTACAGAAGCTTTTTATCACTTACATAGACTCTAAAACATGATTAGACTTATATATATAAATATATAAAAAAGCTTTTATTATAAAATATTATTCTGTTATTAATTTCTCATCTATTAATTATTATCTTTTATATTATCATTATCTTACATTATTTAAACAGGTATTAATACTGTGTTTAAGTTTCTCTTTATTAATTTATATATTCTTTATTAATTTTTCTTATTTAAAGATTTAATTATTTAATTATTTTCTTTCTTCTTTATTTTTATTAAGTTATCTTTTTTAAGACTAGCTCTCTTTATACTTTCTGAACTATTCTTCATATATTAAAGAGTTAGTAAGTTTAATATACTATATAAAAGAGTTTGTATATTTCGAGTCAAAATTTTCTACTTCATATATTTGAAATGAATAATTATTAAATAAAGTATAAAAGAAACTCTGAGAACTTTCAGTTTTTAAATAGATATTATTATATTATAGTCTCTGACTATATATAGACTGACTGTATAACTGTGTCTAAGATTAGAATTAAACTTTATAGTAGTTATATTTTTTAAAAAGTATTACTTTTATCTAATTATAGTATATATTTATTATATTGATTTTAAATCACTTTATTTTTAATATTGAAAATTTCAGATTTACTTTTTAAATAAAAATTTAATCTTAGATAAATAATATATTTATATTTTTAATTTTAATTTCACTATTAAAAATAATATTAAATAAAATTATAAAATTATTTCTTACTTATATAATATAATAATATAAATATTTATTTATTAAGAATTTAACAGAGAGTATTATTATAAAATATTATTACTTTTTTAAATATATATAAAAATTAAACTAAAGTTATTTATAATTTATATAATTAAAATGAAAAAATAAATAAAATTAATATTATAAAAAAATATAAAAAATATAAAATATAAAAAAACTTATAATTTAAAATCTAAAATTTATAATATTTTTTAAAATAATTATTTTTCAGAGTTTTTATAATTATTATTATATTCTACAATTATAAATATATATAGTTAAAGATTATTATATTGTAAGAAATCCCGCTTCTCACAGATTCTTTACCTCTATTTCTATCTCTTATATAATTAATAGAGTTAGCAGCTCTTGACTATATATAACTATATAAACTGAAGTTTATAAATACTATTTATAACTCAGCTTGAATACTATTATATATTTAATCTCTATATTTTATCTTTCTACTGTGAATACTTCTAGTAGTTAATAGTATATATTATATCAAGCTATAAATATCTGAATAATTATCTGTGAGCTCTTATTTTTATATTTCAAGCTCAGTCAGTCAGTAACTGCTTATTATAACTGAAAGAATTAAAAACTTATATATTTCAATCTCTGTGAACTCTACTGCAGACACTCAGAAGCAGTTATTTAAATTATGAATAATTCTTATAAAAGAAGTCTTAGAGAACTTATTAATTACTTATAGAATATTATTCTCTATATCTATAATAGAGAAACTCTTTAAACTTATAAATAAATCAATCTTAATAAAGAATATTCTTGAGCATCTCTTACAGAATTAAGCTATTTTTCTATAAAAAATACTTACTATCTATAAACATTCTCAAACTAAGTCTTTAAATATAATCTTCAGATATATCTGTAATGTGACGGAACTGAAGTAATAGCTAGTCAGCAGTGTCATGTAGAGATAGTTATTTGAAAAGCTGTATAAATGAGCTTAACTATCTTGCTTAGATAGTGAGCTCATAGACTACAGAGTTATTGTGAGAATATCACAGATATTATTATTATTATTCTTCAATTATAGATGTATGCAGTCAGAGACTATGATATCTATCTGAGAACTTTTAGTTCTCAGGGTTTTTTCTATATCTGTAAAGTTAACTATTATACATTCATCAATTTCAGATATGCAAAATCAGAAAATTTCAGCTCAGAATATAAAAACTGTTTACAA